AAGTTATATCATTGGCCACTGATCTAATCAGCCATACGATAACGACATTTGAATGTGGTCACGTGATCTGGGCCTTACACGAGTTGCTTTAGATTAGACAACATTTTTGCTCTTTAGACTTAATCCTGGTATATGCGCCCCATCACTTTATCAGTTCATGCATCAATTTATCAATGCATCATCCCCAAAACGCAGTAATACCCACGCCCACTACCCAAATAAAAGGATGTTGTCGCCGCCCACATCTCTCATTACCATACTTCTTTGATTGCTTACAAGGTCAAATTGCCAAGGTTTTGTACCGTATCCCCTTTCTTGTAAGCTTTGTAAATAAGTGCTGATCTTTTGTGGTCTTACACAATAGTGCTTTATTTTATCCTACTCTCATTGTCGTTGTATTGCGATAATATTGTATTCTTGTAACGAGGTAAAGCCTGATCGTGTTGCTTGATGAGCCACTACTCATACACGCTACCTTGTTACTTTCGATATAGCTATCTCTCCGTGAAGCATCTGCCAAACTTGGTTTCGGTACCGTGGACCACGGGGTGCTGACATTGACTTGGTGCATTTGACATGGTGCAAACAGCAGGGGAACCACCCCTCAACTCCCATGGTGGTGGTGATTTACCGGCTTCCTACCATCATCTGTCATACAAAATCACTTCCTTTATGTGAGGCAATATCTTGCAGCAGCCAAGGTCAGTAGTGATATACCGGTGCAAATGCATGTTACTCAACATGTATCACCCTTGTTGTCAGATTTCATCAAGTGATTGAAGAAAGTGGTCATCGAGCACTCAATAGCCGTTACTTCATCAGGAGAGATGATCTGGTCAACAATACGGTTGACAGGACATACGAGACATTATGTGAGATGATTAAGGCGCACAATGAACGTTTGGAAGCTGTACTTCTTGATGAAGTCCACGACAAAAGAACAAACATGAGGACCAGGCTCGCGTGCAAGGTTGTAAAGCCTGATCGTGGTGGTGGTTATGCAACGCTACTCCCCCAGAGCCTTGCTACATCAGACCCCCTTCTTCCTTAATAATCCCATGTTTTTCCAGCAAGGAGCGAAGGACATACAACGATGTGTACAGTGGCCGACGAGGAAATATGAGAAGATTAGGAAATGAACATGTGATCAAGAGTGCCAATTATGTTTGATGTATATAAAAACTACTATGAAATGGGTATGACTTGGGTAAAAGTGTGAATGGTTGCTTCAAGCTCATCTTTTTGTATGGGTTTGCTAATGTATGCATTCATGCCAGCATCAAAGCATTGTTCTCGGTCACCAGGCATCACACATGCTGTCATGGCAATAATGTAAGGTTGCTTCCCAATCAAGGTATCCGGAGTTTCACGAATCATGCGCGTTGCTTCCAATCCATTGAGCTCAGGCATCCATACATCCATGAAGATCAAATCAATAGGTTGTCCTTGTGCTGCCGAGTTGATGACCAAATCATATGCTTCTCGTCCATTTTGTGCCATGAGTGGTTGAACATTCAATTTGCTGAGCATGCGTGCAACGACTTTACGGTTGATTGGGTTGTCATCCACAAGTAATGTTTTGACTTTGACGAGACATTCAGACAAGGGTCGTTGTGATGACAATGTGCTGTTTTGTTGTGATGTAGGTGGTTGCAATAGATGTTGTTGTTTTTGTTGTTGTTGTTCAGTAATTGTAATGCTGTCGCTTGCTGAAACTTTTCCAAGTTGATCTTGAAGAGCGTGGATCAAGGATGAATTCTTAAAGGGCTTATAAAGCACAGCTGATCTTGCAACAGTTGCATTGAGTGGATGCCGATGATGCGACCCGTTTTCGGTGCTGTGTGATCGCCTATCCCTAATGCAAACAGCTGGCAAGGTGGATACAGGACTTGGGAACCATCGTTGAAGTGCATCCAAGGCAATATCGCTTGTTGTTGGTTGTGGGCCAAGAGGATCAATGATCTCAAGATCCACATCAATGAGCAGTAAGGTCGGCCCATCATCATTGGTTGATTTTTCTTCCTTCAAAATATCCATCGCTTGTTCAAATGTATAACATTGCGTGTCGTTCATTCCAAGACTGTTCAAAATACGTTTCCATGCTGTTTGAAGCGTTTGATCCTGGGCAATCACCAATGCATGATGTGTCTCAAAGTCATTCAACTTGTATTGCTCAGCAAATGTCAGGGTCTTTGGTTGCTTTTGCATCTTGACTCGAAAGAAAAATGTAGATCCTTCATCCACAATGGATTCGAACCACTATACGAGTAATGCCATGTTACTATTGTCCACAATAAAAGATATCCAGATAGCACATACCATATCACCATCCATCATGCGCGCCAATTGACGACTAATCGTCAAGCCAAGACCTATGTATAAATGTAGCTTTAGTATGTCTGGATAGCCTTATTCATCTACGCTTTACCTGTTCCTCCAAATCGCCTCGTGGTGGATACATCCACTTGAGAAAATGACTCGAAAAGCTTGTCGGCCTTATCCATTGGTATGCCGATGCCAGTGTCTTCAATCGCAAACAAGTAGGACACCCATTCCTCATCACCTCCTTCCTTTTTGGAAATGGTAGCAGCTTGATCCGGATCTCGGCACACTCTTACTGACACATATCCTGATGCGGTAAATTTGAATGCATTGGAAAGCCTACAAAATTGTGTTAGTACTTTGGAGCAATACATAATGCGATATACACCTACATGTTGAGCAGGATTTGCCGAAGCCGTACCAAATCACCATATACTTGGGCAGGTAATTCTTTTTCCACCTCATACCACAGCAGCACACCTTTGGCAAGAAAATTGTCGGACACCAGTTTCATAGCACTTTCAATGGCAAATGTCTAGAATAGAGAGTAAGCGTAAGAGGAGCTATCAACCACGACTTGATTAAAGTCCTACCAAATCCAATGGATTCTGCTCCAGTGATAGGTTCCCTGACTCAATCTTGGAATAGTCGAGGACGTCATTGATAAGAGACATGAGATGATTACCTAAAGTAGCGGTCATCAATATGAGCAAAGCATGATCCAAACATGCACATACCAGAGGATTCGATTGTTTCAGCACATTCATACAAGTCCGAAGGTAGATCACTCTCCATCAAAATACGTGACATGCCGATCACAGCGTTCATTGGTGTTCGTATCTCTAAAAAGATGCCATCAACATGGGGCATTGTGCGTGAATAGTAAATGGCTTACCATGAGACATGTTTGCCAGAAAAGATTGCTTTGAAGCAGCGGCCGTCTCTGCAGCCTCCTTTGCCACTTTGAGATCTAAAGCATAAAATGTCATTATGCTGTTCTCCACCGAGTCCAAGCCATACCTTTAAGCAATGTTTGTGTCCTCGCTTTTTCTTCCTCTAGCTCAATTGTTCTTTGTTGTAGATTGGCTGTTCGCTCTCGTACCAGCTCTTCCATGTCATTGGCATACTTTTCAAGCTACAAGGACTATAAGTAAACATGTCATAGCAACCATACCACCTCAAGACAATACTTGCCAGAATAGCCATCTTGTCGACTACATTGTCGAGACCGCCATAAGGATCAAAGGCCTTGATTCGTTGCTGGGTATCACGTGGTGTTGTTAGCTATGCGTATTGGCGAAATGACCCCGACTTACTTTTAGCGATGAAAAAGAAGGTCGCATGCTGGGATCGCGATCGAGACACTCTTCGATGATCTTGTTAATTTTGCTAACGGCATAGCCATCCTGATCCATATCTTGAGCAAAGCGAGGCTTCAAGTCGTCACTGCTGATTAGGCGGAAAATAGCCTTGTGGGACATCCTCTGCTCTTGGTATTCCTTGAATGGCTTTTCACGGCTCACAATCTCGTTCATAATGATGCCAACACTAAGATACTATCAATATGAAATGCTCATCATGCATGTGAAATCATACCACATTACCTGTAAACATCAGAGCGCTTGGTTGGCATAGCAACGCAGGCGTCGAATGGGAGTATCGTTACGGTCTCAGGCGCTAACCACAAGAGCTTTTCGTAAGAATCGACAATTCTCGGTTGGACAGTGTTGGATGAATCTTGTAGTGGCAGGTAGTTCTTGCGTATCGAGGAAAGCGTCAATGGATCAAGGGTTGAAATGCGAGTGCGTGTAAGTCCATAGTCGGTGATCTTTAATTCCCATTTCCCGGTAATCATGCATGAATGTGATGTCAAACATCCGTGATACTGGAACTTTGAGTTGTACAAGAAATCCATCCCTTTCATAATCCATCAATGAATACAAGTGAAATTCATACTTTTGTCCATTCACGTACCTTGGATCAAATCATTTATCAAAGAAAAGCGAAATATCCAGCTCAAGTCGATATCCGTGTCATCCAGGACGTCGGCTAAGGAACCTTTGCTACAGTATTCTAAAACAAAAGTCAATATCCTTATCCCCGTATAAAAGTGGCTAGCTCCTTCCTTACCTTCCACGATCAAAGTACGATGTGACTCCACGCAAAGACCAACGAGCTCCACGAGATTTGCATGTCTTGCTTCCTTCATGAGAGCAACTTCCTTCCTCACATCATCATACACCCGTAAGCGTTTGAATCCAAGTGGTTTTATCAGCACAGGTAGATTGCGACTATAGAGTACATTAGTCATGGTCCACTTTTTTTTGTCGTATAGCGACTTGGCACACTTACTGCGATCCAACGGTATACGCCATGTGCTTTTGTGTTTTGTGGCAGGAGGATTCATCGCATTGTGATTTTGGTCTATCATAGTAATACAAGGTGAATATCAACACATCATGAATCATCGTTCCTTATCGTACCTTGCTAATCCAAGCATCTCTTTTTGCATGATAAGATCGGGATCTGATACGCTGTTGGTGTTTGCAGCTGCCAAGTGATGATGCCTTGGTATTGTAGTAGCGATGGGTGTATCCATTCGGGAGATGGTGCTGCGTCGTTGTGATCCACGTTGCTGTAACACGGCTGGTCTTGATCCAATCTTTTCCTTGTCGTAAAAGGTGTTGTTTGTAGCTGTAGCAAATATATCTTCTGCTGAGCAACTTCGCACAGGCGGGGTGGCGAGCACAGTCGTTGGATGAGGTGCCACAAGATCCTGATAAGAGAGCATCCAATCCTGATCATATAGACGGCTCTGTTTACGTATACGCTTGCGACATGTCCATGCAATGGCGGTTACGACAGCAGCGAATGCGATAATGCTAATAGGAATCAGCACGCCCATGAGCAACCTTTTACGCGCGGCATCTTTGTCGGCTGTATAGCGAAGGCAATTGGGGTTCTTGCGACCTGCTTTGTCACTGCTGCATAATGCACAAGCTATTGATCCCGGTAATGCAAATGTTCCATAGGGGCATTCGGTACATGCTGGCTGGTCGACTTGGTTGTTGTAAGTATTAACGGGACAAGGATGGCATTGAAGGGATGTCTGAGTATGATTTGCATTATCCAAGCAATACAAGCTCTTTGACAGTGTACGATAAAATTGGCCAGGGGGACAAATGCTCGTGATTCGTGACGCGCTCACTTTGGTGTATCGCCATGGTTGATGATGTATCGTCTTTCCAAACAAAATGTCGAGTGATGAAAGGAATCCCATAGAGAAAAGATTCATAGACCTAGTAGTATCCTTATTAGGCACACATTTCATCATATTTGCATTGCATGTAATATACCTACCACATGGCTTTGATGCGCCCTTGCAAGAATGCTTGAACTTGATCATACAAGTCGGCTGAAGTATATAAGCGAGTAGTGTTGCTCATGTAACCCTTCATCACACGCTATCATAACGTTGTTGTTGTTGAATAAAGATGGTACAAAAGCAGGATGGTGGATGGACTTACATTGTTAATCATTTGAAATGCATATTCTGAAAACGTGACAAAGGCGTCTGCTATGTATTCTCTGGAATGTAATGTGGCGAGGACTCTTTCAAATTCAATATCCATGGTCTCGGGCGTTGAAATGTTGATGATATGCACCACATTATTCGAGTCGAGATTAGGAGTCGAGCGTTGCTGCTGAAATTGATCATAAAAGAAATGACAAAAGTCGCTTTCCTTGCTGGTTGTGCGTTCTGAAAGACATACTGGCGACATGACCTTATCCTCAATCATCACTTGTGCTACGGAAGATGCAAGCTTTTTCTTGTCGACGGCGATAAAGGATTCCATCCTAGATATTAAATGAGTTTCTCGGTCCTTGGTGTGATATGATAAAGTATATAGCTTACGGTTTGGATAACTGAATCGGCTCAAAAAAGGTACCAACATGGGCAAGAGGCAACTCGCTGGCGTTTGTGATAGATGCACCATAGTTGACAACGGAGGGATCACTGGATTGAAGGATAATACCATTGACACCTTGCTTAGCAAAGCTCGCTAGCTCTTGTCGTAGATGATGTGGATGGCCCAAGTAGTCGCCCATGTCTTGATTGAAAATAGTCCAATTGAGCTTGCGTGCAAGATCTCCTGCTCCTGCCATCAATCCAGATCCATATGTATCTCCTCTTGTGTTGGGTACAACGGCTCCCACATAAGCTGTCCTGTCATTCAAAGGCACCAATGTTGTCTGCTCATTGTCGAGAATGTAGGGTAGCGTATCATTGGTAATAAGATTGGGACCTGTCTTGATCGTCTCATTCATAAAAACATCATGGCCCGTCATAATCTATTGTAGACATGTAGATTAAAACGGTTGCATGTAAATGAAAAAAAAACATATGACTTACTCGAAGATACATGTAAAACACTGGAAGCGCTGTCTGATAATAAGGAAGTTGCGATATGCCAATGGTATCTTGATGCTCGGCAAACAACCTCGTCATGTTCGATCCACCAATGTCGAAAAAGGCAGCCCCAATCCGTTCCAAAGAGTCGCTTGCCAAGAGATCTAGCACAGCACCTGCAACAATATCCACACCAATCTTGAAAGAGTTAGCACCATCCATCGCCATTGTTCCTCCATGTACACTTACTGATCCTCCTAGTGACACGACCGAATCAAAGGTACCATTGGACAAGAACGTATCACGAACCTGAATCAGGGGCTGAGCTGTATTGTTGTAATCATGCAGGGGCAGTAGCACTGCTTGATGATCCAGGACGGTTTGTAGACTATCGAATCGATGGTAGAACGTTGCATTATCCAAATCACCGAGTTGAATCACCAAAGGTCGTTGATAGCCTCGATCACGTAACTCTCTTCCAAGCATGGTTGCTGCCTCATGATCATCTTGCAATACACGTGTCAATCCAAGACGTTTAGCGTAATCAAGGCCGGTGTTGAAAACAAGGACTGGGATGTCATGTTCAAGAGCGTATTGGGTTGCTTCAAAGACTTGATCATTGGGGATCGTGAGAATGATGCCGTCAACTCGCTGTCAAAGGTGACACAAATGTTAATAGACCCGTGTAACATATGAAACAATGAACCCCTCTCTCGCCCTCCTCCTCCTCCTCCTCTCCTGCATAAATCACATGCATTGTCTACGGCCGTCTGGATATCCTTGGTCATTTTACTACCGGTGTTCACAAGATGTCTGTTCCACTCGACGTGTATATCAGTAATCGCTGCAGCATCACGTGCACCTTGCTCAGGCTGATGGAAGAACGAAGCCATGGCAGAATCGTGCGAAATGACAGCAATGCGTGGACGTCGGCCTTGAATGGAAGAAGCATGTTGCTTGTCATTGCATGAAGGGATGTCGGGTTGTCGCTCATGTTGCTCGTGTTTGTTGTCCAAAGCAATGTTGGAAGAAGCTGGTATTCCTGTATCTGCCCATGGCATTGCCGATACCATCACGTCATCATCATACGTAAGTGGAGTGGTGTCATTGTTGTTGTTGTTGGATGATACAAGGTGTGATAGAGCAAGAACAAAGAGGAAAATCAAGAATGAAGGGGTTGCCATCCTGATACCAAGAACAACACCGCTCCTATGAATACGCGATAGGTGAGAAGAAATGAACCAATGCACCCTGCACTTTCATCATCACCACCATCCTTCTTCATGTTGATATAATAAATTCTCCGGCTATGGTTCTTCAACACTCGTCTGATTGCAAAGAAATTGTAAACTTTTTTGTTTTATTCATCTGTATTGTATCATGGAATATGGCGGTTTATCATAAACAATATCATACTGTGACATTGATAAGAGGATGATGATAGAGGAAATTGGATGTCGATAGGAAAGGATAAGCGAGGAATTGAAAAAGTGTGTGAGAGAGGAGAGAGAGGAATGTGAATGCAAGTACAGGCTAGTCTACATGGGCAGCATATATATATCGTCAAGATACAGCACGGGAAATAATAAAAGAGTGAAAAGTATCATGCAGGAGAATGGGAGCTATATGTGTCAGCGGGTATGTGTGTGTGTGTGTGTGTGTGTGTGTGTGTGTGTGTGTGGATAAGCTACGTCGCTATGCGTAGAGAATGATTGTAAATGTTGTCTAGGAATAAAGGGAATGTAAGAGGGAAGAAAGGAGTGGAGTATAAAAAGAAAGAGAATGGGTTAATGTTGTTGATGGTGCTGACCAGGTTGGCGTTTTCGAACCATGTTGCCTGCAGCCACCTTGTGGAAGCGAGAATCACATTCACGCCACGAACGATTGGGGATTTCATTCGCTACTGCTTTCCAAGCTTGTTTAAACAACTTTGAATGCTTTTTCATGGCCATAGCTAGCATTTGATCTTCGGTGCTTGACCATTCTCGATGTTCCATGGTCTTGGTTTGTAGCGTCTTGAAACGACCCCAACAACATCCACGAGAACGATGTGGAAGATAGGTTGACGAGATCATGGCCCATGAAAGGCCTTGACTGTATCCTCGTTGTAAAAGGTAATCTTCCTCCTGTGTCCATGGTGTGCGTGTTTGTGGTCCTGAACGATTACGAGGTGGTGGTGGTGGTGCTGCTGCTGCGATAGGTTGTTGCTGTTCGGGAGGATGGATCATGAGTGATGGCAACGAGTAAGGTGAACTAGGTGGCGATGATGCAGGTGTCAAAGAGGGTGATGCATTATAACAAATGGACATGTCGGGTGAGCTGCTTTCTTCAGAGGATGCTGTAGACATTGTTGACCATTGTTGGCGGATATTTTGGGGATGATGGTTATCCATGTGTGGAGTTTTTACACACTCATTGGCGGCGTGGTTGGTAACAATGGATGTTGCATCGGAAGGATGGGAAGCTGTCAAAGGGCAAAGAAGGTTTTTGAGATCCATAATAGTAATGTGGTGGATAAGATAATGAAAAAGAGAGACTAGGGAAATAGGTCAGTGTATGAAGATGGAGCAGCAGAAATAAGCGGTATTTATATGCATGGATGCAATCCATCTACACCTCCCCAGACTCTTGTCAATTGAGAGTGAGGAGACTGTAGTGACACCATGATAGCATCATTTGTGTACACACATCACCCGCTACGACGTAACACGCATAACCATTTGTCATCTAACTTATTATCTGGTTTAACACCCCCCTCTCCCACCCCTTATTATCCCTCATTGTACCTCTGCTTTGGATCGTTGACAGTGCTGCCGATCCCCTTGTATCAAGGCAAGACCATCAATCATTTTTTGGGGGCCATGTGTACGTGTATGTGTGTGTGTGTGTGTGCGTGTGTGGCATACGCCATTTAGCGCATGATGCTTCTCACTTTGTATGGTTCATTCGCAAACAGCACTCTTTGCATCACATTAGACGCATACACACATGCGTACACACATATTTACATACACGCTCTCTTTGACTGCCCCTTGTCATTGATGGTCTTAAAGAATGAAGAAGGAATCTCCTTCGTGTCTCCTTTACATGAGATTGAAATACACGTCCGTTCCTCCACGTTTCATCATCGTTAAATGAATAGGAAGCAAACGTATGTATAAGAGAGTTTATGAAGTTTAATCGTAGCGAGCAAACTTTTATGGTGTACGGTAACCAAAACACTGAAATAGCTAGGCGATGTCATTGTTGTGCGAATAATGATGCAAGTACCTGTTGTGTCAACTCCTATAACATCACCTGCTGCTGCTCAGCTTGGATCATCTTACTTTTGCAGATCTTTTTCGTTTCTGCTGGTGTGCTCTTTGTTCCGCTGCATGGGTGTATCAGGAGCATGCATGACAGATTCCTTTCAATGAAGGAGACCCTGAACCCTTACGATTCCTTTTTAGGTCACTAGCCCATTTGGAAAGACTAGGGTCCACTTGAGAGGGAAGAAAAACGTGTGTTACACTCAGCAGTCTTTCATCGTTCTCGTCAACCAGCACCGAAACAATCATAAAGGGAGGGAAGAAAAGAAAGAGTAATGAGAATTTGGAGGAGATAGGAGGGAAAGTTTTGGTGATGAAAAGAATGCATCATGGATATAGGTGTGGTTGATGATGTTGTAAACGCTTACAATGTATCTATAAGAGAAGAACACGAGTATTTCTTGTTTACATGGTTTTCATGCACGGGCATTGTTCATCTGTTTCAAAGCACAGATCCTTTTTTTATTCTTATCATCATACATACAAAGCCCTGATGGTAGGCTGAAGTGAGTGTAAGCATTAACAGGGTCAATGTCACCTTTTTGTTTGGGCTATAAACTGCTTCCCTCCTCAAGTACCCTGAATCGAAGAGCTGCTTGCGTGCACGATCATCGATTATGGTGGGGTATGGTGGATCGTCAAAAGTGTTTCCAACTTTAGCCAGTGACGCGCGCCACATTGACAAAAAAAGAAATCCAAACTTGTCCCCTGTGACATTAAAAAAAAGGGGTGGGGGAGAGATAGATATGATGTGTGCGAGGATCTGGAAAGTGCAAAGAGGAAAAGGGGTAGTAGGGGGTACGCGTGGATGTGCACCAAAGGGAAAAAGAAGGAAAGGGGTGGGTTTATCGCGCGACAAAACGACCTCTTCCCATGCAACATAAAGGAGCCACTTGAAAGGAGCCAAGAAGAATACACCGCCAATGAACAATAATCACAAAGACACCTGACCGCGTTTCCCTAAAGGTGGTGGTGAACCTCTTGAGTCGAGTGAATCCACCACCCCTTGATTATCGCACGGACACCCTTGTTTCCTTTGGCTTCCACTCGTGATGATTGTAATAATGGTTGATTCATAATCATCACCACATCGTCTTTATCATTCACGAGAACAGGAGAATGATGAGTAAAAGAGCAAATAGGAAGGAGAAGAGAGCTATCACCCCTGTGCTCAAAGAGCCCCTGACGCTTTAATATTTGTATGTATGTTCTTTTAACTATTGGCAATCTCATATGATATGCTTTTAGGCTCTCCACAATGCGCCATTACCTAAACCTTAATTCTGCTCCGGGCCACTGGTATAGCATAACTACACCTGTCAACTTTATTCCTCTCTCTTCCATGCATGAATGAATGTGATTGGATAAAAAAAGGCAGCGAGTGCCTTTAATGCCATGTCTCCCATCTCTTGTGTCGCTGCTATTACTACTACTACTACGATGGTGGTGGTAAGGAAAAAATCCATGTAAGCGTATATAACTCCCAGTGACAACAGGAGGAGGAGAGCGTGTAGATATGAGCACATGTGCAGCATGGTGCATACTTTTTTTGTGGGATCCTCGGATCTAGAAGAGCGTCGTGGACCGTGCTGCCTTTGTCGACATGCATTATGCAGTTGAATATTGTTTGGTGTGCTCATCATCAGATGACCACAGTCAAAATTGTTCTCAGAGTGCACTGACTTTGAAAGACTAACTTTAATGGAACGAGGGTGAACAAGTAGGGATTCTTAGAACAGCAGCATTTGATGATGGGTATATGGTATACGCGTTTTGCACTTTCCCTCCTTCGCTTGACCCCATATCACCTGGTTTGCCGATTATTGTTACTTTTAAAAGAGAAGATCCCTGAGATACAGGGGAAAACAAATGCGATGGGACCTACTAGAAATGGTATGTCTTATCTTGCATGCAATGCAAAAGGGCATGGTAATACAGAATTGACAATTGCTAGCCAAGTCCGATAATAGTGTCATTGTTGCAATAGGCTATTCACATACACATACACATAGCGAAAGGTGCCCTATATACATAGCTCAACGGCAACAAATGTGCACCTTGACTGCACGTGCAGAAACCGGTTGAGACCTCCATTGTGATATGAAAAGGGCGGCAACAAGAGCGATAGATAGGAGGATTGATCGGCCGTGACAAGGAGCGAAACAATGCTCTCTTCTCCGCATCTTGTTATGGATGTGTGTAATGTAACTTTACGATTTTCTCATGCACGTCCCTCATCATTGAGAGGAAAATTTATGATCTCCTCCTCCCTTCTTTTTCCATCATCAAAAAGGAACGTTGGGCTATCGTTCCTTTTTCCTCCGTTTCATGACTCCCGATTTAACAACGTTTGTTTCAAATAGCAACAGGGACAATGTAATGATGAGATTACTGAGAAAGAATGTGAGGTACCTATTTCATTTCCTGATTCTTGGGCTCATCATATCGTTCCTTTTACGACATCACAAAAGTGTCCTGTCGCACATGCCAGTCAACCATGTTTCAAGTCCCTTTATACTGGCACGATCTTGTAGCTTATTGTACACCTTGCCGAGGTTGCCGGTGTCCCTGCTCAGCATTGCATCCTCTTTATTACACAATGACTACACCAAAGTTAATCCGTATTTTCGTCATTGTGCACAGTGGGCCATGTTTCATCTTAAACAATGATGATCACCCTAAATCTCGATCCAGCAGCTATAGGGGCGGTGATGAGAGGAGTTCATCAGGTGACAAATGAGGGCTGATAATAGGCTGCCATGTGATGAGCTCACCACTAAAAGTGATATGCCTCGATGATGACTAGGTATAATGATGTATATGGATTGCATGGATACGGTTGCTATAACACCGACTATGACCAAGCAACGGCGGTGCAACACATTAACGTACCCATCAACATGGCATGTTGATTTTAAGCCATACTATGCTCCTGTATGAAGGCACGTGATACGATGGGTGCTCTATGCTTCCGCTGCTATTAGCATAAGGATACTCTCAAATGTAACGTATAAATAAAGCACTATTGTGTTATTCAGTGAGCCTGGTTCAGTAGCTGTTTCATTGTTTACCCCAAATCTCATCAAAAAGGGCCACTACAAAAGGGGATGTTATGATTTGTGGATGACCGCATTCCTGGCAAGGTGCCTACCAACGTTGATCTCCGTTGTTTGTAACAACAATCAAACAACATAAAGGATTCGGATATTACATACAATGTCATTGTCGGTATAATTCATTGTTTGAGCAGCTTCATAATGTGTCAAAGAGGGTGGGTGGGGGGTAGCATGGATACGGGTACATAGTCACGCGAACGCGATTAACAACCGCATTTATCGATCATGTTTGAAGAGCGCGTTCTCCTTTTCACTCTCTATCCACAACCCAGTTTATTGTGCAACGACTTTCAATGAGTAACACACGTTTCCTTGATACACTAAGAAAGTATGATTTGCAACAGGTATCGTATCAACAATGGGTTTGCAACAAAGAAATGTTGTGCTAATGGCGATGCTATGGTAGTATTATCCCAGGTACAAAAACGCCCGTTGTCAAGTAACAGCAATGGCAGTGAACCCTCAGCTCATGTGAATATCATAGTCTTTATTCTCAAGGCATGTCGACTTTGAACGTTTTGGCAGAGGTAAGTAAGAAGAAACAAGGGCTTTAGGAAGAACCAAGATTGACGATGGAGGGCCATTAGCTATCGATGCAGGATTGTACTCGACTTGGCGTACGTTCGATCGATGACAAGCGTAGATTTATGGCCTTGGCTGACGACGTTAAGCGACAACTGCAAAGCAAAGCAACCGTATCACAGCATGCTCCTATCAAACGATCTTCAGCAACGACTCCTCCACATACATCGGTTGCAAGGAAACGACAACATGTTATTCCCGCATCATCGTTGCCTTCAGAGAAACAAGCTCGACGTATGACCATTGCACCACAAACCGTTCAACGAGCCAACATCACACGTGCTGGTATCGCATCATCTATAACAGCCGTCAATAATAGCAATGCATCCTCCACTACAACTACTACAACTACTACCAATGCACGCAACAATCGACGTTTATCCTATCTTCCTCGTCAACATCGATCTCCAATCCGTCAACCACAACACCGATCTCCTATTCGCAAACCAAACACGGCATCATCATCCTCAGCTCATAGCCCTATACGTAAATCAACCACAACAGTAGCAGCTTCGTTACCCCATAGTCCCATTCGTCGACCAATAACATCATCCTCTGGATCCAGTCCCTTACGACCCACTACCAACAGCAAAACACCACCCAAATTGCCAAAGTTTATGGAAGAAACAGGTGTGGAAGTGAAGCCAGCTGAAGAACCTGTTCAAGTTCAAAAGCAGCCGACACGTTATTTGGATGCATATGGTATCCCAGTCAACGCACCACCTAGGCAACGGCGACTTAGCAACGACGGCCTACCTGGATCATCATCTGCTACTGGCACTTCAATCATGTCATTTGAAGAATATATTCGTGCACGTGCAAATAAGACGACCATCCAAGCTTCAAGCGGCGCAAATAATGGCAACAGTGATCTGCATCAACGTATACGTGTTTGTGTCAGGAAACGCCCCCTCAGCAAAAAGGAAATCAATCATGGCGAAATGGATGTTGCGCCCGTTGTCAGTGCAAGAACGATCCAAATCAATGCTCCCAGGTTGGTTGGTTACCAAGAAAAAGACACATCCTCCATGATCTAATCTTTTTCAATTCCCAGGACACGTGTGGATCTCACTCGATTTACGGAGCAGCACTCATTTACATTTGATGACGTCTTTGATAGCAGCACTACCAACATTGATGTGAGTGAACCCGTTTTCTTTGACAAATGAGGGCCCCAGCTCATGATGATGTGATGATAGATCTATCGGCGAACAGCCTATCCATTGGTGGAATATATGTTTGGTGGTGGGAAAGCAACATGTTTTGCATAGTAAGTACAAGAGGGACATATCGTTTATGAGACAAGAGAATTTAACTTGTGTTGGATAGTGGTCAAACTGGTAGTGGCAAGACGTATACCATGTTGGATCCCAAACACGGTCTCTATGTACAAGCTGCTCATGATATTTTCCACATGCTTGGCAAGCCCCAATATTCACATCTCTCTGCCTGGGTTGGCTTTTATGAGATCTATCAAGGGCAGCTTTATGATTTGCTCAATCAAAGGAAGCGGTTAACACCTCGCGAGGATGGCAATAGCAATGTTGTTATTGCAGGCTTGAAAGAGTTTCCGATCAAGGACGTTGACAGGTTGATGGAGGTCTTTGATTTTGGTAGCCAGGCCCGTACAACAGGTAATAACGTGGATACCAATATGGGGTTATCATTAAGGTATGCTTACTGATTCGTGTTTAATAGGCAAAACGGGTGCCAACAACAACTCCTCTCGATCACATGCTGTCTTACAAGTGTTGCTTAAATCAAAAGGAGACAATACGGCAATCCATGGAAAGCTCAGCTTTATTGATCTGGCAGGAAGTGAACGAGGTGCTGATCGAGGCGAGGCAAATCCAAAAACCAGGTTTGTATTTATATTTTAAAAAAAAGGCAATGATGGATCAATGGATGCTTACATTGTTGAGCTTAGGATGGAAGGTGCTGAAATCAACAAGAGCTTGTTAGCATTAAAGGAGTGTATTCGTGCCCTTGATCAAGATAAACGACATACGCCTTTCCGAGGAAGCAAGCTGACGCAAGTTTTACGAGACTCGTTTGTCGGCGACTCACGAACGTGTATGATTGCGACCATTTCACCCAATAACCCCAACAGTGAGCATACCTTGAACACTTTACGATATGCTGATAGGTAAGGAAGAGCGAGAGAATACATCAAACAAGGAACATGTTCTAATTAGGTTAATAGAGTCAAGGAACTCAAAGGGGAATCCGATCCACGGTTGCTAGCTGAAACAAGAGCAGAATCACAGGATTTGATGCCACAAGATGATATTGCCAGCAATGCCAATTCGGATGCTTTGTGGGATGACGACCAGACTGAGAACCTTTTGGATATCGATTTCCCCAGCCAAATGAGCTCCACGGCATTAGAGACCCCTAAATCACACCATCCAGCAGCTGGAAGCGGCGGCGATGGTGACATGCCTGATAGGCAACGACACATGATGCGACGACTATCATCACCACCTGCAGAGGTATTTGAGCTGGCACCCGAAGAACCGTTTCAGGATGAGGATACCATCATGACCCACCATGATCAACAGGACCCACCACCACAAAAACATGAACCACAGCCCATGGAATTGCAACAAGAAGAAGAGGAGGAGGAGGACTCCAATAGCAAAGAAGTTTCGGTGCAGCAGATACGCGATTTTATCAGCTTGCATCGTGCACAAATCAAAGAGCTTGATACTTGCATACAACGAGAAAAGCGGATGGTGTCCAACCTATCATTAGCGGTCTCCAGCCATTATGATTGCAGCGAAAACAATGGACCTGAAGAGAGCAAGGAGAGCCATGAAAAAACTGTTTCATTGTACCAGTCCTATCTCAAAGATCTTGACGACGTGCTCGATGAAAAGTATCATTATGTCGAGGCTTTAAGAGAAAAGGTCAAACGAGAAATGAGAATCATGCCTGATAGTATATAATTCAAATATTCCCACCATGTACTTTTACATAAACCTGCTATTCGATTGTAATATTATGGATTTGATATGAAGGAGGAGGAGGAGGATATGGATATGGATGAAACAAGCAGAGACCCCCCAAGTGGATTACTGCATTTGGTAAAGGATGAGCTTGTGATGACAGTGAAACTAATTACCCTCTTGCAAGACGCTAGTGTGGTAAAGCAGCAGACATTGTCTGCATGTCACTAATGCCTGTGTATTGTGATCCTAGCAACCCCAAATCCATATAAATAGCAAAGTAGTTCAAACAATAAACACCAGGAATCCTCTTTTCCCAATTTTGTATCATTGTCGCTGGCCTAGGATTGGCCTCAAGTTTCTATCGTATATCTACTCTTTGCACGTACGCATGTCGTTTGTCGTTATCTCTCTGATGGTGTAGCTAAGCAATCATCTTTGTATAATGTAGTATCCATTTATTGTTTCCTGTCGCTGCTATCTATAAGGTTTCACACCTTGAAGTCTTTGCTTTTTGCTACTACCTTGGTACGCTTGTTTCCCTTTGCACGTTACATCCCCTTTTGTCTTTGTGTTTTCTTGTACTGATTATGAACGCTGGCTTGTATGCAGATTGCGAGCAAAAGGCAGTCAATAAAGATCGTCAACACTAGTTGACATTATGCATCATCACATACATATGGGCAGTGGTTGAGATAATGATGCTTAGTCGTGCATCTGCATGTGGCCAAAATTCTCGGGTGATCGATAAAAATGTTTATGCATGCTGAGCTCTGAGACATTAGTGACCTACATAGTAATTACTCTACATTCATGATGCAATGCTTTACATACAATGACCATCGTTGTCGTTGTTATGGCTTTCCATCATGTTGCGCCATACACGTGGCAGATCGGGAAAAAGAGCCAACACCTGGAATGAAATTGCTGTGGGAGCGATGGGATGGGAATAAAGACCAAAAATGGGAGGAATTACTGTGGCAAGGTGTGTGGATCGTCCTGAGGATATGTCAATGGGAAAAACTCACTCGTGTGCAACTTGACAACGTGAGAGCCGCCATCGCCACTCACAGGAGAAAGTTACTTTGCGAGGAGGATTCCCAAAAGCAAGCAAGGAAACCATCACTAAAATAGTAACGATAGCTATCAGTGCTATAACCGGGAATAGTGGCTGCTGATTTGTATGCATATGCATGTCGCAACAACGTGGCCTATTGTTTTGGCGTTGCTAGGAAAGAATGCGAGAGATCGGGGAAAATGAGGGGCCCCATTAAACAATTCTTCGACCCGTGTGTGTGTAGCGTTGCATAACGTAAAATATCATGTAATCTTTTAATCATGAGATATGATGAATGGCGCATGTGTGACAAGGTCCCTTTTTTACATTTCCTCTCTCTCTCTCTGCCAGTTTTCATCTCGATGCATTTCATTGATTCTTGGAAGGATCTTATCAACGGCATCAGCATGAGAATATTAACAACGCGTACATCCCACATTTCCTATCAGCCAACAAAATGCGAACCCTTACTTTTGTGTAGCCTGCATCCTTGCTCTCCCACACACAGGCCATATGTCCTTAATGTGCGCGGGTTTGACACCCGAATACCAAAAGATGTCACTATTGCTTTGCAAAAGCTTGGATCAGTGAACCAAAAGTATGGGATGAAAGAACATCCGTTGCAGCGGTAATAGGCTTTGGTTACAGCCGCATTCATTGCAAATGGTCATATTCCCCAGCTGCACAGACTAGCCGGGGCTGTGTTATGTGGGGGGTTAAGGTGTGGGGGGAAAGACAGTATAAGATGATGATTGGCCTTGTTTGCCGCGGGAATAAGCATACGACATTTGCCCTGAGAAAAAGTCAATGGCGGCAAATAAAAGAACGGGAAGTTTTGGAACCGCTCTCTTCCTTTCACTTTATTCTGGTCCGGTCCCTTTCCCACTTGAGACATTTGTTTGCACAAAATACATGAACGACTATCCACAATACGCTGCACCACAATCAACATCAACATCAACAAGCAGAGATATGAAATCGGTCCCGCTTTACCAACATGATCAAATACCTTATTCCTCATTCCAACAACAACAACAGCAGCATCAACCTAAAAGACCATCAGAAGATTTATCATCCAACCCAATTAACGGTGATCTACAAGATGTCATCTTTTATTATCAGTCGCAGCCAGACATGTTACGCTTGATATTGCAAAGCAAGGTTGAAGAGGATCGACGTAGAGCAGAAGAAGCCAAGTTGCGTGCCAAAGAACTTGATCTCCTCATGCTTCAACAACAACAACAACAGCAACCATCACAGCAAACGACTTTCACCCATATTACCCAAACACCCACCCCTGTATCTTTTGATGAACCATCATCCTTTACTCGCCGACCTACACCTGATACCTTAATAAGCGATCATCGCTCACCAACTACGTCGCTATCCATGGGTGGTGCAAGCACTCAATCTGATCATAGTGAGATGTTTTCTCCTATTACCACATCCGCTGTACCGGCTGGTCCGGGTAACGTTGCCATGTTTCCAATGGATAGGTAAGCGTGCTTGTGTTAAGCATTATCATGTATGTTGACAACTTTTATGGCAAACTAGTTATCCTCCTGTATCCAAACCTTCGATATCATCATCACCAATCATGCCCAACAATAACACTACTACCATGATGGATGATAATGTATTCCATTTGCAATCCAATGACATGTTTTCATCTCCGTATCCATCACAACCACTGCAACAAAATGCATCGTCATCATCACCACCTATCCAACGATATGAACCTTATTATCCACATCGACCACGAAGACGACGAGAAATGCAAGCCGTAACCAAGATTGTCGAGACTCGGGAATACCCTTATGCCGATGGCTACTTTTGGAAGAACAATGGCAATACGATCCAGAAAAAAACAGGCAACAAGAGCGTCTACTACAAGTGCTCAAATAGTGCCAAGGTAAGAGATTTGCTGCCAACACCACAGCTTGAACAATGTCTCATATGAATGGTTTCTTTGTTTTAGGGCTGTCCGGTAAACAAGACTGTAACATGGAAAGGCAACGGCGAGTACTTGATTAAGTACCGTGGCGAGCATTTACCAGACTGTGGCCATGTACAGCGTGTTTTGGATATGTAAATACTATTACTACTATGTTAAATTATTCCCTCCTATTGGCATCCCAAATCATCCCCGCTTTCCTTCATCATCATCATCTCTTGTCCTTTGTATTCTTACGTCTATAGATCCCTTATCCAATTATACCACAAATCAACCCCCTTCCTATGCATTATTACACACGCATATACAAGAACCGAAAAAGAATAATCATATGACAAATGGGGAGATTTTCGCAATGGTGTTGCACAAAATCCTCTCTTTCTCTCTCCATGAATACGCTTATGTAACACAACGTGTCAAGTGTGACAATTTGAAACCTGTTCAAGCTGATTGGTCTGGATGAAACGGAATTTGTAAAACGTACGAGTCCCCCACGCTACGCTGACCCCACGCTTCTCTGGGTTTATACATTCGGCTGGAATTGAAGCAAAAGGGCTAGGTGTGTGTGTGTGTGTGTGGATGATGAAATCATGTATCCGGTGCGTACCCTGATCCCGTCGTGGGAGCAGCAGCACAATGCTCCCTCACTCTTTCCAAACATGGCCCAAGCTCCTCTACCACCAAGACCCTTTCCAATAACCCAACACGCTTAGTCATGTGCACCGTGCTTTCGAATTAAGGGTTCATTTTCGAGAGACATGCAAGCTTAGCAACATGTTATCATGTTTTCTGCCACCGCTCCGATACACACACGTGAGAATGGTACTGTTGTTAAACATATTCCCCGTTCAACAACTCCTACATGTTTTCCGCGGATGTATGATCTTGTATGACGTTTGCTATCTTCAGGGTCGACCTTTGCGTTTTCATCATTGGAAACAATGTGGTCAAACTTTTATCTCACCAAAACTTACTATGTAATGATGCAATTACCCTCATAAGGCCATCATGTTGGCAACATCCTCATCATCCCAAAGCAAGCATCCCTCACCATCCATGTATAATATACTTCCTTCACAATCATATGTACAAGATAAAGGTCCTTTTAATGTTTGATATTGTTTCATCTGCAACTGCACTATGATTCTGCCACTGGTGAACATGCTGGTGCTGCTGTGTGGTGTGCGTTTGGGCTCGTGTGGATGATAAAACAATGTCTTTGCGAACATCAAGACTTCCTCTTTACTGTTGCCACTCGTCTGTTGTTGCTCAAAGCTCCTTACAGTTGTCTTCGTGTTGCTCATTCCTAGATTCGTGAGCTGCTGCGTTGTACTAACGCGAATCGACAAAGTGGTCCATAGTAGAGAAAGCATCTGTTGAATAAAAAAGACAAGCGTACCACCTTCCCAGAGCTTCCTTTACGTTGTTTGGCGAGTGACAAAGTTACATTAAAGCTGCTGTCGAGTAATTGCAGTGTTGAAGTAGCGTGCTCGCTCGTGGTGCTGATGTGTTCCTTGACAACTTGGAAGAGGCTGCATAGCTGCTTGTGTGAGCTATCAAAGCCATTCGAGTGAAATTGAGTCTCCGCTCTACTTGGGCGCAAGATTCCATCCCTATACATGATGGCCTCAAGCAACTTGAAATAAGGTGTGGAATGACAGCCCATATATAGATCATACGATGGTGTCCATATCAAAACCCATCTTACCCGCTACACCATATAACACATGAACAACACAACACGTAAACAATAGGTTTTAAGGTTCGATCAAAAAGCAACAACAAGCAAGCGGTGTTTGGCGGCCGTGATAAGAAAAACGCGGCCTAGGGACTAACTATGGTAAATGAGATGTAAACATTTTATGCATGCAATGCATTCCGTGATCCGAAAAACGCCATCAACAAGACTGGTTACCCAGTGGCACAAATAACTAGGTGTATGCAAATGCAGCCGAATTCTTCGTCATTCGCCAAATGTAAGACATGCGGTGTGATTGACTATATGAAACGAGTGGATACCCGCATGTTATATGTAGTACTGCTATTGAATGCGATTTAGATCGCGTTGTTTATGCATCTTCAGGGGCATTTGGTGCAAAGCATGATTGCGCTTTTTGAATATTGATCCTGCCACTGCGGCTTTATGCATATGCGAATCTACTACAAACTTCTTTTAGATTTGCATAAGACGGCTACACCCATTCCCGAAATGATCTATTACTTGTCATCGACGTCTAATGGCAATCATTGGCAGAGCTTGCAAACCTGCTTTATGGTATATCTGTTTTTGGTCCTCTTGTGGGTATCTGAACGTGTTCCGATGTAACATAAAGACTTGTTTCAAACATATTTGTTTGGCATCCTTTGTGTGTATTTGAATGTGTTCGGAGATGCTCTTGGAAATGAGGTAGCTTCTTCAGTTGGCTAATGCATAAGTTGCTCTCACTTGGACCTACTAACATGCACGATAGCATACGTATTCATTTGATAGTGCTCTTATATGGTATCGCTATGAATAAAAAGGTACGAATGAACCTATAACATCCAGGCTAGCCCAAACAGCTTACTTGATGAATATGGTTAACGACATTGGCGAACCGGTATGTCAAATGGGAGCTGAGAAAGAGACGGGTACAGTACACAAAGAAGGAATCCAGGTCGTCTGATGCGTGTGTTACAATGCAAAACGCCAGCATAATGTGACTAGAGGAGGCTCTCTTGGTTGAAGTTGGTGAGACAACTAGGCGTTGATCGTTCGAGACAATTATAAAAGAGGTCCAAAAAGTACGAGTATTTGCTATCGAATCAAGCTCGTTCTCTACTGCAAGATGAAGTTCTCAAGTCTCTTCGTTGTCTTTACCAGTCTTTTGCTTACTGTTGTCTCTGCTGCAAGATACCCGGCCATTCTTAAATTTCTTCCATCACCTCGCATTTTCCCACCGCCTTATTTCACTGTGATTGACTTGCCAACCATTGAACAATCGATTCGCGTCAATTTATGGCAACTCGGAAGTCCTCAGGATCTTACTCAAGCTTATCCAGGACAACTATCCAGAGGTTATGTTGAGGTTGATGACCTCTCCGCTTTTGATGGACGATATGCAGGGCTTGTCAATGATGATACGGAAAATCTCGAGGTGAAAATCCACCGCGATGATGGAAAAATGTTTACATTCATTGGTCAAAGCGCAACGGAGGAAACAGTTACAAACATGAAGGTTCGAGCGGACGTGATTCCACAGGATGATGTCGACCTATGGAGCTGGTGGTAGTTTCGCGAAGGTTGTGATAGCATGCATTGGATTTCTTTGTCTTTTGTATATGTATCCATGATCTCCATAAAGCATCATACTTGATTTCTATAAAGAATAGTGTGGCATCTATACATCCTTTCCCATGAGGCGAGGTGTAGGATTTGATTTAATGTGATGTTTGGCTTAGGGGTTGCATTGAAGGATGTCTTAGCCAATTAGAGCAGCAAGTCACTTGCACGCTTTTGGTATTGGCCTATTGTTGCTCTCTCTCTCCCTCTCTCCCTCTTCACTTTTCGCATATCAACAACCTTTATTACGGGTGGCCGATCTCGCCTCACCTTTCGAGTCTTACGTGCTTAGTCAAACAACAACCGCTCGCTTCTTTACAAGCGCATTCGATCCATTCATACAGCGTCGTTGCTTCTTCTATTTACAATTCATCCCAATTGTCGACGCTACCGCAGCATCGCTCACTCAATAACCTTATATTACAACTCTTCCCTATTTCATGTCCCACGATTTCCAATCTTCAACTTCCATTCTACTGACACACGACGATCAACAAGAACTTGAACAACTGCAGCAACAACAACCCCCTCTTGACACTACTTCTCAATATGGCTCCAACACCAACAACAACACTCCTTCAAAGCCAACTGACAAACGCAAAGGAAAGCAAGCCTTTGATCCAAAGTATGTGGAAAGGGGTATATATCAGTGCTTGTGTGTATACTCATACTGCGCCATTTAGTGCACCTTGTTACATCCAGCAATTGTCGATAGAAGTATTGGCCCATGTCTTTGCACGTCTTGATCCAACATCCTTGGCTACAGTGGGCGGCGTTTGTCGCTTCTGGAGACATATTGTCATGGATGATACCTGTTGTAGGTATTCACACCTTTGGAAAACGATACATCAATACTCAATCGCATTGGGTTTATAGGGAAGGATGCTTTTCTTGCCTACTTTGACACATTGCCATTCAAGCGTCTACGTAAGGATAGCTGGAAATCAGAGTACATTTTACGTACTCATCTCATCAGGTAATACAATGGAACAATAAGGATGATGACACTGATGCTGACGAGGAATGACATAGACGGTGGGAAAAGGGTCGTGGTACTGTCATCCAATTCAATCCAAAGGTTGGATCCATCAAAGGTCTTGCTGTCGATTATGAAAATTCAACCATGCTCGTGGCGAGTGCTGAACAAGGCAAGTATGCAACAATGATAGTGTTCATCAATCGGTTGCTTACATGAAAAGATCAGGTCTTGGCGTCCGATGTAATCCAACTACAGGAAAGGTCGAGCGCCATTTGATGTACAGCACAAATGATAATGTTCCATGCCCTGTGAGAACTGTGGAAATGGATGGGTAAGCTTTTACTATCATGAGGGTATTACGTGTTCTAACAACCGTTGCTAGGCAACGTATTTTGTGGGGTTTTCATCCTGGATTTATCACAATGTCCATGCGAGGCAAATCAGCGGGTGGTCGACAGCTGCGTGTCTTTTCCGATTTTCATCAAGGCGCAGTGACGGCTTTGGCATTATCCACTTCTTTGCGTGAAGTCGTATTGAGTGCAGGCGAGGATGGGGCGATCAAGATTTGGGATGTGATTACGGGTACTTGCGCAAAAAGTATGATTGGTAAGTAGATCTTGTACATACCCACATCCTATAATCCATCATCTCATCATTTTATGATTATCAGGCGTGATGGCTACACCAACTTGTCTTGAGATCACAAAGGATTTCCGTGTCATTGCTGGTTATGCAAGTGGTGATATCGTCGTTTGGGATATCCATGTGGGTCAAATTGCCAAGGAACGCCGTGATGAGATGATTCGTCGCCAACATTTACATGCGCAAGCGACAACCACATCGGCTACAACAACGGATTTATCTACACGCCGTCATGTCATACCACCCACAACTGTGGATACAGGCACAGCCGTTCAAACTATCAAGCATGATGCTGATTTGGATGTGATGCTGGTGACATATGCAGGATCACACGAGGTGTGGAAATATTCTATCAAGACCGGCGAATGCCTTGCTGTTTATGGTGGCGATAAGGGGCATCTTGGTACCATCACGTGTATGGAATGGGATACGACGTTGCCAGGTGAAACGGTGCCTTTGCAAAATGCTTTGAAGGTGAAAAAGAGTGGAGTTACCAATGGCATGTCATCCAAGCAACAACACACCCCGATTTCCTCTCCTGTCAAGACCATGCGTGTGATGGTTACTGGTGATACAGAAGGCACTATTTGCGTGTGGGATGGTGATGCGGTTCAAAAGGATGGCAAACCTATTGCGCCTTTGCGTGTTTTACAAGGACACATTTGCCCCATTAGTGCCATACACGTGGATGGATGCAAGATTGTCAGTGGAAGGTAATTGTGTTTGTATCTTACGAGTGATTTGCACTTGCTTACATTTGCAATAGTGATGATGGTTGGATCAGGTTTTGGGATCCATTGACGGGCAATTTATTGAATGTGTTGGGCAACAAGTAAGTAATGTAACTTTAATGACTTGCTATTCAATGCTGACAATGGATTTCATGAAAGGATTCCTCGCAATGCCCCTGTGGATCGTACGGACGTGAGTATGATGCGTGTGACCAATATCCATTGCGACGAGTATCGTGGTGTGGCTACGATTGGACATCAAGTCAAAACGTGGGATTTTTCTCCTGACAAGCAATTCTTGGATAAGCGCAATTTACGTCAAAAAGGCAAAGTTGGCAACGGCAATGCTCGTCAGCTGCATTATGAAATGAAACAAGACCTTCGTGAGAGTGCAGAAGCTATCAAGCAAGAGCGTTTCGAACGTGAACAACACGCCAAGGAGGTGCACAAGATGTCATTGGGTGGTCTATCGGATGAGGAAATGCTTGCATATGCCATGATGCTTTCTCAAGAAGAACAAGGAACTACCAAGGACAACCCTGTGATTACAAATGCTGATTACGTGGATGAAGAAGACGAGGCCTTGATGCAAGCCATGATGGAAAGTTTGAAAATGGAGGAAGAAGCTAAGGCTGCTCGAGAACAAACGATTACGCCGCCAGCTGCAAGCTCGTCTGGATCTTCAGAGTTGGATCATTGGCCCATGTTGGGTGAGGGTAGTGGTGCCAGCAGTAGCGGTAGCAGTAGCAGAGCTGATGTAACGGCGGATGGAGATGATGCTTATGATGCCGAACTGCTATACGTTTTGCAACTTAGCCAGAAAGAAATGTAGATGATTCCTTATACCAGTTTAATAGAGAATTGATGTTTGATATTTGGTCATTGAATGTGATTGATACGAGTACTACAGGCTTATACATACGTCTGTTTGTCATAATGAGATAGGAAAAGATAGATTGATCCTTCTTGACCTATGAGCCATACCATGGTCGCTTGAAAAAAAAACTCCATACGGGCTATCACGGGCGGACCTTACCATAGGTTTATAGGGAACAACATCCGTTATGCATCCTCCACCAATAGGATCGACCCTTGCTCGGCCCCTCTTCACTAGTTACACGGAACAAGTGCTTCTGCATCTTTTGCTCTATTATAGTCATACTACTTTACATTAAACAAAGACCACTTCTCATATAGCATCACGCTTACAACATAGTAAAAACATAAAGACGCCTGTATCTCCAAACTTTACAATCAAACGTGGGCTCTTTAATAGATCAACGTGCTTGTCGGGGTCAAAGGAATCTTGTGTCAAAGTATGAAGTTCATCGTGGGCGATCCCAGATTTCGCAATGTCGCTACCAGCCAAACTGGATCCAGGGGTCGACCTCTTGAAACTTTTTTCGACGACCAAAAAATATTTTTTGGACTGTTTGCGACATTGAACGCGAAACTTTCACACAAGGTGCTGTTGGCCAAGCCGAGCCCATTGCTCTATTCAAAACCTCACGTTTCATTGTAAAGTTCGGAGATACAGGCACCTTTATGTTTGTAAGCGTGATGCTATATGAAGAGTGGTCTTTGTTCATTGTCAAGTAGCTGGACCCTGGCAGAGCAAAAGATGCAGAGGGTCGCGTTGTGTAACACAGCTACGTTTGCATGAATGAAAGGGTCAATGTATAATTACTTTATGGATCATCTAGGAACAGGCATGTATTGCTAGCTAACGGCCACTTTTATCCAATCATCATTGTTGCAAGATCCACTGCATGGGAACGATGCCCCTGCTCTAGACATTCATTTCCATGATTAAAGTAGGTTGATCCGAGCTGATTTGACTGAGCTGCGGTCAAAGAGAGATAACATCACTCTGGACATAAAGCACGCTCGATGTAGCTCAACCGATGTAATCTTGTGTGAGCGTAACTCAACCAAATCAGCTCGGATCAAGCTACTTTAATCATGGAAATGAATGTCTAGAGCAGGAGCATCGTCCACCTACAATAGAATGCACAAAAGTTGGGAATGCACAAAAGTGGCTATTAGCTGCCAGTGTATGACCTGAAAATGACGTTTGCGTACCTGTCATGCATCGTCCCTGAGGTCCGGACTTTTTAGCTCAGCTACACAAAGAGGTCCTTCTGCATCCTTGGCTCTCCAAGGTCTAGCTACTTGGCAATGAACAAAGACCACTTCTCATATAACATCACACTTACAAACATAAAGGTGCCTGTATCTCCAAACTTTACAATCAAACGTGGGGTTTTTATTACAGCAATGTGCTCGGCTTGGCCAACAGCACCTTGTGTGAAAGTTTCACGATCAAGCCTGCCAATCCCAGATTTCTCAATGTCGCTACCAGCCAAACTGGATCTGGGGCTCAACCTCTTCACGACGACGACCAAAAGATATTTTTTGGGCTGTTTGCGACATTGACCGCGAAACTTTCACACAAGGTGCTGTTGGCCAAGCCGAGCCCATTGCTGTAATAAAAACCCCACGTTTCATTGTAAAGTTTGGAGATACAGGCACCTTTATGTTTGTAAGTGTGATGCTATAAGAAGAGTGGTCTTTGTTCTTTGTCAAGTAGGTGGACCCTGGCAGAGCAAAAGATGCAGAGGGTCGTGTTGTGTAACACAGCTACGTTTGCATGACTGGAAGGATGGAAGGATGATACTATATACTGTTGACAAAAGCCCGTACATTGCGGTCTAACAGCCATTTCTTCACAATAGCCACTGTTGTCCACTCTATGACATGTGAGCGATTCTCCTGCTTCAGACATTCATTTCCATGATTGGATTATGTTGATCCGAGTTGATTTGTCCGAGATACAGCCAAAGAGGGATTACATCAATCCACACATCTAACCCTGTCTATGCTGCTCTCAACCGAAGTAACTCCAGCGAGCGTAGCTCAGCCAAATCAACTCGGATCAACATAATCCAATCAAGGAAATGAATGTCTGAAGCAGGAGAATCGCCTACATGTCATAGAGTGGACAACAGTGGCTATTGCGAAGAAATGGCTGTTAGATCGCAATGTACGGGCTTTTGCTGTCAACAGTATATAGTATCATCCTTCCATCCTTCTAGTCATGCAAAGTAGCTGAGTTACCCAAAGAGGTCCTTCTGCATCTTTGGCTCTGCCAGGGTCCAGCTACTTGACAATGAACAAAGACCAATTTCTCATATAAAACGCTTACAAACATAAAGGTGCTTGTATCTCCAAACTTTACAATGAAACGTGGTTTTTATTAGAGCAATGTGCTCGGCTTGGCTAACAGCACTTTTGTGCGGAAAGTTTCACGATCAAGCTTGCCAATCCCAGATTCGCAATATACCGCATTTCCAGCCAAACTAGATCTGGGGGTCGACCTCTTCGACGACGACGACCAAAAATATTTTTTGAGCTAGTTGCGACATTGAACGTGAAACTTTCACACAAGGTGCTGTTGGCTAAGCCGAGCACATTGCTCTAATAAAAACCCCACGTTTCATTGTAAAGTTTGGAGATACAGGCACGTTTATGTTTTACCTATGCTGTAAGCGTGATGGAGTTGCTTTTTCCTAGTGGATGGTGTCGGCTGCATTAACGGAAAGATGAAGAGCTGGGTGCAACCGCACGTGGTGGTTACACAGACACGTCCTTGACAGGTTGCTACACAAATGGATGATGATGATGATGATTGCCTTTTGTGAAGGTACGTAAGTAAACAGCATCCAATAATGAAGGTATGTCAAGGTATGCATCACATTTGCATGTAGAAGAAAGTCGAGCTGCATAAACCAGATTGTATGTGTAAGCCCACCAGTAATCAATTCAATGGAGGAGGGTCGCTTTCACTTCCTCTCAAGGACATCCCACTCCTCCTTATTGTATCACAAAAGCCATATACTTCTTGCATGATCGATAACCGGACCACCTTTATTATTCCGTCTTCGAAGCAACAGTAGTATGCAATCCACAAGCATTCACAATAGATTCATTGTGTAGTGTGTGCTATCTCAACTGGTTGTCTGGGATTGATGTCGCGCTGTTTTCACGCGCTTTGATTCTTCACCATGAACTCCTCCTTTTCCTGTTGTCCCTTTCTATCTATTGTTTATACAAATGACACGACGCGATGAAGGGAACGAGACTCCAACATGAGTAGCATTGTACGAATGTAGATTCCTCAACGTATTCCTCAGCGAAACGCACCCACAAGAACGCCTACAGGCCGATCGCTCTTCGCTTCAGGCACAATGCCACGACCGACACCTCCCGATTTACTGCTTTTGCCAAAGAACAATAGCAACAGCAGCAGCAGTAGCAACGACAATCAGTTCTGGGCAATGCAATGACAACCCCTTTGTTGCTTACAACCCTTCAAGGTATCTAGCTACAGCATGTATACGGCACCACCTGCATCAAAAGCTCAATATCAATGGTGTATAGGCTTATTTGAGGATCCGTCTACCACCATCCATGCACCACGAGAAAGGTCGCTACTATTTAAAAGTTGTAGCTGTATCGAGGTTTCGATATAACACTATCAGTAAGTGCTTGACAGAATGTTTGATCCTTTGAGATACTGATTGTTTGCTGTATCTGCAAAAGGACTCCAATGCTTATCGTACACGCAATCGATCTCCAGAGGGATACAAGTTCAGCAGCATCATCACTGAGAATGTCAAGCAAAAGGAATTCTTTGACAAGACGATATTGCCACTGGTTGAAGATTATCTCAAAGGAGAGAATGCGCTTGTGTTTGCATATGGTGTCACCAATTCAGGCAACACATACACCGTCATGGGAACAAAGGAAGAGATCGGATTGGTACCACAGACACTGGATATCATTTTCAATTGCGGGCAAGGATCCTTGAATGAATCCAAGGTATGTTGGTTTGGTGATGAATATCGAAAAGTGGTTGACTTTCATTGTGGTATATATGTAGATTAAGCCGACAATGAACAGCCTTGTTGAAACCTATCATGACCCCGCTGAAGAGAATTGAGATTATTGGATCATATCATGCAAAGTGCAACGGAAGGATTCGCGTCAAAAGGCATGGTAAGTAATTTGATCGTGCACATTTAGCACATGATACTGACCGGCAGCTTCCTCTCAATACGGATTCTGAAGCGGGCACAAGTACATTGCCGGTTTGAAACAAGTCAAAGTACAATCTATTGAGGTATGATGATTTGGGCATTGGGACGTCTCACTAGGATGTGTACTCAAAAGACAGCATATAGGAAGCATACGTCTTGATGGAACAGAGCAAAGGACTCGGGCTATTCATTCAACGTTATTGAATCATACCAGCAGTCGCAACCACAGCATCTTTACCATCAGCATTGTACGAGTTCCTATTGATGATGAAGGCTATGTCATTGAGGTAAGAGCGTTGCATTTGAGGAATTGAGGATCCAAGGCTTAATGTCTATGCATATCCAGGACCCATCATGGACATACTTTGTCACCTATCAAAAGACACCTTTCAAGCCGCATGTGGATCTATGTGTGACAGCTGTTGATTGCCCATCACTTCGACTCAGTACTCCCAAGATGCTTGACCAATTTATCAGTTCGATCCATCACGACAACATTACCCACCACCACGCCCACTCATGTATAAACAAGGCTGTTTGAACCAACACTATCATACGCCCTTTCTTCTATTTTTATGCGTATTATCATCAATGGCCTTTGGTAAGTCTCAAGGAGAGTCTTATGTGATTTCCAAAATGAGGGTACTCATGCATTCATCTATGTAGCTCGCTTCATTGTTTTACTAATTGGTGCGCTCTTGTTGGTGCCTAATGGCATTTGGTTGTTTTCCTTGATCCCATTTGTGGTAGGTATCACTCTCATTTATGTATTGATAAATGTTACTAAAAGGATGTCTTGTACATTTGTAGCCGAAAGGCAACTCCAATCTGATGGGAAATTTGGGACTCCTTGAGGCGATAGCCCCTTCATAATGAGTAATCAAAGACGCTGAAACGGGCAAAGAAAGGACATCCAAGGTCAAATGCCAATTACAAGCAAAAGAAAAAGTGACGGCAACCATCCAACAACATCCCTACCCTGCCATATTTCTCACTGATCACACAACCATGTTCTGTACTTTTCCACTCTTAATATCCCTTGATAGTCAACAATGTATTATTCGAAAAAAATGTAAATGAATCCTTATACCTGTAATAGAGAATTGAAGTTTGATATTTGACTATTGAAAGTGGTTGATATGGATGCTTTATGAATAAGGATTTGGCTTTGGATCATTTACTTGTGCTAGGTGGGGTGTGTCAATTTAATCGCAGACAGGCTGCGGCATTTTCCGACGTCTCGCACATACGCCTTATCTTTCTTTCTATTCCCACTACAATTATGCAAGCGTTCACATGCCAGCGTTGCAAGCAACCATTACGCATCGACGACTCATTGGCAGACTTGGATTCAGCATCAGCCGATCTGTTGACAGGTAAGCTCCTTCTTCCACCTCGTACATGAGGATCGTCCTTGTTAAAGAAATGGGTGAATGTGTCATTCAGCACCTCTTTCGGCCGAGGAACAATACCAGCAGCAGTTACGACAGCAAAGTTCACAACACTCGACAACAAAGGATCCTTTAACAAAGCGACATGTTGGCGTGGGGAACAAACAATCCATGGCAGGTGGTGGCAGCAACAACAATCGATCTATGCGTGATAGTCTTCCTCTTCCTTCCGAATCGTTCGTGGTATTGACCAGGTCACAAGTGGGTCAAAATCAGGTGCCCTCGTCATCATCACCTTTGGCATCCTATTCTTCTTCATCTCCTGCTACGACTACAGCCACTGCCATACCATCATCATCATCACCTGCTACTAGCAATCATCATCTCACTACGAGTCCTCATGCTACATCCGCCGCCGCCACCACCACCACGAGTAACAATCAACCGCATCATACCACCACCAGTACAGCCACAGGGGCGAACAATGGATCATCATCTACACATGACGATACAAGCAATCGCAACAACAGCCTATCGCATCGTTTACGAGTTGCCAATCGTTTATTCAACATCATTTCATCCAAATCCAGTATTGATCATCCAATGTGTCAAGAATGCACGGACTTGTTGCTCGAGAGTCTTGAAAAGGAATTGGAAGATGTGAGTCGAGAACGTGATGCCTACATTGAATTCTTTGCCAAGATCAAGGAAAATCGAGTGGATGATGATATGCGAAAAGAACTTGAACATGCTGTGGAGCAGGTATGTATATGAAGATTCCTTTACAGCCTTGCTGTTTATTGACGTGATCTCTATGATAGCTCAAGGAAGCCGAGAAGGAAGCTTTAGCCGAATTGTCGAAGGCACAAAGCGAGCACGAATTGGTACAACAAGAATTAGAAGAATTGGAAAGAGAATTGAAGGCTTTGGATGATCGAGAGGAACGCTTTTGGGAACAATACAACGATTATGAAATCAAGCTGGAGAACTTTCAGAATGAGCGTGATTCCATCAACCTCAAGTATGATCATGACGTCAAGCAATACGAGCGACTTCAACGTACCGTTGTATACAATGATGCATTCTGCATATCTCAGGATGGGCCATTCGGTACGATCAATGGGTTTCGCCTTGGAAGACTTAGTTCGCATCCTGTGGAATGGAGTGAGATCAATGCAGCATGTGGTCAGACCTTATTACTTCTTTACACGGTGGCTAACAAGCTCAAATTTCAATTCAAAACGTAAGTCAGCAAGGGTTGATCGAGATGTGTGTATTAACAAAGGTAATGCAGATATCGACTTGTACCCATGGGATCATTTTCTCGAGTGGAAAAGGTGGATGGCGATATTGTGAATTCGTATGAATTGTAAGTGAAAGGAGAAAGGATGAGTGCCATGATGGGAGGGGAAAGTTGACATCATTACGTAGATATGGATCTGAAATTGGCTTGAGTCGGATGTTCCTGAATCGAAGATTTGATCATGCTATGGAAGGGATGCTGAATTGCCTAAAGCAGTTGACCGACTTTGCAGAGGAAAGAGATCGAAGTTTGAGATTCCCGTACCGTATTCACAAGGACAAGATTGGTGATTTATCCATCCGTGTGCAATTTAATCAAGATGAAGCATGGACACGAGCGCTCAAGTATATGCTCACCAATATGAAATGGGTGTTGGTGTTTGCAAGTAGAGCCAACGTTTCTGTGGAGTCTCATTAGATTTTATTGTTATATATATACCACCTTTGTTATGATGCTATTTGATAAAAAAAATACAAATCCTGTATAGTGTAAAAAATGGGGGAGGGGTTGTCATGGAAATAGGATTATATGATAGTTGGGTGGCAACCATATACAGCAGCTAGTCGGAGCTCTCCCGTTTGCCAAATGCGGACGAGTTGCTGGAAGTAATCGATCCTTCTCTTCCACCCATCCTTCAAGTAAGCCATCCATATCCATCCATCCATCCATCCATCCATCCATTTACTTACTTAACATTGTAGTCTTGGAAAAATGGTGACTCCCGTCGTCAAGCACAAGATTATCAAGAAGCGTACTGCTCCCTTCAAGCGTCACCAGTCTGACCGCTTCGCTCGTGTCGGCGTAAGTTTGAACACACAAAGAGAGAGAACATTGACATGGATGCTGACAGGAGAGGACGAATATAGGAATCGTGGAGAAAGCCCAAGGGTATCGACAATGCCATGCGTCGTCGTTTCAAGGGCCAAGCTGCCATGCCCAAGATCGGTTATGGCTCTGCCAAAAAGACCCGCCACATGTTGCCCAATGGTTTCCGCAAGTTCACCGTCAGCAACGTTAAGCAACTCGACCTTTTGTTGATGCACAACCGTAGCTACGCTGCTGAGATTGCCCACAACGTCTGTGCCAAGAAGCGTGTCGAAATCATTGAACGTGCTGCTCAGCTCAACGTCAAGGTTATCAACGCTGGCGCTCGTCTCAGATCCCAGGAATAAATGTGCTCGCTCATTTTGCATTTTGTTCTTCATCAACAACAACAACAATGACGATGACGATGATGTATGTGTGTATATGTATGTGTGTGTGTGTATGCGATGGTATCATTTTTTGTTTGATTTGGTTTGGATTTTGCATGACATTTAGCGTGCGTGGAATGGGAAAGGATATCACAAATCAGGGGATAGCAATCACAACTACGGGATCATATGATGATGGGCTTTTATGAGGAGGAGTCTATCAAAAGAGAGGGAAAAGTGTATCAGCCAAGTGTGTATGCATGTATATGTGCGAAAATGGGAGATCATACCTTGTCCAGAAGAATCAGCCCGCTTTAACATTTCTTGTACCTGAGATCATCATCATAATAAGTGAGTGAATGAATGATACTTGCCAAGAAGCGCGCAAATAAAATGAAATGCCCGTGTAAAGTTACCTCTTGAGCTTCTACAGCTACACTCGCATCAAGATCGGCATATTGGCGGCATATCGGACACGCGAATCCGGGATAGTGTTGTAACAATGGGCGACAGCATTTGAAATGAAAAGTATGGGAACAAGGAGCCACAAAGAGTGCTTGTGTTGGTGCAATGGGATATAGGCAAATGCAACAATCCTCAATACGTGAATCTTTTTTGTCAATGTCGTTGTTGTTATCCATGACAGTGTCCAGCACAGTGATGTTGTTGGTTGGTGTGATCAAATTGCGTAACGATTGGAACGTGTTGACACTATCATCATTCACCCATGAGTAACCTTTCTCATCCTTCATCGTCTTGATTTACCTATAAGCACTTGGTTGATGTTGCCATGTCCGATTCAATTCAATGCGCATCTTGACAGCTCGATAGATTTCTATTATGTAGTAGTAGTATCCATGAGACATCACATCGCTTGCATCACAACTTGTAATTACCTTCATATCCACCCTGATAATCCACTCCTAATTGGATAATATCACCATCCTTGAGTTGGAAAGGCTTCGATTCTTGATTGGGGGCGCTCAATCGTACATGGTTTAAAAAGGTACCCGAGGAGGATCGTGTATCGCGGATATAAAGCTTATCAACAACAACAATGAGATCACACACACATACAAAGAAAGGGGGAGATTTGCTTGCTTGCACCACCTTACCTTGCCATCCTCAGTCCATAACTCAGCATGTCCTCGACTCACTACTTTGCTTCTGAAAGTGATACGGTTGGGTGTCAAGAAGCGATCAGTGAAGCGACCAATTTTGATAACGATGTTCTCTCGAACGTCTCGTTCAATGACTCCAAAGACCAGTGATCGCGATGACTCGAGGTGTGGTACTATACGAATGTGCGGTGGTGGTGGAGAAGACGTTGTGTTTGAATGACCAGTGTCATTGGGAGGAATGGTGTTTTCAGACGAATGGGACGTAGGTCGTATGGAGTGTGAAGATAAAGCAGACGTGAGCATATTATGTTGATTAAAGTGTGGTGGTAAAGAATAAAGAAGAAAGAAAAGAAAGAGAAAGAGAGAAAGAGAAGGAAAATAAAAAAGGGGTCGTGTGTGTGTGAATGACAATGTGAGTAGTTTGTTATGGTTTGGTTTTGGATATAGTAGTTGTGGTGGTGGTGGTGGTGATGGTGATGATGGTGATGATGGGCCACAACAACATCATTCTGACCTGGCAATACACAATCATCATCATCAGGCCATGTGAACAGTTCACAAGGCATGCCTGAATACCTCTATATTCTTAGTCTTCTCGGGTGATCCCCTTTCTTTTTTCCCTTGTTATATCCAAACAAAGAATTCATCTTTCCATCCAACGCATGAACCATACTCATGGACATTCCCTTATATGTAATGTCAATGTCAATACCGCCAATGTCAGCTGATTCAGCCACTTGCTTTTTTTCTCACACACATACACACATCCGCATTCGCATACACATACTGAGAGCTTAATGGTGCTTGTTTTTGCATAATAAAAAGGTGGGTTTAATTATGCTGATCATGCTGCCCACGTATTCTTTAGTTCTTGTACAATGTGTCTCACTGCACTTTTGCCAGTAGGGCTCACATCAGCAAAACTACAAAAGCCGTGAATGGCTCCAAGATAGCGAGTGGCAACCACCGAAACATCCGCTGCCATCAACTTGTGAGCATAAGCTTCAGCTTCATCACGAAGGATATCGACTTCACCAGTGATGATCATTGTGCGTGGTAAGCCGCGGAGTTCGTCAAGGGATGCCTGCAGGGGTGATACCAACGTATTCTGACGATCCTCGTGATTAGGTACATATTGATCCCAGAACCATTGCATTCCTTTGCTGCTTAGGAGGTAACCTTCTTTACCAAATTGTTGGTAGGACTCGGTATCAAAGTTGGCATCAATCACTGGATACATAAGAGCTGCAAATTGGATCGCATTTTCAAGTCCCCGTTGCTTGGCAAGCACTAAATCAATCATTGCTCGTCAATAGGACATACATACATAATAACCGAATTGCCGGGAAAGAGCAAATGATGTCATGTAATATCACGTAATACTTACAGCACAATGCAGCAGCCAAATTTCCACCAGCGGAATCTCCCACGACAGCAATTTTTGATGTATTCGCACCATGGAGTAATGCATTGCCTTGATTGAGTACCCATTCAAGCGTATCAAAGCACTCTTCAAGTGCCACTGGATGCTGTACTTCAGGGCTTAGGCTATAATCAATGGAGATAACAATGGCTTGTGCATCGTTGGTAAACTAGTATACATGTATTTGTGGTCAATCAATTCGATCCAATGGGCTCGCTTGTGTATGATATAAAGAAATTACCGTTGAACGCATTGGTATGTAGGCTTCAGGGCAACCTGTTGCCCAACCACCACCGTGGCTGTAATTAACAATATGAGATCAAGCCTCTTTGTCGATGACCAAGTTGCTGTCCGTTACTATACTTACATGTGGAGAATAACGGGAAGAGTCTCAGCTTCATGCGTTAAATGGGCAGGGCGAGTAATGACCAGTCTTAAATTGTCACCTGCACGCGTAGGGATATACTTTTCTTCCTCGACCATATTGGAAATGTAGTGCTGAGGCACCATGCTTGTATCCTTCATTTGCTGGCGTATAGCTTTGTAGTCGATAACATCCGTTGTCGGCATCACCTTCAAAAGTGCTTCAAAAGATGGCTCTAGTTTTATCGTCATGGTGAATCTTCGTGTAGTGAGAAATGGTGGGGGTCGATGCTTGGTTCTTCTTTTATATACGTTTGATTTGATGCAGCCGGCGGCCCGCCGCAAGTTTTCGGCCCGTAAATTGTTGTTGTTGTATCAAGTACACACACGGCCAAAAAGTTACCTTACTCTATAAGCTACATCAACAACAAAATCAGCCCTTTTACCATATCAATACGTGCCGTAAGAAACATGTAAAGATGGGGGTATACGTTAACATCCATTCGCTCTTTATTCAATACGGTCATTGTTGATGATTGATGTACTACTGGGATCATTTTGGGCAAGCAGCCAATGAGGAGAACGCCGAAAGTTTAAGCGTTGGTGGAGTTGTTGTATAAACCAATGCCTGAATCTCTCTCTTTTATATGCTCATAAATATCTCAGTTGCGAGTGTAGCAGGGGGCTTACATACAACTTTGGTATACATCTATGGTGTGGGTGTAGGGTGGTGGTGGGGGAGTTGTTGTATCTAAACAGGACCTGCATCCGTATGCATGTTGTATGATATTGGACTCTGTGGCGATTGCTGCTGGTGAAAATTGAATCCATCCACTGATAAATGATCGTTGCTCAAGCTATGTTGCATATTCAAGCCTCCAGGGCTCGGCTGTGGAGTATAAAAGACATCATCATCCGACAACATAGTACTTGGACTTGGTGGGATGGGCGTGTTGAGGGCTGTCATGGGACTTAGTGATGCAGGAGATTCTCCAGTGGCACTGTGTGTGGATGACATGTGTTGCATTGTAGACAAGTGGTGTAAATTTTGCGTTTGTACTGTCAATGGCATTGAAGGGCGTGATGGGAGTGATATATTGGGTGTATTGTACGTGTGCTGTTGCTGTTGTTGTTGTTGCTGTTGCTGCTGATCAGGTTGATGGTGGTTGTGATGTTGGTGATGTGGATCGGCTGTAGTGACAAAAATAGGTGGTGGTGGATGCGTATCTATGGGCTCTGGTTTGATATTTTGATCGGGCCCTAATGTATCAACATGGGTTAACTTTTCCATGTTCCCTTACTTCCCCTTTTGAATGACTTACATGATACGCCATGCTGATGGATCATATAATTCATCAATTGCTTCATTGTTTGTTGTTGTGCCGCTTGTCGTTTTCGAGTGTCTTGTAATTCTCGTACCAGCTCGTTAAAGTTTTGCTGTAATTGGGCCAATTGTTGCATCATATCCGATTGTGCTACTTGCATCACTGCCATATGTGTACCGATATCGCTTTGATCACGTCGCACCACATCCGTATCCAATGCTTTGCGCTTGATCTCCTCTAATAAATCTCCTCTCCCGCGAAGGAACTTTGGATGTGAAAACTCCCAGATCTGATTCTCAGCTAATGCCCGATGCCCGCGTGGTGATTTGTTGACCTTGTGAAAGCCGTACCTAATAAAACAAAACAAGGCAATGGTGATGAGATATAGGATCACCGAAATAAATCTATCATCATCCTCGCTCTTCACACACACACAAGCTCTCCTTCATATCCAATCTCCTCCCCATCCTCCGCCGCAAATTGATCTGTGCATACAAGACACATACAAATATCCCCCATCCGGATTGACTCGCGACAACGACGTTGAGTTGAAGACCTACATGTTGAGCTGCCTGACAAAGCTACTAAAGTTGCTGTGCTTGAAATGCTTGGGAAGGACATCACGCGAGAATTCAGTGATATTGCATACAATGAAGGATGTGCCTGGATACGTCCATGCAATCAAATGCTGATATTGCTTATCGACCACCATGCTACATGATTGCTCTTTTTAGAATATGGATCATGGATGTGGATGATGAACTTACTTGAATAGTTTATGCACAAACGTATTGTTGGCTTGTTTAGTACCCGTTGTATTCGATGTGGTGTTGGTTGCTGCTACGGGTTGTTGTTGTTGTTGCTGTTGCTGTTGTGGTTGTTGTTGACCAGGAGGCTGCAGAGAGACTTGTCTAGCAAACTGATTATGGAGTTGTTCACGAGGCGAATCACAAGGCGAGTGAAGAGGGGATGCTAATGGGGATCCCATGGGGGATCCAGACGATATGGAGCCAGCGTGGATGCCTTGCGTATTCCATGCCAATGAAGACGCTGAATGAGAACGGTCGTGTTGCATCCGTCAATGGAGAAGCAGAAGAAGGGAACAAGTGTGTGAGGGAAGCACAAAAAAGGGGAGATAAAAAAGAAAGAAAGGGGTGAATATACTACTCTCTGCATCGCCCGAGAAAGGGATGGGCTTTTGGAAATGCATATCACGTGTCGCCTTCTCCCCTTATCATGCTGCTGCCACCTGGCTGATGTATGTATGTCCTGCATTTTGCAGTCATTACGCCGACGCTGCCACCGAACAGAATGACGATAACGCCGTGGGCGTGTTTTCTTTCTCCTTACTTGCATTCTTCAATAGTGCCATCTCGTATTTATTTCATATAAGCTTAATGATCCATCCCTTCCATATCCAATTTTACATTTACCACATATTTGCCAAGATAAAGTTTTCGATGAGCGATACCAGATGAGATGATGATTGGTGTAGAGCATACGCTGCATCATTAAATGGCTTGGCCATATTACTGACTTTTGATTCCTTCCCCCCCTTTTTTCATTATCATCCTCTGTATTCATTCGATCAACGATCTGCAACCTAAATGGCGGGAATTCCGGGAGATATGAGAGAGCATCATACTGCCATTTATCGGTACACAAAATGAGGGTGCTTGGTAACGCCACAATTTCTTGTTAGCCATCGTGTAGGAGAAGCAAGGCACTCTTCCATTACTACAACAATGCCATTGTGTCTTTCAACTTCAGAATTGACGAGGGCTCTACCTATATTCGAATCCAAATGACACACCACGTTGCCAACAATGCATGGTAGTACCAATGTAATTGGATCATTGCTGTTTACAGCAGTGCTGGAACGACCGCATACATAGACCATCGTCAAAAGTGTAATCCCCTTTTGTAATGGGAATGTCTATAGCCATAATGGATGATGGGTGACCAAAAAAGGTGCAGATTGATGATGTCGTTGTTTGATGATGCTATCTTCCGATTCATGCATCACACGTAGACTCCTTACAAAGAGGAAGAAAGGGTGATAAGTTGGGGAGCGAGCACCTTCACCAGCAATTATTTGCACGAGCACAGAAATTCACACGCCCGTCATCTTCATTTTACTTCGACGCATCTTTCTCTTTCATGATCATATCACCACGTCACCTTCAAAGAGGCGTATCATGGTGAGGGGCCTTCAATGCTACTTTATGAATGAGAGCTATTCGCTATAGTCATTCATAGTGTGTTTTCTTCTCTTGTTCATTGTCATGAATACATTGTGATACCCAGCTCTTTGCAATGAGGTAAAGCCTAATGGTATTGCATGATGAATCATCTACTCATCATTTCCTTTGATACAGCTTCCTCTTGTGATACATAAACGGGCGACTTGGTTACTCATCATCAAATACCAACGACGCAACAAGGAAAAAATTACGGCAGTGATCCCCAATAACAGAAGCCAAGTTGAATCAATGAGGATGATGGCTTTATTTTACCAAACGATAAGGTGTGGATCACACTGACAACATAATCAGGTACACAGCTGAGTACAATCGTCGCCGCCAGAAATGGTAGGTAGGCAACAATTAAATCCATTGCCATGGCAAGCCATTCGAATTAATCTTCCTCTTTTTGTTTGCACTTAAAATGGTAAGCACACTGTGGCATGAATGAAGACGATGGAGAAGGATGTGAGATGGATGGATGTAAATGAGATGTGGATGAAAAAGGATTGGATGAAAAAAGTGGATGGATGGATGGATGGTAAAGAAGTGTATGGATATGGATGACTGATCTTGGGAAACATTGTAGTCTGCTGCCAGACCTGTCATCAACGTCTACTCCGAGTCCGGTAAGGCTGCCAACAGCACTGTTGCCCTTCCTGCTGTCTTCAAGGCCCCCATTCGTCCTGACATTGTCAACTTTGTCCACACCAACATGGCCAAGAACAAGCGTCAGCCCTATGCTGTTTCCGAGAAGGCTGGTCATCAAACCTCTGCCGAGTCTTGGGGTACTGGTCGTGCTGTTGCTCGTATTCCCCGTGTCAATGGCTCTGGTACCCACCGTGCTGGTCAAGCTGCTTTTGGTAACATGTGCCGTTCCGGTCGTATGTTCGCTCCTACCAAGACCTGGCGCAAGTGGCACATCAAGACCAACTTGAACCAAAAGCGTTTCGCTACTGCTTCTGCTTTGGCTGCTTCCGCTCTTCCTTCTTTGGTCATGGCTCGTGGTCATCGTGTTGAGCAAATTGAGGAGGTTCCCTTGGTTGTTTCTGATAACGTTCAAGCTGTCAACAAGACCAAGGAAGCTGTTGCTATCTTGAAGGCTCTCAACGCTTATGAAGATGTCCTCAAGGTCTCCAACTCTCGTAAGCTCCGTGCTGGTGTTGGTAAGATCCGTAACCGCCGTCATCGCCAACGTCGTGGTCCTCTTGTTATCTACAATGAGGATAACGGTCTTACTAAGGCCTTCCGCAACTTGCCCGGTGTTGAGCTCGTCAACGTTCGTCGCTTGAACTTGCTTCAACTTGCTCCTGGTGGTCACCTTGGTCGTTTCATCATCTGGACCCAAGGCGCTATTGCTCTTCTTGATGAGCTCTATGGCACCTACGAGAGCCCTGCTACCCTCAAGAAGGACTACGTCTTGCCTGCTCACATCATGACCAACCCTGATGTCACTCGTCTCATCAACTCTGATGAAGTGCAATCCGTTGTTCGTCCTGCTGGTCCCAAGACTGTCAAGCGTCCCTTCACCCAAAAGAAGAACCCTCTTCGTAACCAAGGTGTCATGAACCGCCTCAACCCCTATGCCCAAGTCCTTCGTCGTGCTGAGATCCTTTCTCAAGAGAAGCGTAAGGCTGGCAAGGTCTCCAAGGTTGCTCAACCCAAGAAGAAGGCTAGCACTGCTGCTTCCAAGAAGTGTAAGTGATTGAATGGAATAGCGTGTATGATTTTGCGATCATAATGGCTGATTTTTGTTTTGTACATGTAGTCACCGAGATCCTTCGCTCTGCTTAAGCATGAAACAACATTAGGACTTGATGCAACATTTGATTACATAAAGTGCAAAGAAATGCTATAGGTTGTCATGGTCACCATCTTGCGAAAGATGATGGTATGATGATTACAAGCGTTGTTTAAAAGAATAGTTGGCTCCTGCATGATTGTTTGCATAGGACATGCAAGATGTGATGGGTGATCTGAACGCAAAACGGAGTGGATCGGGGAGAAAGCCGTGTGGTAACATTATGTTTTTTGGTGCTTCGGCAATGTATGCCCGTGTAACATAGAGTGTGATATGGTGGCGAGTAGCACTCGTGCTCATTTCCTTGACTTGGCTATTATATCCAACACTTTATACTTTTGTCGCGTTTCATCCTTTTTCGTATTCAACCTTTCCTTTTCTTCTTTCCAACCCAACACCTCTCTTTCTTCCTTCCCCGCCTCTTTCTTGTTATACCCTTTTGTTTATATAACCCACCAACATCACCACCACAATCACAATCACCACCCCTCGTGCATCCGCAATTGACATTCCTTGATGGCGAAAGAATCAGCTGCGGTTCAAGTAGGCAAGTTAGATACTATATCAAATGCTTCCCCCCTGAAAATACAAGCTTGCAGAATTGACCGAGGCATAATTATATATTATATTAGCTCTACGCATACGTCCCCTGACCAATCGCGATCGTGCTCAACCTCGCTTTGCCAATCTCTCCAATGACGATGTTCTCAAGCTCCATGAAAAGACTGTGCACGTTGTACCCCACAACAAGTTGTTTACATTCGATCATGTATTTGGCACCAACAGCCAGCAGAGTCAAGTCTTTGAAACACTTGGTTCTAAACTCATCCACAAGTTTATTGATGGTATGCAATGGAATTGGATATGAAAGTATGGAGGTTTACTTACTTACTAACATGATGAATAGGTTACAATGTCACCATCCTTGCCTATGTGAGCATCAACGAACCTCGTATGATCATGACGAATGAATGACACGCATGCTAATAATGGATGTATCTATTATGTAGGGCCAAACATCATCAGGCAAAACGTATACCATGGGTACAGCACAGCATCAATCCGGTCGTTACAATTTAGAAGAAGAGGGTATTGTGCCTCGTGCCATGGCACTTTTATTTGATACTCTTACCGGCAATAACAATACATCATCATCATCATCATCATCTGCATCACCATCATCACCCCTCGGCGGTGGCGGAGAAAGACCCATCACACCTGCACCTTCAGTGTCTTCATCCACCGACAATACAGCAGGCACTCGATTACGTCCTCCTTCTCGTATCTCTATGCATCATCATCCACCTACACCATCACCCAACAACAACAACAACAACAACAATACTCGCAAATTCTCTGTCAAGGTGTCATTTATCGAGATTTACAATGAAGAACTCAACGACTTGTTGAATGGAACCCCGGTCTCGGAACGACCACCGATCACTATCCGTGAAGATGCAAAAGGTCATATTTATTGGACAGGCGTCAAAGAAGTCCCTGTACATAGTATGGAAGATGTTTTATTGTAAGTATAAACAAGAGCCATGTGGTATATGAGTAGGCCATTCATGGGGCTATTTAGTTATCTTGAACAAGGCACTCGCAACCGAGCCACAGGTGCCACGGATATGAATGAAAAATCCTCCCGATCCCACGCCATTTTTTCTGTTTCCTTGAAGCATGAGAAATGGGTATCACGCAGCAGCAACCCGAGTGATAAGAGAGCAACACGTGATGGTGAATGGATGGTCAGCAGTTCCAAATTCCACTTTGTCGATTTGGCTGGTAGTGAACGGGTAAGCAAAAAGGACCATGTGATGTTTATTTATGGTGTTATTGATCATCATCATTCTACATAGTTGAAACGCACAGCTGCTGAAGGGGATCGTCGTAAAGAAGGCATCAACATCAATGCTGGTTTACTCGCACTTGGCAATGTCATTTCAGCACTTGGCGATCCATCCAAGCGTGGCACACATGTCCCTTATCGTGATTCAAAGTTGACTCGATTGCTGCAGGATTCTTTAGGTGGTAGCGCAACCACATTAATGATTGCATGTGTCAGCCCAGCAGAATACAACTTATCCGAGACTCTCAATACGCTACAATACGCCAATCGTGCACGCAATATCAAGAATCGAGTTGAGAAGAATGAAGTTGAAGAATGGATGACGACCGAGAATATCGAATTATTACGATCAATGATTGGAAAACTCAAACATGAAGTACGCAATCTCAAATCTGGATCAGTCAGCTCATCCGTATCATCCACTGTGGTGGGTAGTGACAATGGTGGCGGCGCAGCAGCATCAACAAATGCGGATGTAGACCAACTCTTTCAGGAACAACGACTTGTGATTGCCGATTTACAACGACAAGTGGAAGAATTGGATGGTGAAGCTTCAGTGACACGAGAACGCAATCGAGTTGTCGAGGCCGAATTAAAACGACTACGTACGATACGTAAACGTGAGGAAGAGATCAGCAAAACCAATAATGATTTCCAACATCTTGTGGAGCCTGTGATTGAAGAGTATGAAAAGAGCATTACAGCCCTTGAATCTCAACTTGCCATGGCACGTGCAGCATTGAATCATTCGGATATCGGGTTTGAGGAACAACGAGCCAAATTGGAGCAATGCGAATTGATGCTTGAGACTCAAGACCAAACAGTACTCGATTTACGTACACGTATCACCAAATTGCAGGAACGAGAGCAAAGCAACGAGACGTATATCGATGAACTCGAAGGCAAATTGATGCAATCTGCCAAGGATGCTCGTCGTGATCAGGAACTACTCAATGAACTCAAGTCTCGTATTATGAGGTTTAAGGAAACGGATGAGAATACCGAACAATACATCTTTGATCTTGAACAACGACTTGCGACTTCGGAGGCTGACAAGGCTGCACTTGAGAAGAATGTGGAGGATCTCGAGAGCCGTATTGCTGAACGTGATGATACCATTGTCAAGTTGCGTGAACAGCTTGCCAAGGCTGAAGACACCGATACTCAGAAATTGATGCTCAATGAATTGGATGAATTGACAGCCAAATACAATCAGTTGGAAAAGGAACGTGATCAGCTAAAGACTGAAGTTGAACATTTATCTACAACCGCCACGCAGCAACACAATCAACAAAAAGATGCGTCATCATCATCGTTGGAAAAGGAGGGCTCTGATAGCTATGAAAAGGATCCTCAGGAATTGGAAAGCAGCGACAGCAGCAAAACACGTCGTAAAGCATATCGCCGTAGCTATGCCGAGGAAAAAGAGACACCTGATTCAGTAGCGGCCATGGCAGCAAAGAAAGCCGAGGAACGTGCAGAGCATGAAGCAGCACGCGCATTGCAATTGGAACGTGATTTACGTGAGCTTCAAGAGGATCATCATGAAACAACCAAGGAATTGGATGAAGTCTTGCTGCGATACCAAGAGGCATTAGAGCAAGTGGAGATGTTGCAACGACCTGATGGCGAAGAGCATCCTGCTGTGGATGATGCTTTGAGCAAAGAAATGTCACGTGCCAAAGAGGAAGCTGATATTCGTGAACGTGAAGCACGCATGCAGCAAATCAGTGATCTTGAAAGTCGACTTGCCAAGTTACAAGAGCAGCATCAAGAGATGACTCAGCAATTGGAACAAACCAAGCATGATAAGGAGCACATGGCTGAATCGTATCAGACTCAATTACGTGATTTGCAATCAAAGCAAGAGAAAGCGGATGAGGAAGTTGAAAAGCTTCGTGCAGCATTGGATGAGAGTAAATCAGCCTTGGAGCAACAAACGGCATCCCTTGAAAGCCAACTCAAAACCAGCCGTGATGAATTGGAAATGTACAAGGCTAAAATGGGCAGTGGTGCCAAAGAATTGGAAGATACAAGGAATGAATTGGTTCGTCACAAGGAGCTTTTGGCATCAAAGGAAAAGGAGATTGCTGCTCTCTTGATTGCACGTGAAGAGGCTGTACAATCAACAAAAGAGGAATTGCAACAACGACTGGCAACAACGGAAGCTGAATTGGAACGCCACAAGGATCTGCTGTCAGATATACAAAACACAAACAATACCAGCCTCAGTCTTGCCAATGGTCATTTGACGTCATTACAACAACAATTAGCCGCCACACAAGAAGAGCTCACTCATCATCAGCATATGCTGGAAAAGAGCAACGTCACTGCATCTGAAAAAGCCAAATTGCAGGCACGATTGGCAGAGACACTCAATGAGCTTGAGCAGCACAAGGACAGCAAAAAGATGACAGAGAATGAATTGACATCCTTGAAAGATCGCCTATCAACCACTCTAAGCGAGCTTGAGCAGCATAAGGTTACAAGCAGCAATGAGACGAGTGCTTTACAACAACGCCTTACTGAGACTCTTCAGCAGCTTGATCAACAACAAAATGAAAAGCAGATGTTTGCTGATGAGCGATTGAATGCATTACAGCAGCAATTGATGGATGCACGTACCGAGCTTTCACAATACAAAGATGATAAGGCCAAGTCACGTGACCATTTGGATCGGATGCAGCAACAAATAGCAGATACGATCTCTCAGCTTGAACGACAACAATCCGACAAGAATGTTGCAGTGGATGAATTGAAGCAGAGGTTGATTGATACACAAAATGAGCTTTCTCAGCACAAGGATGACAAGATGCTTACACAGGAGCAATTGGCGCATATGCAACAACGTCTTTCCGATACACTTGCAGATCTTGATCAGCATAAGAGTGACAAATCTTTGACTACCGAGCAGCTCAATGGTTTACGACAACAATTGCTTGAGACTCAGAGTGAGCTTGAAAAGTCAAAGCATGCATTTGGTGAAGCTCAACAAAGCACACAACAACTTGACGAATTGCAGCATCGTTTATTAGCGACACAAAATGATTTGTTACGACACAAGGATTTGTTGAGCAATAAGGCTATTGAGGAAGGACAACTTGCGATTTTGCAACAACAGCTTGCTGATACACAATCCGAGCTTGCACATCAACTATCAAGTCAACGAGATGCTGCCGATAAACAACTAAAGCATCAACTAGCTGAGAAGCAGGCTGAATTGGATCGGCATCAAATGCAGGCTGATGAGAATCAACGTATTTTGGAACAACAGCTTCACGACGCTCGTGCTGAGCTTGCTCAATACCAACAAGCCGGTAGCCATGGCAACGAGGAGATTGCTGATCTCAAGGAAAAGCTTGCTTTATTCGCATCCACTCAACAACAATTGGAGGATACTCGCACTGAACTTGAAAGATACCAACAAAGTAGCAACAATGATAAGACTCAAATTGCCGACCTTGGAGAACAAATCACTGCCTATGAGAAGCAATTGAAGCAGTTGGCTGATGAGCTAGAGACCACAAAGGCGGATCACAAACAGCAGCTGATGGATCGTGATGAGCAACACAACTCAAGGATGGCTGATAAGGAACGAGAATACAGCACACGACAACTCAATGTACAATCTTCGCATGATGATATGGAGCGTCAATTGGCTGAGAAGATCAAGGCCCTTGCAGATATGGCATCTGAAAAAGAAAACATGGAAGCACGTGTACAAACATTGGAGGATGAATTACGACGTGCATTGGCATCGAACGACAAAACAGGCGAGATGACACGATTGTTGGATGAGAAGCAAGCCATACTTGATGCCAAAACGAAGGAAATGGATGAGTTACAACAAGATCTACAGCACCTTGAAGTTGCACTTGAGGAATTGGAGGCTCAGAAGAATGATGCAGAAAACGAAAAGCTACGTGTGTTGGATGAGGTGACAGCTGAAAACGATGAGCTCTTGACGGAGATTGAGCAAATCAAACGTGAGCGAGAGGAGGATTCACGTCAACATAAAGACGCCTTGACAACATTGGAGTCTCAGATTCAGCAACTCAAGGATGAACGAGAAAACGATTCACGCAAGCACAAGGATGAAATGACGGCACTGGAATCCGAGCTCGAGCAGTTAAAGAAAGAACGTGAGGAAGATGTTCAAAAGTTGACAACATTACAAAGCGAGGTGGATCGACTCAAGCAAAGCCATGAGGAAGATGCACATAAATACAAGGCCGAGATTGAATCTGTCAACAAACAAGCCAAGGATGCCCAAACGCTTTTTGAGCAGAAATTGACAACATTGGACACCGAGTTGAAGGAATCTGCTACACAACTTGCCAAGGAACAGACGCATGTTGCCGAGTTGCAAAAGGAGAAATCGAATTTGGATAGCAAGATTGTTGAGCTGACACAAACACATGAAGAATTTGAACGACGCATCCCTCAATTGGAGAAAGAGCTACAAAAAGCAAAGCAAGATCATGCAGCAGCTTTGGAAGCAATGCCATCATCAGCCATTAGCGAAGAGGAGTACAATGAATTGATTGGGGAACTTGAGGATGCACACGCTTCAAATACAGAAAAGGATGGCCATCTTCGATCACTCCGCTCTCAAATTGAATCACATGCACGTACCATCAGCGATCTCCAGGAACAATTGGAAAAGGCAACCTTCACCCATCATGTGGCATCGAGTGGTGGTGACAGTGATCAAGTAGCCAAGTTGTATGAGGAGCGTATGGCTCAACTGGAATCCAAGCGTAAACAACTTGAGGATGAAAACACCGAATATCAATCACTTGCTGAGGAACTTGAGAGCGAGGTTAGCAGACTACTCAAGCAGGAACAGGATTCACAGCAGGCGATGGATGATACAAAGGCGGCTCTTGAAAAGCAACTAGCTGATCTACGATCCCAGCATGCCCAGCAGAGCAAGGCACTTGAGAAACGCGTCAAGGGTACTGAGGATGCATTAACCGAGGCCCAAAAGAAGGCACAAGAACAACGTGAACAAATGCAACAGGAACGTGAACAACTTGAACAAGAGAATCGACGTATGCAAGCCGAGACTCAAAAACTGCAAGCTGAGATCGCTGCAGAGCGCAAAGACAAACAAAAGGCACAGCAATCATTGGCATCCCTGGAGGCACAGCTAGAAGAATTGATTAACAAAAAGAGCAAATTTATGTGTTTTTAAACTGTAATTTTGTGTATACATATCTATTTATTATTGGCATCCCCATCATCTCTATTACTTTTATTAAAAAAAGACAACCTTTTCATGTATTCATATTACAATCACCTGTGTGGGTGCTTGTTGAAGAAGATCCGATATACATAATACCAACAACATCAGGCCATAATATGTAGGGAGGTCGATTTGTAGATGGATCAGCAGCAGCAGCTGACAGCTCTCTCGCCCATGTACGGCACCTTATGAGTCATTTGGATAATAATGATACGGTGTGCTCCGCTGTTGTAAGAAAACAAGGGTACATGATGTGTCTAAAGCAAGCCCCATCATCATGGAACCATCTCCCATGATGCGGATGTAACATCGCTCACGATGACAATGATATTCTCAGGGGACACACATATACAACAACGATAATGAGCCATGCACGTAATATGGAGAGATGGGACGATGTGCATCTAATTGCTGCATGATCTTCCTAATAATCGATGGGCTGAAACAGTTATTGCATTAGGGATACTTACACAGGAATCAGGAACAGCATTGGATGAGGCTCAACATGGATTTAGGGCGATTTGAGAACAAGATTGGCAATTGGCTACAGCGGCGTTGCAGCTCCAGTAGCAGCAGCAGCCAATGTCGTCATTGACGATCAATGAGGAGAAGCAGGGGGTAATGTGATCGAGCAGCCCGAGCACGTATGTACAACAAGCTTTGGCTATGACTAAAGCAATAACCATCATAAAAGAAGAACACTACTTTTTGAGATGATGGATCAAGGTAATACATTTACATTCTACGGCATCATTGTGAGTGAAGCATTACGGCTTTTTGTACAATCGTGCACGTCTACAAGGTGACACCAAACAATGACAGCAGCAATCCGAGTTAAGGTTTCTCATAACGATATAGGGGGTATACGAAGCACTCTCATATATTGTAAAAGAAAAAAAGAACGGTGGGATTACCCGACTTGAAAGGGTAAGAGCACAACTGCATAACAAACACACACGATCACCAAAAAAGATGATGGGTACACAATGGCACACAATACCACTTGAGGAAACCAAAATACATGCGAAGCAAAGCAAGGCACTCTTTATGAAGGCTTGTTGCTGTCAATGACGAAAGCTCAGCAGCGCATGCACACCGTCACCACAAGTGGACACGAAAAAGAAGCTGCATATGCGGGAACTTGCAATCGATTAGCATCAGCGTCATTGGATAGAGTCAGCTGGAGAAGGGTGATCAACAAAAAAGAGTAACTTCATGTGTTTCTAAACTGTAATTTATATTTTAAAGAAAGTTTTTATATACTAGTGAGCTTACTTTTTGGTGGTACTCGGGGGGAGAGACACAATGTGGTAGGTGGGGGAGTGAAGGTGAAGGTGAATGAGCCGAGAGAAACGACATTTGATCATGGCAAACGGGGATTAAAGCATCAAAAGTAATGGTCAGCTGAGACCACCATCATTGAACAAAGGGGAACATGTGCGTGTGAGTGAGCTAGAGAGAAAGCGTGTGTGTGTGTGTGTGTGTGTGCATCTCTCGCTTCAGGTCAAGGATGGCAGGTCAGTTGTCAAACCTGATCCGAAAAGGGAGGTGAGATTGTGCAACACGACGACGCTGTGATGAATGATGATGATGACAAGCTTCTCGGGTTTCATCCCTTGTAGCTGCATAACGCTTTCCAAATGTACCATTGTGCATATATGGTATTGGAACAATCAATCTACGTTCGACCTCTATGGCTACGTTTTCTCCTTGCGCAATGCATGGATGCCAAGAAGTGGCGGGAATCTGCGAAGACCCTTGTTGAGCAATAAAGAACAAAAAAAAACCTGTTGAGGGTTACACGGCTTGTGCCTTGCATTTCTTGTTTGTACGTGAATCAAGACGTTGCACACTATACATACTTTACTCACATCAGCCCGAAGGAAAAAAATTCAAGAGAGAGAAAATGGCCCTTGCAGCCACTTTTTTATACAGGCTACACAAATGGGTACACAGCATTATTAACAAAAAGCCATGTCCAACCCCCCAAACTTTTCGCTATAAATGGTGATCTTGCACATGCCGTGTTCTGGATTTCCACTTGGTTTAAGGCCCTTTTTGCTTGCTTTGCTTTTGAGGATATGGGAATCTCAGTGTAGAGGTTAATCATCATCTCTATGCCCTTGCATATCGAGAATCAAGGAGTGTATTGTGCGGGGGCCAACGATGCTTATTTGTGTGTGTGTGTGACCATGTGCATAAAGAGAAGAAAAGAGCAAAAACTTGATTGTTGGGCGCAACATAGAACAGGATTCTCTTAATGTCCCCTTGGCTATTTGATTCTTCCCCCCCCCCAAATCAATAAAGAATGATCCGTCATCGCATGCACACAAGAAAAAAGAATGACAATCGATCTTGACAAGGCTCTGCTGCAATTGGCCACGGGATCCAAAATGGGTCGTCATTTGCTGTCACTCTCTCTCTCTCTCTATGTCGGGGGATGAGATGTTGTGTGATGGGATGGGTAACCAAAAGCCATCATATGATGGTCAGTGCACACTTTTAGCTATACTGCCTAGCATCTTTTTCTTTACAATCATCAAATCATTCACTATGGCCATCGTACTCCTTGTCTCTTTCTCATACCTCTCATGCACGTCGTTCATTGCTTTCTCCCTATAGCAACAAAAAACGCGCGCTCTGGCGCCATTTCCTCCTTTGATGACAACCGACATAGGGCAAGGGGTGATATTAGAATAACAGTAAAAGATGGCTCTTGTTTATTATACAGGGCGATCACTGGAGCTCCCATGAATCGGACAATGTGGACAAATGACGAGCGACGTGGTGATGCTTTGTATCCTGCAAAGGAGCAAAAACAAAAGCAACGCGGCATTACTGATGGATTGGAAGGAAACGGGGGTCCCATCGGTGATGGGTCACAAGAGCAACGTATGTATACACATCATCAAGGGGTTTGGTTGTGCTCATTCATTGCCTGTTGCTACGTAACTCGCCAACCCTGATCTATAATGTATGGTGGTTGTTGTTGTGTGCGTATTTGGTTATGGTTGCAATGGTTCGGGGATACCAAATAAACCCCATGATTTTGTGCTAGCGTTGGGTCGTTGGGTAATGGATACCGGGGCAACGTCAAACAACCAAAAAGGAGCTCAAAACGAGTGAACTTTGGCTGTTGACATGTATCCTTGCTTATTGTCTTGCTTGGTAATCTGTGTAAGCATGTGTGATTGGAAAGGGTGCATCACGTATGCATCAAAGTATACGTGTGTGTGTATCGCTTCAGTGTTCGTGCTTGCTTTACATTTGCCCTCTCCCTGTGTGCTCTCATTTTTTTCACTCTCTCATTATTCTCCCGGCATCACCCCCCAATCCCACCACTTGCACATAATGAAACCATATTTAAAGCCTTTGCCATATTCCCATCTCTCTTTTTTTCTTTCTTCCTTCTCCGTCCTCTATCTCTTTCTCGTGCACATAGCTTTTTTTTTCACCCCCTCTTTTTCATACCAAACAATACCTGTTATAAATACATAACACTGCACACAGCATGACATCTACCACTTCTCATCATTCCCGCCGAGATGTAAATGTCTACAAAAGGGGGGGGGAGGAGGAGGTTACATACAAATGCGTGCAGGTAAATTAACATGCTTGTGCATCTACTAGTCGCGTGTCTTTTGTCCTCTTGTGCTGTACCATGATAACCCAGCGAGTGAACCTATTTCTTCTTCCGAGGATTTTCATCGGCAAACCTTGATTGATTATCACCGAAAAAAGATTGCCGAAATGCTAGAGCAAAATGCAAAAGCATGGATAGCCGCACGTCGCTCTGCAGGTGAGTACATGATATGTCTTTGTCCTCCTGTATATCCAGATGGCGCTAAAACCTTGTTTTCCAGAAAAGGGGGATATATACAATGAAGATAGTGATCAGCTGGATGTGTCTCCTAGCACCAGCACCAGCTCATCTTCATCCTCATCATCCAGTTGGACAAGTAGCTCATGCGATGAGAGCATTGCAACTACACCTCCACCTCTTTTACAAACCCATAGCAGCAGTAGTAGCAGTAGCAGCAGTAGCAGCAGCACCAAAATGTCGGCTCATCATCATCATCCTTTGGGTGTGAATGATCTCTTGTCACCTGAACAAACCTATGTCCCACCACCACTTGCATCCACAACAACACCGCCTGCTGAGACAAGACCATCATCAACAACAGCTGCTGCTGCTGCTGCTGATAGCAACAAGGATGCATCATCAACAACAACTCAAAAAAAGCGACGACGGGGTAACCTACCCAAAGAGGTGACTGAGTTTCTCAAAGGATGGCTCGTTGACCACAAGAAACATCCCTATCCTTCTGAAAAGGAAAAGATTCAGCTTGCGAATCGCACTGGCCTTACCGTTAACCAGATCAGCAACTGGTTCATCAATGCACGTCGACGTATTTTGCAACCCATGTTGGAATCCGAATCGATAAATGCGCAGCTGATGGCATATTCGGAAATGGCAATGGAAAAGAAACGCCGTCAGCTGGACATTTATGCTTACCAAGGCTTTGCAGGTAAAGAAAAATGATCATCCTCGCATAATAGAAGCATGCCATTTCTCACACACACATCCATCATCAGATGCCTACAACCACGATGATAGTCGTAAATGGGCCTTCCGACGTACCAAGTTACCTTCCTTTGATTACGTCGATCATCCACCAACGCCTACAGATTTGCATCATCCTCCAATGCCTCACCACTACTCTTTTGCCATGCGGTGAACAATATGCTCCTCTTTTTAATCCATCAAGCTTTTCTTCAGTGGTTTCTCTTTTTTGTGTCTATATACTTATCCCTTGATCATTGCCTTTACATATCCCATCATTTATACATAGCTCTTTTTTTTCGTTTTGTCACCCTCAGCAGCAGCAGCAGCAGCCAGCGTATGTCTTGCTCTCTCTCTCCCTCTTACACACACACATCCTTTGTTGCTTTTTGTGTATAGTATTAGTTCATAGTCTTTTATCCTATTTCCCCAATCTCGATACCTTTTTCGTCATTTTCGTTTTCTTTCATACCAGCAGCATCATCCATTTTCATTCTCACGTTTCTTTTTTCCTCCCCCACTCCATTCGCTTGCAACAAACAGCCTCCCGATTACTGCCCTACTATTACTACTACTATCCTACTACTGCGCTTTTCCCTCCCGTATACCACATTCTTTGCTCTCCTCTCTCATGCTTGTGCGCCTTTTTATGTGACACTCCTTTTTTATGTAAAACAACCCAATGAACTATAAGGCCATCATGTGACAAATCAACACAACGGATCGCCCTCCGAGTCGGGTACCCAAGTTTTGGTTTTTTTGTTGTATTTGGTGAAAAGGCAGTGGAGGCGTGTGTTGTTGGTGCATGTGAGTGATACTTGCATTGACATGATGGATCATTCAGTGTGCCCTTTTTCCACCACCCATGTGTTACTGGTAACAGGAAGAAGCATGTGCTAGGAGATGTGTACATATATACAAACAAGCACCTTCTACATGATCAGAGACAACAACAACAGCAAGCTTGTCTGTGCGTCTTCCTGGTTTGGATACTAATAGAGCCCCCTTTATTGTTGTCGTCATCATCATCATCCCCCGATACTGCTACGCTTTATTAACGATCATGCTCGTGGTAATGTTGGTGATGGCCGCTACTACTATGATGGTCATTGCCAGCTGATGTGCCTTGTACAGGGTCATGCTTCTCTCTCTTTTCTCTACTTTTTGTGGCATTCTGTATTTTTTTTGACGTGCTCCCCCACATGACAACAAACGAGACCCCCACTCTCTCACGTAACCTATCCCCATGCAATGGTACTGGGTACTTGCATCTTTGCTATTGTAAATAATCGGGTCAGTAGATGATCGATTCCCCTTTTTGTTTCATGTGGTGGTGGTGCTTTGGCAACACAGACTCTCACACAAATTTATATTTCCTTAAGCAAGGAGGTGAACGTTTTTGTGTATGTGTCATATGATGAGGGTGCTTTGTGTGTGTACACACACATGGCATGCTTTTGTGTTTATGTCATGCACGGAATAATATAGACGCATGCGTCAATCTCTTTTTTGACATGAAGGCCAATCACCTTCTTTTTTTGTATTGTTTAACCGGCAAAGGAGAAGAAGATGCCATATACAAACAAGAGGGATAGATTGGAAAGGGAGAGCAAAGTACGTAGCTAATGGATGACTTTCACGGAGCACTCTGAAATGTTGTGTTCGTAATATGTATATTAGTTTCCATAATCGAAAAAAAGAACTAAAGCGGTTGATGATAATGTGAGTGTGACCAAAGCGACGGAGAGTGAGAATGTGCATGAACATGTTGCAATAATAAAAAAGGGGAAAGTCGAGGAGGAGGAGGAGGAGATGGTAGTTAAAATAAAGGACGTGTGCTTGTGTGATGCTTGTGGGAGGGGAAAAGGATTATATAGAACTAAGCGTGAAGACTACTAGCAGGGGGTTGCTGCTGAAGATGCTTTCGAGAGCTCATTTTGATCACTTTCCGCACCATGCTCCTAACATGCTTTTGCTGTTGTGGTGGTTGTTGCTGTTGCTGATGATGGTGGTGATACTTTCCATCTTCATTGTTGGTAGCCGCCGTGGTCGTATGAGAGGTCGTTTGTGTGCGAGCATCATCATCACCACGTACAGTTTCTTCGCTGCTGAATGCTGAGTCATGGGAGCGAGGCTTTCTCAAGTTGAGCTTCATGTTGGAAAAGGAGTGATTGATCTTTTTGAGATGAGCCGCCATCTTATGGTCGTGATGATGCGAAGGATACAAAGCAGCCTGCTGATTGTTATTATTGCTTGCACAAAGGGGAGCAAATTCACTAAATGCACCTTGCACATGCATGGTTGGATCTTCATTGCTGAGGTACACAAATGGGTCTGCAGGAATGGGGACAACAGGTTTACTGGCTTCGGCAACAATACGGAAAAGCAATGGCGATGCCTCTGGATCGTAATTGGAAAGCTCGGTGCAAAATACAGAGATCCATGGTTCTTCAGGAGTGATGGGCTCTGGCTCATAATCATCATCCAACATGGCACGAATACCCACTGTATTAGCTGCCCAATCATGGCTGCTATAACGAATACGGCGAATCAAGCGATCGTATGATTTGGCTTTGGCACGTGCTGCTTCAATCTTGGACATGGGTTGGATCTCATCATACATCAATGACACGCCCGAGTCTACTCGCTTTTGTTGCTGAACTTGCTTGTGCATATGGATTCGTTTCGAGTGCTCAATAATCATCCGTGTCAAAAAGTGGCTCGCTTTTTCGGCAATGATGGGGTCACAGTCTGCTGGTCCTAATGTCACTTTGCCCATTGCTTCGCCCAAATGATATGCGTCCATGAGATTTTTGCCCTTGTGTTGCATCAATTCGACAAGGAAATCCAATATCTCAATCAACAGTTGCTCGCCTTTGCTGGTGAGGTATCGAGATAAACTTGATAATGTGCATGCTACAGGTGATAAAAATGTTAGGTGATCAAGAAAAGTAAAAACGAGGGGAAAGTGAGGGAAATGGGGAAGGAGGAGGTGGAGATGATGATGGCAATCAACAAGTGACCTACATACTTTCGTAATTGATAACTCGCCATACAGTCTTTGGCACGATTCGCTCCTGACAGCACCAGAGTGTATCCTGCATCAATGTTGCAACCGAGTGGATGCTGACATGGGTAACATCATCCGGGGTGCATCGCTGCTCTCTAAATACTTTGAGGAACAGCACCATGCTGGGTGCTAAATGTTTCCCCCTTACATGTCAAACTCTCTTGTATATACCACAACAAGTCATTTCTCTTTTTTTTATCCTTACCTGATTTGCGTAGGATCTTGCGTTCTTGCATGCCTAATAATGAGTGATACACCCGTTGATGAGTTTATTGGCTGATCGATCAGCAAAGGAAAAGGTTTACCTCGTCGTCGAATCTCATCCATACAAATCCTGGTGACTTGTGCTGCAAAATCAAATGAATAAAGCATTGCTGTATAGGAATGTTGCCAAGATACCAAAGGTTGTTGGATTAGTTCCTATGACATGTATGCAGTGATAGGGCGTTGACTAACCTGGAATGTATAGTGTACGATGAAATGAGAAGAAAGAAAAGAGAAAAAGGAAAAAGAAGTGATAGAAAGAGGAAAAAGAGAATTAAAGCTGTGTATGCAAGAAAATCAAATGTGCTGCGCTTTCTCATCCACTCACACACACTCACCTTGGCTCAAAACATTCTCATCTCTCTTGCTGCCTTGCACTTGCCCCTTTTCCAAGGAGGATCAAAGAAAGAAAGAAAAAACAAGCATCGGTTCCGATCTGGTTGTATCCCGCCTTGGATTCATTCTACTCATGATAATGGGATTTGCTCATGGTCTCTTTCTGTATCCGTGGTTGGAGAGTGAGCCTGTGCTATAGAGAATTAAGGGACTCACAAAAAAGTCAGCATCATCTTCACGCGCAGCATTTGTACCTGTTGCAGGATCAACACCCTGCCGCCTTTTCCCTTACTTTGCTTCCTCTCCCCTTTATTGCTCTACTTTACCTTTGTTCATCACCGCCTTTTTCTTTGTAGTTGATTGGTGTCGATCATGGATCATCCATCATTCTTGAATGCTCGAGGATAATTGCACTTTATTCAGTTTTGGTAATTGGAAAAGGATACAAAAAAAGAGAGGAGTGAACAGGGAGAGAGAGAGAGATAGAGCAGGTACTACTTGCCCCGCCTAGACAAGGAGACATTCAAGGGAAACCCACCATACCATTGAGGAGTAGTACTGGCTTCGTGTTGTTGCTCTCAAATAGGTGCTCTCAGGTACTGCACGGCTGCTCTTGTTTCAAAGCTTCAACAATCGCTGCTGCTGGTGCATGTCGCAATGGCGTCGTCTTGGACTTGTTGATTGGCATTGACACGCTTCACTCATTGTTCGATCCATGGACCCCTTGATGGTTTCCCCCACCCCGACATTCAAGTAACGTTTGGACATCCGAATTACTTTCAGCGTAGCAAATAGAAACGTTTGATCAATGATAAAGTCGATATTGTTGTATGATGCATATAAAAGATAACAAGGTTGAAGGAGGAAAGGAAGGGTGGTGTGTGTGTGTGTATGTGTGTGCGGGTACTTGGCCAATGCTTTCTCTCTCTCTCTCTATTTCTTTTCATGCACACAACATCAGCTGTTACGTTGTCGATGCATCCTAACAACCTTAACTGTTGCAGCCATATATACCTCGGCGTTGGGGATAATTACAGCCTTGTGCATGATGCAGCAATACTGCTATTATTATCGAGAAGCGCTGTTTCCAGGACAACGTAAATCATTAAACCAATTGGATTGGGGAAAACGTGTGCGTGTAAAAGTAGGCTGATGTATGTATGTAAGTTGATTAGCTTCATTGGTAACACCACAGCGAATGCTGTACAACCACACCCGGCATAATCCGATCAGACCACATCATGACGTAAAGGATTGGTTAGGGATGCTTTATATGCTATAGAATTTGAAAGCTCTAAAGTGCATCATCATTTCGTAGGTTGAGAGGAAAAGCGATAGTTAGGGGAGATGAACATCATAGGCAATGGCAGGTGGTGGTGATGGTGAAGGCGTTGGTAATAGGTGATCTACGTTGAATGGATGATGATGGCTTGATTGGTTTGTACAAGAGAAGGGGGTAATGGTGTATAGACAATGAAATGAAAAGTGGATCAGGGTATATACAAGAAACGTGAGGAGAGGGAAAAATGTCAAAATACCATCACCAAGGATGGTGTCGTAATTGCATCATGGTGACAGCAGCATCCACTTGTTCTTCAGCGAATAGCTGGCTAAGTGATGGTAGCATGCATGGCTTCTTGGTAGTGGGTGCTTCGATTGTTGAGGGTGGAGGTGAAACGGGTGAGTTGCTTTCGACGCTCGTGAAACTAGCTTTACGCTTGCGGGTTCTACACAAGTTGAAAAGGGTTTGGTCAATTGACTCGTCAGGGTATATGCATGAAAAGATGCCTACTGGTGCTCTTTACGGATTCTGATCCGTGCTCCTTGATCGGAAAATGAGCGTGATAAAAACGTCGATTCGAGAGGACCAGGAAATTGTTTAGGTGAATAGACCATAAATACGTCGGTGAAAATGGATTGCAGATGACTGGCACCGGATCTAAGGGATGAAGGGGTATGCCTTTTGTGAATACAAAGGGCCCAAAACAAAAACAACAACAACGAGCACTTACGGCGTGATCTCAAATAAGGTAAGCTTTAATCGGAATTGACCTTGAACCTTCACCGATAGATCACCGAGAATAAAGAACCCACCATCTATCGTCATCAATATGGTCAGCATGTGATGTTTGATTCAAAAACAATGATGCAACGTACGTACCCATATTATCAATGTCTTTGAGCCGGTACATTGAAGACACGGTTTGGCCACAAAGGGCATTGTGATTTGGTGTATAGATTTCATCGTCGTTGTAAGGATGTGCAAGGTTGGCACACATAAAGTAGTTTGGGCTTTGTAGGAATTGGCTGAAGAAGAAGATTACTATGTAAGTAAACCAGTGGTATTTTTCATTGTTGATGTATGTGGGCGGCTTACAGAGTTTCGGCTGGTGTGGCGTTTTGAAGTTGTATTTGAACGATGGGTGGTGGATCGATTGCTCGTCGGTCTGTGGGTGGTTACAATTAGATGGTTGATATAAAGGAAGTATGATCGTATGTACCTCGCTCATTGTTGGTGCTAGTACGTGTATTAATGGGTTGTTGTCGCATTCGCAAAGACAAACGTCTATCACATTACAACATGTTAAATGATGTCGTCGACCTCTTTTTGTTACGTTTCTTGGCTAGATACTCACTGTGGACGGCTTAAAGAGTAGGATGAAACGTAATCGTGTGGTGACATTTTGACAGATAATACGTGAATATATGAGATAGCAGATAAGATCTAGGAGGACGAGGAGGAGAAGGAGGGAAGAAGAAACAAAGCAAAGACGTCAAGTCTTTAAAACCATTCACGCAAATCTGATACGGCGGAGTTCTCCTTGATGTTACACTCGAACCTGATATCGACATCACCTTATGCTTGAGCGAGCTGGTAAGTGATCATCCCATCATAATTGCTACAAGTCGCTGGTCCTCGGGGATTAGTAAGAATTATACATTCCTATGCTGTTGATATTTTATACATGTTGGCAGTATACAATACTTCTTTGTTAGGAGGCGCAGTGTTACACAACAAGAAGCGATATCCTGGTTCTTGTCGCGGATCTGATAAATTTTGTTTATCACCATTGGGTGGATCAGATAAACCGAAGATCCCCATTTGCAAATAGGCTAATCGTCTATGTTGACATAAACAAATGCAAGTAGGTGTCTCAAATGTATGAGCGACCCGTATACGTATATATTGAAGATGAAGGTATGTTGAATGAGACATGGTCTTTGTATATGTGTATGCCTGAGTTTATCTGATATCCTCGGTAGCAGCTAATAATGTCAGGGGAAAAGCGGGGAGGCTAAGCCGCGGGTGCCATACATCTGATTTCGTATATTGTATCTGATACAATGGGCAATCATCAGAGTGCTTTAAAATTGTACGACTGTGAAAGGTAAGACGTTCCAAGTGTATCCTAGGAAAATCGCCACCCTGGTCACATTCTGTGCTCATTTACGTCGTCCTTTTCCCAAAGTTGTGTTTGCCAAGATCTCCATCTCTTCGAAAACGAGCTCAAGTGACTGATCATTATGCGCTGCGTGCACTCTGTTACACGACGTTTTCCCCACATTGGATTTGGAATCGTTCAAGAAGGGTGAGACAACCAAAAGAGATGACATGTACTAATAATCAATCACCTCTTTATTACCAACAATGACTCTACCTATGTCTCCAACTATGTAATGTAGGTGAAAGGGTGGTGGTGCTTCTAATACAATCCAGGATCGCAATGGTGGCGTGATTGACGGCAAAGCAAGATAAATGGTCCTTTGGGTTTCAACTTGTCATCCTCCTCATGTACGATTACGTATCCTCTGCTTCTTTGTGCTTGGTCCCTTATGCAGATCACAATCAATGAAAACTTACCCTTTCTCCTGAAACGAGCAATAAAGGTGGCGGTAATAAGGTACGTCATAACAGAAGGTCTTGCCACAATAGTGCTGCTCCCTCAACGGCTTGACAAATGTGCGATCGCTACGTTGACTGCCGATGACGACGTAATGTGGACAGGTTGCCATTGGTAGACCACCATGAGTGGAGAAGCGCCGCCCCCCTGAAAAGTCTCTATGATGTCCAGGATGTAAGAGATAACCCAACTACACAAATCACATGATAAATATCCGTCTCAATACACCTGTTCCTTAATAAAGTATCTTCACATACCATGCCCATATTCTTGTGCCGTAATGTTTCTGCTTCGTCGTAAGAAAAGGAATGTGGCTCTTGTTTCATTTTCTCGTGGAAGATGCTTGAAAAAAGCGAACCAAGTCAAATTGTGATCACTCCACATTTAGCATGATTTGCTTACCTGCTGCCAAATGCTTAATAGTATCCTCCCAACCCCAAGCTTGCATATGACTATACGCGTTTCCATGGCGACCCACTACACAAGCACATGTCAATATAAAAGAAAGAGGATACCATAGACTAACCACACATACCACAAAGAAGACATCCTTGAATAGAATCAAATGGCACAAAGACAACAATAGGCATATACATGAGACAACAAGGAGCTATACATGAATGATTAGATGAGCATTCTCATGTTGCAGCAGATGCAATACATGTATCTTTCACACTTACCGTTCTTGAGATCGAATTCCGTCAAATGCAAACGGGAGAATAGTACCCGGATATGAGGATGAAACAAAAACACGCTGTCCAAAGGCAAGATCGAGCCAAACAAACGTCTCCACAAAGATGATGCAAAGGAGTGCCTCGGCAATGGAACATGCGACAAAGCTGTGCCCTTCCCTCGATACATGATGGCTATGGCTATCTCCTTGCACGATGCTCTTCCAGAATACATGATAATGTTCAACGATAGCCAGTCTATAAAGTAGCCCATTTCAGTACATTGGTCACGCATCAGAAGATCCAAGACGATTTACAGCAAAGCTTTGAGCGAACAAGAAGTCATTGAAATCGCCAACATCAGCAGTAGAAAGAAGACCACAACGAACCAAGGCATTGTTTTCCCGTACTCCAGCATCAAGAATAGCGTAGATTGTTGAACCAGCGTATCGACTCGTTCCACATGTCGTGCCTTTGAAGATGTAGAAGGAAGACGAGCTGTCTGATTTTGCGACATGCGACAACCAAGTGCATCATGCCCAATTTTCAATCTCAGAGAGTACATGGCGATCATCATGATGGTGAAGCTCATCCAATATCGCTGTGGAACGCTACGATCGATCACGTGAGGGAAGTAAAGGATGAACGGCTGCCTACAAAAGAGTTCCTTCTTAAACAGGTTACACCATTGATAAGTCTCACACCGGCTGCAGTTCCGGATACTGATAACCGCGATTGCATGGCACAATGCAGATGAAACATTGACCCTGAAATAAATGGCGGCATTAGAGCGGACAAGACGTTATCCAAAGATAAAAGCACGAGGCATGACTCATCCTCCTCCTATCGTGTTGTAGATCAGCCGATAATAAACAAACATCTTTTAACTTTGCTACTACTATTATTGAATGGAAGTTGAGGTTGCCATGGAAATAGAAACATAACCTTTTTTTATTGTCTTCTACATAGGCAGTACTAGGTTCTAATGGCGGGTGATAAAAGCTTTCATCAGGATTATGTAAGGTGTGCTATTGTAAGCATATGGTGCGATTTGGAGTAAATGATTGGCCTACAAGTGACGGGAAAAGGATATGTCGAAGCCGGGATATGAAAGGATCAATGTCGGATGTTTTATAAAGTAGGACCCTTTCCAGCTACCGATTATTCAGCAGAAAGCCAGCTCGCTGAAAATTAAAAAAGATTTCCCTCCCCCCCCTGGCTAACCAATTTCGCGATGGCTCCCGAGACGATCCGTGCCAACTTTGCAGATAACCAAATTTAGTAGCCCATGTGTGTATACGTAGACGGTAAATCGCGGAATGAGATGGGATGATCTTTTATAGTGATGAAGAAGGTATTCATAATAATAGTAATACAAGTGTAGAAATGAGATGCTAAGTATGCATATATACAATGATGCGATTTTTTTCTATAGAGATGAAGTTGTTGTGGATGTTTGGTATATAGTAAATTAATTAGCAGTGATGGATTCCGGATACGTAGGCACCGCTGGTAGCTGCTCAATCGTTTGAAAGTAGCTAGGTGGTGCCTCTGTAGTATTGTAGGCTGGAGGACTAGGCATAGCACCATCCCAAATATGCTCACGTGAAGTAACCATGATAGGGATTTCAAGCGTACAAAGTGTCAAATGCTGTTGGCCCTGTGATTCGTGGCTGATGGACGATCGACGAGAGGAAGGATCACGTTTAAGCGAGAAAATGGATGAGATCGATGATGATGACGATGATCGACTAAGTGAAGGCTTAGGTGTACTAGGTCGTGATGTTGGTGGTGTAGGCAATAGTTGATGCATGATCTCTTCCATTTGCTGTTGATGTGCATTGGGATCAGGACGACGTTCCTCCACCATCATGTTGATGATGATGTGATGCTTGACTTCGACAAGACGAGTCTCCGTATCAGCATGAACACGAGGGCATAATCGAAATACAGCATTGTAATCGTGATCACTAGCAGGATCATAATCGGGAGATTGAGATGGATAAAAAGTGCTCCAACCCAGCGGAAACAATTCTTCGGTCTTACTATAGATGGTACAAAAAACAACTTTTAGTATCATCGGCGATCCACCAAATTAGGCTAGCAGAGCAAAAAAAAGAAAAAACTTACTATGCAGATTGGCATGTAATTGATCGTTCACCGGTGGTACGATAACGGATAACTTCACGCAACGCACATGTAACCGATCGCACCGATTGCGTATCAGGTCGCCCGAGGTGCATATTGAGATTGAGTTTCACAATGCCACCTTCACGATAAGCCATGGTTGTGGACGTGGCACTATATCGCAATTGCTCCATTTGATTTTCACCATGAACGGTATCGGTCAAATCAGCTGCTGCGGCGGATGTAAGATTTTCATCAATGAGACAACGGCGAAGAACGATCTCGCGGGAATGATGGATATCGGTAGAAAACATGGTACGGAATAATGTCGATTGTAAGCGATAACGAATACAGCCATATTTGCCACGAAAGCTTGCTGGTAATGTGGCAGGTAGATCAAAAGAGAAAGGATATTCGTAATGGCCAGGTTGCAAATGAGTGATCTCGCCATTATCACCCATAAAGTGTTGACTCTTGTAACAAAGCGTGCGTGCTTCAGTCATCTCGGTCGACGATACACCGATAGCGCTTTGTCCTCGTAAGTTGACCTTGGTACGGCCTTCGAACCATACAATGAAACGACGCACCTTGACAGGACGATGAACGTGCAATACGCATGTGCCTTTCAAAACACACCCTTCACTTTCATCATCAGGAAAGCCATGCATAATGCCCGTAAAGTAAGGGTCAATCTTAAATTCGATTGTTGCGTCGTCTTTGGGCATTTGAAGTCGATGCAACTGTAAAAGGCTGGCTGGTTGTAGAGCTGAAATGGTGAAAAAATATATAAAGTAGAGAACAAACAGGAACGAAAATCAAACAAAGCACTGATTATATATAATATGATGTCTCGGATCATCTCGGCTATTTGAAACATGCGGACAACTGATACTACTTGGTGCCGTTAAAGCGGCGATTTATTGGCGTTTATCTAACACATGGCACACCTGAGCAATGATGTCAATCTTGACTCGTTTTGGTTTTACGCCGTTACGTTCAAGCCATTCCTTAAGCATGACAACGGTACACTAAAACCACCTGTCAGGACACGCGTTGCATGATATGCATAATAAAAAGATGCATGGTGCTTACCTTATCAAGCGTATGGTCCCGGTAGTGATCTTCGATCGATTTAGATCCTGCATCAACACGACGGCGGCTTGTACTAGACTCCGGCTTGCTATCCGATAGCTGCAAAAAAATGTGGCATGGGCCAAGGTCATTATCGACCCTTATCTCGTATCACAAACACCGCGCACGCACTGTCTTACCTGCCGCTTTTGTCCTCTCAAGTCCTCTTCAGAAATACCAACATCGGCTGCCAAACGTTCACGTAACTCCTTCAATCCTTGGCCAATCGTCTACGCATCGATAAAATAAGCACATTTTGATTCGATCCAGAAGACATCACAATACAAATACCTGGTTGATCATATCCACATTTGGTTTGGTTGTATCCACAATGCGCTCCACCATGGGCTTATCAAGAGCAAGCGCTTCCAGTGTAGCGCAGTGCAACTGCATAGCTGTATAAAATAAAAATATCATCATCAGCTTCTCCGACACGTATCTATACAGCTGTATCTCGTCTCTTTTTACAATACCTGGATCCTCAAACTCATTCGGGTCGTATATTTGCTTGATCTCCATACCACCTTGTTCACCACCAAATATGGCCCTGGTTGCCAATTCCACTTGTTCTTCGGTGGCTAATAGGAATAATTGCGTGATTAGTTTGGGTACACAACGCCATTTGTGCGTGCATTGACGATCTCGTCATAACATACCAATTGGAGTTTCGGTAACCGGAAGATCCCGAATATCATCGGCATAGGGCATTGGAATAATATGGATACCAGGAGGGCGATCTTGTGCACCATTTTCATCAAACGTTTCCGCCTAAATTTTCACTGTCAGCGTCATCACTGATATTTCTACTCCCCCCCCCAAAACCCTTACCTGTGGATACATCAATGCAATCAATGTATTTGCGTTTTCACGAGGTGTGAATGTGCATATGCCAATTTTGTCCTTTTCCAGCAAACCCCTGAGCAATGCCGTGAATGTGCGATGACTTCCTTCATATTGCTATATTCGCGAAGATGGTAAGTAAATAAAGCAGACCATTGAGTTGCCAGTCTTACCGTTTCATCCGGGTAAATAAAGCTTGGGAGAGAAATGTTGAGCATATCATTAATCTTCTCCTTGCGTCGGAAGCCGAGAATTTCAATGCCTAGAGAAGAATGAAATAAGACATGGGTTGCTTTATGGCTATCCTGAATGCATACCTTTTCCCTTGACTGATCGCATCTTGTTGATTTCCTCACGTGAGAATACCACCTGAGTACCACCATACTCAAATGCAGACTTGATTTCTGTTGGCAGTAATACTTGTTGCGTGTCCTAATACAATAATATGAATGTATGATAAAAATAGAGCATCCTGATATCCATTCTCACCTGACACTTGTACGTTATCTGCGTATCGACTTGTTCAATTCGTTCACCAGCACCTGTCACCCGATGAGGAGTGGATCGCTTTTCTGGCATGATCAAGTTGTATCTAATAATATGGATAAGTATCAATGCCATGTGGTCTTATCATCCTACTTACCCACGAACGCCAATCACAATACCAGGTGCAATGGTAAGGGGAACGCGAAAGGATGTACGCTTTTTGGGTTCACGTCGACGTACAGTGTCAAGCAATTCATCCACTTTGTTGGATCCTCCACCTGTTACACGCTGAGAGGCAACGTCTTCATCTTGAGTAGCATCGATCCCTCCTTCTTGTGCAAGAACCTCCTACACGTCAAATAGCGTTAGGCAATAAGCACATAGCACAAGATTGGATGAGTGTATACTTACATTGTAAAATAAACTTTCATCGAAATGATGATCACCTTTGTCAAGTCCGAACAGCTCAATTCTGATACCAGCATCGTAGAAGTCCTATGCAATACCACCATCAGACTCTGTTTGTGTTTGGCGCAATAAAAGGGATTACTTTTGCACGTCGAATGGCAGCTTGCCGCAAGTTGTGTTGGTTTGGATGTGGATTGTCTTGATTGGTGATGAGGAAGACACGTCGTGATCCACGCTGATTTGAAATGCTATCTCCATAATCAGGATACAACCTCCTCATGGTGTATTCTTCATGCACTCACCTTCCAGCATTAAACATGTCACTGCAAGTCCAAAACACATTTCCAAATGGGTATTCTTTGCTGGTCGAACCAAAGGTATTTTGAATGTCACCATCGCCCTCTATATACACAATCCATCACCATCAATGCATACGTCGACATCCACACTTCCCTTTTGCATGTCATCTACCTGAACTATACATTTCGGCTTCTTTCACTCGTGGTGCATCTGGGATGTCGAGACCTTGTAGAATGTAGATGTGTTCATGTCCTGCAGGGTTGTTGGACATGTTCTATTTCATTGTTGTCAATGATGTGCGCAGCATACACTTCCTCCTCGTGTTCTCGACTCACTGTGTTGTAAAGTAGTACCCCCACCCTATCAGAGGTTGCAGCAAAGATCTTGCTGAGCGTGACAGACTTGATGCAATCAAATGCCACTTTGATGGGTATACTGCCGTTGGGTTCAGGCTTGTTCATTTCGGGGCTACAGTCGACGACGAAGAGGATTTGATCTCGATTGTCGTACGAGGTCTAACACGCGTGAAAGAGTCAGCATTAGGTGCACGGCATTTATACGCAACAGGCCAATTGTTCCTTACGACAATCTCGTCGGTCACTGTGGGGTCGTCGTTGAAGTCAAATGACACTGGATCGTGGGCTGAAGACGACATTTGGGATAAAGGGAAGTGGAGTTGTCAAGCGCTGATGATGGCTGGGTTTTAGATTCTTGCATTGCTGATACCCAACGCGTGCACAGGTCATGTGCCTGATTGTCCCGCTCCCTTTCATGGATTGAGATGCGAGTGAGTTTACCTTATTTTCTAGCCATGTTTACAATAAGAACGATGATGTCCTTGCTGGCATGTATATAAAAAGCTCCCTCTTATATAAACATTTCATTCTACCATTGTCTCTCTTTTTCTTCTTTATTATCTCTCAATCATCCTGCAATGATAACAACCAAAGGCATTGGTGGTTTTTTATTGACAGCTACTCTGTCACTCTTATCAACATCAGCCGCTGCTGCACTACCAGAAATCAATTGTGATAATGTGGTTACCGATATTACAGAAGCATCAGCAATCCAAGACATGATCGATAATGCAGCATACAAAGGGTAAGCAAGTAGGCTATGATAATGTGCCCTTGAATACTTATACCGTAATACTCTTCTAGTCATTCAGTGGTCAACCTTGCACCAGGTAAGCTATACATACATACGTACATACATATACCTTTGCATCAACTCATGTATGTCATTATAGGTGTATACAGCTTCTCTGAAAATGAACCCATTGTACTCAAGGCTGGTGTATCGTTGCATGCTGATGATAAACAACCAACCATCTTTGTTGGACCAGAAGGAAATTCGACCGCCACTATATCAGGTACATTTTAATCCCTGGAAACAAAGGCATTATTCACATGACGTTGATTCATTATTTTAGTGCCTCCTGAAAACCAGGGATGGTCCATCAAGGGCATTGTTTTCGACAATGTCAATATTGTTGTGGATCCCCATACCAACGAGGATGAATCGAGCGTCTTGGGTAATCTATTTTTGAATGGCGGTCGTGGTTCAGTCATCTCCAACTATGGCCAAAACCTTTATATTGGTAAGTTGTCCATATTTTATTATGATCTGGGCTGGATTTTCTTTCCTCCTCACACTCATCCACATATTCTATCATCTAGATGGCAACGTCTTTTTGCGTGATTATGACCACCGTGGAACAGCATTGTTCCCCAAATACAACACAACCAGTTGAGTGAATCAGGATAGGGATTCCATTATGTTATGGTTACACTAACCTTTACGCACAGACGCTGGTGTTGTGTTCCAAACCCAAAAGAGCAGCGTAGTTTCCAACAACATTTTTGGAATGGATCTACGTGAAGCCCATAATGTATATCCACATGTATCACCACAACTACAACGTGTGATGGATGACTTGGCCTATTACCGACAATGCCATCAACGGGAATTGAGCGATGAACAAGGATATTTGGCATCCGGTGTTCAATTGTACACCACCGTTGATATTACCATCAAAGAGAACATCTTGAACGCTACGCTCCCTGATCGATTTATCTATGGTCAAGATCACGCTATCAGTGCAGTGGGAAGCAACCAAACATACATTCACCAAAACTTCTTTGCCGGATGGGAGCTTGCTGATTTTGGTGGCGCTGTACGATTCACTTCAGCAGTAGATGGCTACGTGGTATCCAACTACCTTGCCAATGATGCTATTATGATGTATGCAGCCACTCACGCTGACTTTATGCAAGTTAGCAACATGGTCGTATACAACAACTTCTTTTACAAGTTTATTGGACAAGAGCTCGCACCACCCGAACCCCAGAATGGATGGCTCTATGAAGGCATCACATTCTTTGACTTTTATACAGCACGCCTTAATTACACGATCATGCCACCCATCTGGAACTCCACCGTGCCTGTTTCTCCTTGGGGATGGCACATTGTTATGTCTGAAAACCATTTTGGGGCTGCTGAAGGTCTTGATCCCAACGTTATCAGCCTCGGCAATCTCGATCCTTCCGAAGCCTTCATTGATCACTCCAATTGCTATGTAACGCCCCCACTCCTCCCTGGTTCAGAGCATGGATCAACCGTGCCCTTGTTATGGCGTCAATCCTTTGAGCCTGGTGTATACACACAATATGGTGGAAAGGTTCCCAAGAAGTTTGACTTTTACACCAACGAGCCATTAATCGATAACGTGCCAGCCAACATGCGTAACTTGCCTATTCCCGAATTCTGGAAGGGCTTCACTCTTCACAACAACACCATCCCTATGATGGATCCCGAAACTCCTTGCTTTGTAGCCATGGAAGAAAATTAAGCACATGAGCTTTTTATTATCTTAGTATATACGTAATCGTGAAAAATAAACAACTATGAACCTGCTTAAAATGAATTGGGATTTCTATATCTACCAAGCGATCGTTTGTGGCCTTGCTTCATATCCATGATGGGTGTATTGTATGGGTTCTCTAAGAAAGAGCCAAGGTGTGGTGATTGTTCATTCATAATTGACAGCATGACTACTTTAGGGTAGAAAGGTGGCAATAGTCGTTACCAAAAACGGAAGCATGCTTCATTGTTCTTTTGCGAGGCGAAAAGGACATTCATTGACTCAACTTTCAAACAATCACTTTTGGGGATGGTAATGTGGAATAGGTAGTAGCCATTAAAACATTTTTGATAGGTAGGTAATTATTCATATTATTCGAAGATATGAAGATGTACAATAAACTCAAGGAGCGAAATACACCTTATCCGATTTAACTACTTGTTGTACTTGCTTAATCTGTAATGTCGATCCATATGCAGGCACGGCTTCAATCGCTGCTCCTGAGACCAAAACATCCTTGCAATAGTACTTTAATGCCACAGGTACAGGTGATCCTTGCTCTGATGTGATAAACTTGGCCAACAATTTCGACGAATCTTTGCTCTGAAGAATGGCTTCATTGGTCCAAGTCAATTGTTTCCTGCTCACATCCCATGCTCCTTGTGGTGTGCTTTGCACATTGGTCACCGTCGCTTGATCAAACTTGACACACACGGCAAGCTGACTCTTGCTCAATGATACATCGTCTGCCATCTTGTGTTTGACAATCAAATAACTAGCGTCGGGCGTACATTTCCATGCGGGTGATAGCTGCATTGGTAATACTGATGATGAGGTTTGTAACTGGTATGCAAAGCATGGAACAGGTGTTCGGCGGTAATTCTCAAAAGCTTCTGGTTTCAGTCGATAGATCTCAGGATCATCACCTTGTTGCCATGCTTCCACAAACGTTGGATTAGGTTTGACCATCGCTTCCTTGCTTGGGCTGTGTAATCTCAAAAGGAGTGGATCTGTCAATGCTGTTGGGCCGTTGTATACAAGTTTAATGTGTCCAGTAACACGCACGCTATCGTCCGCTTGTGGATCTCTTTCAACGATCTCGACAATAGATGCATAAATTTGAGATTGTCCCGTTTCAGAGATAGCTTGCAATTGGTTGGAAGAAGGGATGTCATGTGATAAGGTTGGGCTTTGCGAGGATGGTGTTGAAAGGTCGAAAGAGTTTTGGTGGAAAGGATTGGTTGGCGTAGTTGATGCTGATGAGATCACGGAGCTGCCCTGCACGATTGCATCCTCATTCTTGTTGGTGTTGCCATGTCCAGGATCGATTTGCATACTGCGAGTGTTGCTAAAGTGACCACAACTGAATAAGTCATCACGGCAAGAACCTATCTCATATGCAAACTTACTCTCGTCGTCCACGGGGTCGTCGTGATATAGAAGGTGTTCGCTGAAAGGGTTTCATTAGCCACGCGATATACCAAGAATATCCCAGCTACTTACATCTCTCAACAATGTCGACATACGGTTCAACGCAGCGTGTGCTTCAGGATCATTTTCTTTTTGGATAGCATCATTACGAATATCAATTTTGAGTCGTTGCCCCGTTTGCAAACTACACATCAACCAAATAAATATCACTTGTCCTCATGCCATTCCATCCAATACGCATTTACCTAGCCGAGTCAGTGTCGAAGCTTGCATTATCATCTTGAACAGCCATCGTGTATGCTGATCTATCGGGTGGAGGAATTGTGTAGCCTTCTGAATCAACTTGTGGCGCCTATTCCCCATCATCATATTATCAGTCGATATGAATTCCAATTCGCTGTAAATGAGTTTTCACTCACCTGTTGTGTTGGTAATTGTTCTGAAGAATGAAGGCTCGTGGATGCTGGCATTGATGATGCTGGTGCTGGTGGGGTGGAAGGATTGGATATATTGCCCCTTGAGCTATGTGATGCCCGGCTACTGTTTGCATCAGCATGATAATAGCTGCCACGTGATGGTTCTTCTGCAATGGATGGCGTGCTAAATAATCCATGTGAATAGGGATAATCCATAAACTCAAGATCGGCCCACTTACTCTGGAAGTCGTGTTGCTGAACCATTACGAGTCTTTCGTCGTATAGAGAATGTTGACCTTACTATTGCACATGTCAATAACCAATCTCGCTAATTCATCACTCGGCACTTACCACGGCTTGTTTTTGATGGGGGACGTGCCACTTCGGGTTCAGAGACTTGAGAATAGCTTCCATTACTACTTTGGCGGCCATCAAGGCTGTGTCTGCGTGATTCGGAATGAGGGATATTGACGGAAGTTGTAGCTGATGCTTTAGCCATGCCGTGTCCACGTGATTTGCAAAATTGCTCAAGCTCGCTCTGCACGTCAAAGGCCGAAGCAGCCGACATGGTGACATTGGCAATCTGATACACGTGTTTGTTAACGTTATTGTATTCTTGGCATGCAACCAAATAGGCTTACCTCCATGCGTTTCATCATCTGATCCGTTTGAAGCTGTGAGAATTGCTCCACTAACGCCTTGAGTCGTTGTAATCGAGATTCCTCCAACAATTGATGATGCTGTTGTCAACAAGTTAGACCAAGCCATCGACAACTTTTTCTCTATACACTTACCATTAAGAATTCAGGACCGTCTCGCACCCATTGTGAAGAAGCTGATTCCATGTTGCGTTTGGAGGCACCAGAATCCTTATTGGAACGTTTGAAAAGAGTGCCCTTGTCACCACTCTTTTTGCTCTGCCAGGTAATGTATTATCAATATCCATCCTTTTTCGCTTCTATTCATGAAACGTACCTTCTTTGCATTCTCATCATACTCTTTGGCAAGACGCTGAAATGTCGGTTCCATCTATGTAGAATGCATTAATAACCGCCCTCGCATTTATCCCTTTTCATGCAAGCTCATCCTTCTTCCCCTTTACTTACAGATTTTGCCTTGTTGTATTCCACAGGTGGATTCCTCAATGGTTTCTCAATCTCGTCAGCAATCTTGTAGCTCAATACGGCATGTGCTGTTGACGTTTCGGTAAATTCATTATACAGGAGATCCCATACAGGCGCAAAATTGCTATAGTAAACATAGGTTACACATCGTGTGTGTGTGTGTGAGAAGCAAGGTATGAATGCAACTTACCCCAAGATAGTTTTATCAGTGATAAATAGCTTTTTAGATGCCTTGACGAGGCTCTTTGCGTATTGGTCTTCTATTTGTGCTCTAGATAATATACGTGAGTGAGCTTTCATACGAGCGACTGTTGGTGGTAAGCTTGTCGAACCTTTCTCGAAAGTACTGCGCTAGTTCCTCATCGAGCAGTCTTCCAGTTCTCAAACGTTCTTGAACAGCGTCAATGCCGTCCTTAGGACGTGCCGTCTATAGTTGAAATTGAGGAATGTCAATAAAGGGCAAGTTGGCTGGAGTATTCATAACGCACCAGAAACGTATCGACGTATGGATTGTTGCTAGATTCCTCTGCCATAATTTCCCGAGCTTAAGAAGGAACGTATCGTATCGAGTTGAATAATGGTTGCAATGCCGAGGTAGAAAAGACAACGACGAGTGAGAGGTGTACACGCGATGAATAAAGAAAAGGAAAGAAAGAAAGAGAGAAAGAGACAACAGCACCAACACACACCCACACACATTCAACCGAATACGGCAAGTGGATTCTAGTCGCCGTTTCACCTTTTCGTTGCCTGTACAACAACCAGCAAGCTTTCTTTTGATAAACCCCCACCACTCCTTGTACTTGACGCAATGGTATCCCTGTTTCTGTGGCTACATGTGGTCGTTCAAGGGGCACTCATTTGGATATCCTCTTGATCCTGCTGCTGTCATCCATCATACCCATCCTACGTACCTCATTTGGCATATGGTTTCGAGATAGCAGCATGGTTGAAAGAACATCCGTGACCTGACCAATAAGGTGTATGTAGCATGGCAATAGCGTATCTTCAATAAACTCGACTATTTCGTTATTGATGTCAATGTATGTATCATCATCAGGAGACTTTGTTGGCGGGGATCGGCACTATAACAAATAATACATGCGTGGATTCATTCATTATCAGTGATGCTAATGCAATTCATTGCTTCAGATGATGAATGCATGCATGCACAAATTGCATTCGCACAATGGATGGTACTTTGTCTCCAATGTTCTTGTATCACCAATATCCAAAGATAACTTATTATACAATGCAATATTACTTTACAGAACTTCAAGCCAACAAAGCACGTGGCGTATCACTGAAAAAGTGAAAGCGATCTGCTGCCGTGTTTTCTTCCCCCTTGTCCAAAGAACCTTAGTTTCCTAAATACATTGCTATATAAAACAAAGACGGTACCGCTCTAATCCACAATTGTGGACAACAAAGAAGCATAATTCATGCTAGGTCGATCACTCGTTGGCAGGGTGTATGAAATGGCGTGATTGGTCCTTGCGTTCACTTTGTGTCACCAAGGATAATCTTTCGGAGAATACTTACCCGCTTATCGATCTTGGTACAACCATGATTCCATTATTGGTGTGCACAACTTTTATGTTCAACACCTTGCATTATCCAGAAGCATTTGACAAGATTGGTTTACTCTCGACGTCATAACAATGCAGCTTTGCATAAAGATCGTGAGATGTTTTGTAATGCACTGGCATGCTGTTGTAAGCCTTATTATCGAGATCGATAGATTGTTTGCATTGGCAATGCTGGGCGTCTCAGCCATTTGGAAGATTTTATTGCTCTTACCAACATGAGGATGATCGATCCATAAACTGCAAGTTAACAGCCACTTCCTATGAATGGGCACTGTTGCAAAATCCACTGCATGGGAACGATGCTCTTGCTGAAGACATTTATTTCCATGATTCAAGTAGCTTGATTCGAGCTGATTTGACCGAGATACGCTCAAACAAAGGGTTACATCCAGCCGTATACATGTATGGGCAGCCTATCTCAACTGATGTATACACGTTGTTTTACCGTAGCTCGTTCAAATAAGCTCGGATCAAGCTACTTGGGTCATGGAAATAAATGTCTGCAGCAGGAGCATCGTTCCCATGCAGTGGATTTCACAACAATGCTGATCGGGGGAAAATGGCTGTTAGCAGCCAATGTATGCACTGCAAATGAAGCTTGCGTACCTGTCATGCATTGTCCCTGAAGCCCTGACCTTTTTTAACTCAGTTACGCAACACGGCCCTCTGCATCTTTTGCTCTGTCAGGGTCTAGCTACTTTACATTAAACAAAGACCACTTCCCATATAGCATCACGGTTACAAACATAAAGGTGCCTGTATCTCCGAACTTTACAATGAAACGTGAAGTTTTTATTAGAGCAATGTGCTCGGCTTGGCCAACAGCACCTTGTGTGAAAGTTTCACGTTCAATGTCGCAACTAGCTCAAAAAATATTTTTTGGTCGTCGTCGTCGAAGAGGTCGACCCCCAGATCCAGTTTGGCTGGTAGCGACATTGCGAAATCTGGGATTGGCAAGCTTGATCGTGAAACTTTCACACAAGGTGCTGTTGGCGAAGCCGAGCCCACTGCTCTAATAAAAACCCCACGTTTCATTGTAAAGTTTGGAGATACAGGCACCTTTATGTTTGTAAACGTGATGCTATATGGGAAGTGGTCTTTGTTTAATGTAAAGTAGCTAGACCCTGACAGAGCAAAAGATGCAGAGGGTCGTGTTGTGTAACACAGCTACGTTTGCATGAATGAAAGGGTCAATGTATAATTACTTTATGGATCATCTAGGAACAGGCATGTATTGCTAGCTAACGGTCACTTTTATCCAATCATCATTGTTGCGAGATCCACTGCATGGGAACGATGCCCCTGCTCCAGACATTCATTTCCATGATTAGAGTAGGTTGATCCGAGCTGATTTGACTGAGCTGTGGTCAAAGAGAGATTACATCACTCTGGACATCAAGCACGCTCGATGTAGCTCAACCGATGTAATCTTGTGTGAGCGTAACTCAACCAAATCAGCTCGGACCAACCTACTTTAATCATGGAAATGAATGTCTGGAGCAGGAGCATCGTCAACCTACAATAGAATGCACAAAAGTTGGGAATGCACAAAAGTGGCTATTAGCTGCCAATGTATGACATAAAAGTGAGGGTTGCGTACCTTTCATGCATTGTCCCTGAAGTCCTGACTTTTTAGCTGAGTTACCCAAAGAGGTCCTTCTGCATCCTTTGCTCTGCCAGGGTCACCTACTTGATAATGAACAAAGACCACTCTTCATATAGCATCACGCTTACAAACATAAAGGTGCCTGTATCTCCGAACTTTACAATGAAACGTGAAGTTTTTATTAGAGCAATGTGCTCGGCTTGGTCAACTGCACCTTGGGTGCCAGTTTCACGATCAAGCTTGCCAATCCCAGATTTCGCAATGTCGCTACCAGCCAAACTGGATCTGGAGGTCGACCTCTTCGACGACGACGACCAAAAAATATTTTTTGGGCTGGTTGCGACATTGAACGCGAAACTTTCACACAAGGTGCTGTTGGCCAAGCCGAGCCCATTGCGCTAATAAAAACCCCACGTTTGATTGTAAACTTTGGAGATACAGGCACCTTTATGTTTGTAAACGTGATGTTATATGAAGAGTGGTCTTTGTTCATTGCCAAGTAGCTAGTCCCTGACAGAGCCGAAGATGCTGAGGAGTGTGTGTAACATAGCTGAGTGGATAGAACTGGAGTATCAATGCATGACAGATACACAAACTTAATTTCTTGTTCATGTATTGCCAGCTAACAGCCACTTCCTCCCAATCATCCTTGTTGTCCAACCCAATGCATATGAACGATTGTCCTGCCCCAGCCCGCCATCTCCATCCTTCAACTTTCTTGATCCGAGCTGATTTGGTTGAGTTACGGTCAAACACAGAAGTATCATCCAATTTGACAAAAGTTTAATCTACATAGTTATAACGGCAGCTAATAGCCCATTCCTTCCATTCACCTTTGTTGTCCAATCCAATGCACACGAACGATTGTCCTGCTCCAGCCCATCATCCCCATCCTTCAACTTTCATGATCCGAGAGGATTTTGAAGTATCGCCCAATATGAGAAAAATCATTTTGCAAAGTTATTTGTAAACTGCCAGCTAATAGCCCATTCCTCCCATTCTCCTTTGTTGCCCAATCCAATGCATACGAACGATTGTCTTGCTCCAGCCCAGCATGCCCATCATTTAACCTTCATGATCCAAGAGGATTTGACTGAACAACGGTCATTCAAAGAAGTATCATCGAGCCTACTTAATTTCCCACTTCTTCCACGTCCCCGCTCCTTGTGTCTTCCTCCCATTCTCAACTGTTGCCCCATTCAAGTACAACTACCACCTGCGAACGATTGTCCTGCTTCAACCCATCATGTCAACCCTACAACTCTCTTGATCCGATTGTCTTTGACTGAATGGCAAGTCCATAGCGTATACACCCCACTACAACACACACATTCCCTGATGCTATACACTCTCTTGCACACTCCTTTGCCACGACCAAGCGTAACAGCAATCGTTCCTGCAGTCGCCATTTGCAAGGTCTTTACTCCATTGTCTCAAACAGCATTCACAACCTTGTCGCTCTACTACAACACGCGTCTCTGCCACGACCAAAGCAGCTGGTCTTAGCAATGTCTTTACTTCATTGTGTCAAACAGCGTTCTTTACTTGCAGCAGCTTGCCCTACAACCTTTCTACGTGAACAGCAGATAGACATTGTATAGAAGCATCTTAATTTACGCGCAGCAACTTGATTTGGTACATACGGGTTCCAATGGATGATGCCATATCAGCTATCAAGTACACCACAATACAAGCCATCTTCGCCTGGTTGAGATGCGATAGAAAATGGCCAAGCAAGCAATCGACAGCAGTCGGATGGAAAAGGAAGCATATCAGCAAACGATATTGGACTTGCAATGGCTATGATGGATGGGTGGATGGAATCAAGTGCAGTGATGAGAAATCCTGGAATGCTGCTTTGGATACTTGGCACGTTGTCAGCATGTCATGTACGATGGATCATAGCACGTGGATACGACTGAGGATGAGGATGAGGATGATGGATTGGATGATATTGTGGAGAGGGCGTTTATCTTTTGACGAAGGAAGGTGTTTTACAACTATGGATGATACGCAAGTCAAATCATGCAGCAACTTTTTTCCAATCACGGACAAAGGATGTTTATGATGGCAGCAACCAAGGATACAATGACACAATAATACCCGCTGACTCTATGTGATTCGCTCGCGCCATATTCAATTCGCAAGGCTGTTCCCTTATCATGTTTACATCCGCGTCTCTTTCTTACACCTTCTCATGATGTACTCATTCCCATGATTGAAATCGCCCTTATAGCAGAAAGAATAGCTCACTTTTTCAATCCATGCTGTACTATGGTGTAATGAAGCACAATAAGAGGGCTAATAAATCATTGTGTGTATCAACCTTGAATCACATTTTTATTGTACAGGCGAGGAGTTGGGATGTGCATTTGACTAATACATACACCTTAACAACCATACTTACACTAAAACGTATACATGGTTGAACATGATCCAGATAATCTTATCATCCGCTGACACAATTTATTTTTGGAGTGTATGATACAACGTGGGAGAGATGATGATCGGCAAGATATCAAATTAATATCAGCGATCCATCAGTTTTAGATAAATTGTCCCTAATTGTAAAGGATTTGCCACCCCATGTAGCAATCACACATGGCTTACATGGGCCTGGCTATGTAGAATCAATGGTAATCATTCGATTTCCCCGAGATGTAATTGAACCAGGTTATAGTCATGTGTTGTCTTCAGTGTGATGAGGGCTATGTACTAGGTGACAAAAGTTGCTCTTTCAATGTACAGGCCATTAGCGATGACCACTATTGAGATTTATCAGATCAAATAGTGCCATGTATTTCACAACATCACAACATCTGATGCTAGCCATTTTTAACTCACACCAGTACACATGGTTATAAACACGACTAAGGTGTTGGTTACTCCTACCAACAGAGTAAGGGTGAAAAGTAAAATGGCATGATGACAATGATGATGATGATGATTTTCATCAGGGACATCAAGATAATGATGGGTTGTCTTCTCGATGTAAAGGTGTCCTCTCCCTAAGAAATTCTGACTTCTCCCTCTTTTTGATCCGAAAAGGGCGGTAAGCAGCACAGGTAAGAAAAGAACAACACCATCTCCTTGAAACGAGCTTTACCCCTCCATGTCACTCGTTCATGGGTGTAAGTGTGCACATCCATATGCCTGTGTGGTTGCAGTCAAGGAGACCAAGAAGCACCTTGAGACATTAAACTAGACCATTCTCCTCCTTCATCATCATCTCTTTCCTACTTTTTTTTATCATTCACCATGCAGCCGTTATCTTGTATGAAGCGATTACAACCAAAATTACAATACGATGATCCACGTCTATTAAGCAAACGAAGGAAGCTATGCATCCTGCTATGTATTTCATTTTGTGTCAGCACGTCAAGTATATCGAGCACAATCTATTTCCCAGGTAAAAGCAGCAATCTGCTTGTTGATAGAGCCTTGTGTTGATAAGCGATATAGGAATACCTTATATTGCTGAAGAATTGCAAGCATCATCATTATCAGTGACATTGACAACGGCACTCTACATCCTATTGACTGGTATTGCACCCGTGTTTTGGGGCTCGATCTCTGATTACTACAAAATCCGAAGACCTCTTGTTCTCGTATCACTTGTGATATTTTGTATATCGACGGTGGTAGCAGGCGTTGTAAGCAACATATGGGCATTGATAGTATTGCGTTGTGTACAAGCAACAGGTGCATCATGCACGTTGGCGGTGGGTGCAGGCATTATTGCAGATTGCTTCGCTGTGGAGGAACGAGGTGCTGCATTCTCCCAATTCTTTTATGGCTTGTTTGTAGGCCCTCTTGTTGGTATGTAGTAAGGATTGTGCATTGCCTTTATACTCACATTACATTTATGTAGGCCCTGTGATAGGAGGTGGCCTCATCATGCTGCCATCCACTTGGCGTGCCACTTTTTGGTTTTTGAGTGCGTATGGGCTATGTATTTTATTCGCGGTGTTTTTCGTTCTCCCAGAAACGTATCGTGTTGAAAACCCAAGCGAAAATGGTATCGTCATTGACGACGTGTCATCTTCCTCTTCTACCTCGGATGAAGAACTTGGCTATTACAAGAGGAATGAAAAGGCCGTTAGCAATGAAAAACAAGAACCTGATCCCACGACACCAAAAGCCCATTCGATGATGAATCCTTTAGAGCCATTTTTCATGCTGCGACATCCATTTGTATTGATGGCATCTACCATCTCTGGCGTTGCATTTGGTGCCATGTATGCTGTGGAGACCATTATGCCTAGTTTGTACCAACAGCATTACGATTTCGTTGCATGGCAAACAGGTTGGTTGTTCATACACATGCTTTATGTATGGGAGGAGTATTTCACTCACATTTTTGTTGAGTATAGGATTGACATTTTTGGGTGCTGGATTGGGCAACACATTGGGCACGGTGATCAATAGTGTGTCATCGGATCGATTACTATTACGATCACGTCGACGACGAGGGGGTGAAGAACGAGTCGAAGATAGATTAACATTGAATCTATGGCCAAGTGGTGTCGTGATCGTGCCCTTAGGGCTCTTGCTATTTGGATGGCCCTTGGTGTTCAACCTTTCTTACTGGTATCCAATTATCGGGTTTAGTATTCAAAACATTGGCATGGTGCAATTAATGACCTTGTCAAGTGCTTATCTCGTCGATGCTATGCCAGGTCGTGGGGCTACAAGCGCAGCAGCAGCCAATTTAATGCGTAATACCTTTGCAGCTATTCTCACTTTGGTATCCAATCCAATGTCGGATACAATGGGCCCTGGTTGGACCACCGTGCTCTTAGCTGCACTTACATGGTGGTCTATGGGATTGCTTTTCCTTCTCAAAGTTTATGGACCTCGTCTTCGGCAATGGTCAGGATACGCTTAGCATAGTAATAATCCGTTGTACATCAACCATCATAGAAACATGCATACGTATCATGCAGCAGTAATAGTAAATATAGTAAATTCACGGCATTGTCGCCATTCATCACGAGCCATTCATTTCATTGTCAGCAGACATTACCCTTTGTCTTTCACCCAGTTGAGCAACCTCACAACCATGAACAAGCAAGTAGCTGCATTCTCGTTGTCATTGACACCTCCTTGTTCCCTTCGTTAACCTTACACTTTATTCCTCATTCCAACAGAGCAGACATGACTACCACTATGCACACTTTACTCTCTCAATTCAAAGGTAAACTTGCTCCCCCATCGTGAATGGCTCGTTTTTGCACTATATACCATGACTAATTACCCCACTCAATAGAAAACCCGGTCAATTGGGCATTGGCAGCAGTATGTAACAAGTTGTCGTCATGGTATTTGAGTATGGTTGCTAAGAGCATGTGTATCTATGTGGTTGTGTATGATAGGTCCTTGCGTATGTTGTACGTTCATTTGCGCACAGTAGCAAGCCAGCCGCTATTCCTGCAAAGCACCCCGATGTGATTGTGTTCAAGAACTATACCCCCAAGGAACTTGAGCCATTCAATGGCACCAATGATACACGTGTGTTGATGGGCGTCAATGGCAGCGTTTATGATGTCACTCGTGGACGTAACTTTTATGGACCAGGTATGTATATTGGATGGGGGGGGTTCAACATATCATTAAATAGAACTAACACCCAACACCATAGGTGGCCCTTATGCCAATTTTGCAGGACATGATGCGTCTCGCGGTTTGGCCAAGAATTCATTTGACTTGGAAATGATCACCGATCCTTCTCAACCTATCGACAAGCTTGAAGATTTAACGCCTGAAGAATGGGATTCGTTGCGAGAATGGGAACAGCATTTTGCTTCAAAGTACCTCTTGGTCGGCAAACTTGTAGAAAACGAGTAATCGACATTGGATATTCACATTTGCAATAAATTATCGACATGGTTGAAACCTTGTTTCATTTCGACGATCACAACTTCCCCAATCCTTGGCATTTGTTCACATGATACACCTGGAACATATCCACTACGCTTTGGAGATATCCATTTCTCTTCATGCAACTACCAGCACATACACACACAATACGTATTGGATCCATACAATGACGTACCTGCAACATAATAAGGAGAAACAGGTACAGTGTTTGGAACAAGTTTTGGATGGATAATGAGCACTTGTGTGGGGTAAAAGCGATTGAACAATGGATATTCACCATCCCATACCGAATTAGGCAAAAGTGATTGTGACCCAAGGGACCAACGTCAGTGAGAGATGGCATGGGAAAAACGTCAGCGGCTTAAGCAAGCACGGATACCCAACCGAGCCCTTTTTTGGGATTACGTTGAAAGGCAGGTCAAGAAAAAAGGCAATAGGGGTTGCATTTGAATCGAGGAAATTTAACCTCTCTTTCCGCTCTCTTTCACTTTTATCATGCAACACCGACATCCATCACTGTTATTACTACTTTTATCATTCCTGCTCCTTGTATCATCCATATCTACGTCTTCTTCGTCTTCCGATGCCTATCATTATCGAATTGGAACCGGCAAAGGAGATATGACCGGCCCTGTGAGTGAAGTCACCTTTATGGGCTATGCCGAATGGTCGCAGGTCGGCCAAGGATTATTACAACGAATCTATGCACGAGCCTTCATTATTCACGATGACGAGTCAACAAAGAAACGAGTCGTCTTTGTCAATACCGATACACAATCGATGGGCGACATTGTAAAGAAACGGGTGGTGCAACAACTTCAAGCCATGTATGGTCCCACGTTATACACAGCTGATAATGTCATGCTCTCCAGCACACACACGCATAGCAGCATGGGTGGATATCTCCAATACAGTAAGTGTTTGTACCTGATCCATCATGACCAGCTGTGATTAAATCATCGTTCTAGCTCTGTTTCAGATATCAGTCAAGGGATGGCTTGAAGAAACAACGCAACCCATGGTGGATGGCATCGTTCGTGCTATTGTACAAGCTCACAATAATCTGGAACGTGGCTCTTTGACGACCAATGTGGGTGAATTATTGGATGCAAACATCAATCGATCGCCCAAAGCCTATCTCCTCAACCCTGAAGAAGAACGTGCACACTACAATTATGATGTCGACAAAGATATGACGTTGCTCGGATTTCATGCTGATGATGATGGCAGTAATTCACCCATGGGATTTATCAACTGGTATGGATCACACGATGTCATGTATGTCACTTGTCACCACTCACACGTTTTATTTATACATGTAGGTTTGCTGTACATGGAACATCCGTCAATGCAAGCAACAAGCTGGTGAATGGAGACAACAAGGGATATGCTGCCTATGCTGCTGAGCATCATTTTAAGAACAACTTTGTCGCTGGATTTGCTCAAGCCAATGAAGGAGATGTGAGCCCCAATACAGAAGGTGCCTTTTGCAGCGGCACTGATATTCCATGTGATGGATCGCTTGATACTCAATGTCCTGGATCATCTAAATGCTTTGGAAGGTAACGTGTACTTCATGCTTCTCTTGTTGTTGGGGGGGGGGGAGTGAGGGGAGAAGAAAATGAAAATGCTCAGGGGGGTTTGGATGGCCGCGTGGGGAAGCATGACACATTTTAAATTGATGCTGCTGTATTCAGGGGTCCCGGATGGAAAATCAGTGACTATGAATCAAACCGTATCATTGGTCAACGTCAAGCCGATCTTGCCATTGAACTTTTGGAGAAGGCGGATCGCATGGTACAAGGCCCTGTTGACTTTCGACAAAAGTATTGGGACATTACAAAGACAATTATCAAAAAGAGAGATGGGACACTCGGCTCGCCTTGTCCTGCTGCCATTGTAAGTAATTAAGGGAGAGAGAGAGAGAGAGAGAGAGACGGATGTGACACATGTTGTTAACTAACATCATCATTTCATGCAGGGTTACGGATTTGGTAAGATGTCAAAGTGATGATGATGATGTTCTGCTCATCTCACATGCGCCTCTTTAAAATAGCTGCTGGAACAACGGATAATCCTGCTATTAATGGCATCTATCAGGTAGGATTGCATAATTGGGATTTTGAGGAGCTATATTTTCTCATTGCGTTTTGCCGATAGAATATGACGCATGGAACCTTTTTCTGGGATACGCTCAAGAACATTGTCAAACGCCCAAGCAAACAGCAAGTAGAATGTCATGCACCGAAAGCGAGTACGTTTTGGAAATGAAAACCTTGATGGTATACATACTCACCCAAAGTATAGTTATCTTGGATACGGGAGAGATGCATTTACCGTATACATGGCAACCACATATCCTTGATGTTCAGCTTTTCAGAATCGGCAACTTTTATATTGCAGCTGTGCCCTCCGAATTTACGACAATGAGCGGGAGAAGATTGAGGAATGCGATCAAGAATAAATTGGTCGAATATGGTATTGGCGATAATGAAACGACCGTTGTCTTGTCTGGGCCAGCGAACGGATATGCTGTAAGTTACATACATCAAAAGGAATATGGATGCTGATATAGGTATATGTGTTCTAGTCCTATGTCACGACGTTTGAAGAATATCAAATGCAGCGTTTTGAAGGAGGAGGGGTAAGACATTGCTAGCATGAGTATTCAGCAGGCTGACCACATGATGTTTGATGTAGACTGCCTATGGCCCTTATACTTTGGATGCGTACATTCAAGTCTTTGAAGAACTTGCCACTTCGATTGCTACGGATACACCCATCACCCATTCTGAAGAATTATTTGATTACACCTCCAAAGCATTCAGCCTCTTGTTAAGTGCCAGTGCAGATATTGCTCCTATGGGTCGTCAATTTGGTGATGTTATCAAGGATGTAAAGACCATCCAGCAACACGATCCTCCGTTGATGACGCTTGATGGAACAGCCGATACCACCGTTGCTGCCACATTTGTTGCCGGGAATCCAAGACACGACGTGATGGCTGAAAAGACATACTTGACAGTAGAAAGGCAGATGGATGATGGTCAATGGGAGGTGGTACGAACGGATCATGATTACGACACCCGGTAAGATTCAACAAGAGCAGAGATAAGGGGAAAACAGCTTGCTGATGGCATGATGACAGGTTCCGATGGAGGTATACGAGCCGTTTTGTGACACAATCAGAGGCCACTATTGAATGGGATATTGGTAAAAACGTACCAGGTAGGTCCTTGGTCTTTCTCTACTAGTATAATGAATGTATGCTAATGCGTATGTTTGTATAGCTGGCATCTATCGTCTTGGTTATTTTGGACACCATAAGGAATTCTTTTCGAGGTAGGATGGAATAGATGCATGTTGGCATTAGCACTTTATTGACCAAGGTATTACTACTATGTAGGAAAATTGTTCCTCATCAAGGCTACTCGAGTGAATTTACGGTTCAAGGACATGTGGATGCTATTCATGGCGATACCTATTGTCAACCCGAAGAACAAGACGTGGATGGATGCGTTGGCAACAATGGTGGACGTGTTGATACAACACCTGCTTTCCGATACATGACTCCCTTTGTGATGGATTTTCATTATGCCGACAAATCATAGAATACCCATCTTAGAATTTGAATACATACAACAAATGATACATTAAACTATATGTATAAACGTCAACACATGGTAAAAGAAAGGTTTGGTCGTATGTATTTCATCATGTCAATCAAAAGGTGGATGTGGGTAAATGATTAATTCAAGCGCTCTTGGATCCATGCATTGAAAAACTCGAGCGAATTTTCTGGTTGATCGGCTGGGGTCATATGACCTGCTCCATAGACTCGTAAAAAGGCAAATTGACCACTGGGAGTTTTGCGTAGTTGACCCGCATTATTGCCCCATTCAAGATCGGGTGCTGAACGCCAAGCTTGTTGGTCATGCCATTCCAACTCCATTGTCCAGGCCTTATTTCCTAGCCAATTGCATATAAAATCTTGGTCACCAGCATACACAAGCACACGCAATTGATGATCATCCAAGAGAGCTGTCAAGTCACGCACATAGGGACGCATCCAATCGCCTGCTCTTTGGAACATGTAGTTGATATGGATATTGCAATTGGCATACATGGTGCTGTTACTTTGAGTCGCTGTCCGTTGGGATACGTCGGCTGCACCAATGATAGCGTCCTTGATATCATCTCGATTTAGATAATCTTGCAAGAGGGAAAGATGGTCGTCACATAGCGAGTCGTCGACTTGACTACAATCTTTGCGTATGTCGTAAGGGCTGCGGCCACTTTGAGAGTAGTAGGGTTCAAGTAACGCATTATTACAGAAATCGGATGCTGCAACACACGCCTCCGTATTTGCTGGGTTGTCATAGCACATTGAAATGAGATTCTTGCACATGGGATAGGCGTCTTTCATCATTTCACATGCTCGGTCGTTAAGCAAACCAAGAGCACCATTCTTGTCGCATACCATGGGTGCATAATATCCATATTGAATCAAAGGATCTACCAATCCATTTCCAACGAGCAATGACTTGAGTTGGATGTTGCTTGCATCTTCTTGAACAAGACGTTTTCCAATGGCTGGGATATAATGTCCGGCATCTACATGCATGAAGGTTATTTATGAATCCACCTGCTGCGTGTTTTTTTCCTGTCTACTTGCATGATTCACCAGCAATGTGAAAGTCAAGCTTGCTGTATTCTGTTTAAAGGGGGAAACATGAGTTTGGTGCATGGTATGACATTATTTTTCATACCTGGGAATTCAGAAAAGAAAAGTTGAAGGAATGCATAAACATCCTCTGCAGCCGAATCCGTATCATGCACTTGATCGGGTCCATAAGAGTAACCCACATTGACAGGCTACGTCGTGATGAATAAACGAATTATATATGCTTTTGAATGCTTACCTGATCCAAAAAGATGACGCTGGCATTGTTGTTCCAAGAATACGGGTTAAAGTCAGTGCCACTACCATCCTCATTCAATAGACAAGGGCTGTATGCAATCTTTGTGAGTTGGCTGATGATGATGATGGGAAATAATACTAATACAAACCCAAGCTCCATAAATAAACCTGTCATGGATGAGCAACCTGGACCTCCATTAAGCCAAAGCACCAATGGATCGGTTTCTGGATTGTTACGTGATTCAAAGAACCAAAAGAAAAAGTGCTTGTCTTTGGCTGTCTCGTCCAAATAACCACTATACTAGTAATAATACGGCATTGATACATGTAGATAAGGTGGGGTTGGGTAGGAAGACTTACTTGTGTTACGCTTGGATCACAAATCTCTGCATCGGGTTGAGTAAGACGAATAAAGTACTCGGGAAGGGTGGGATGTGAAATGGATAAGAACGACTTTGGTGTGAATGATGGTGAAGAGGAAGGTGCCGCTAGAACAAGATTCCAACAGCTACAGATAAAAGAAAATAGAGTGGCACGAGCCAACGCAAAGCGTGCCATTAGGAAGATGATAAAAGAGAAGGAATAGTAATAAGTATCAGGGCCTGCTGATATACACGATATTGAAAGCCGTTACTGCTGTTGTCATTTATATGTTGAGAACTGAGCCAACAACAAAGTAAGTTGTGTACCGAGGCGATTACGATGATGACCAGTTTTATTGTCTTTTATTTCAACAAACTACTTTTGATATGCAACAAACATGTCAAATGGATGGGGGGAAACTCGCTATTATCTTGGCTTGGCTGAACTGTTGCTGTTGCGTTGACGTTTCACAAATGAGAGTGATCTCAGCTCGCGAGAAGACAACCTGCCTCTGCTTTTAGTTCCTTCACCTTACAACACCCGCTCCTTACAATGTCGACATCTGCAAAGCAATTCAAGGCACTAGGCGACGATGTTTGGAAGAACAAAGTAGAGAAGATTGTAAGTATCAAGTAACAGTACCATTCGAAGCGTCTATTCAACATGTCACCTTTTACAGAATGCCGAACTCTTTACGTTAACGTATGGATCACTTGTGGTGCAACTTGTCAAGGACTATGAAGACTACAGCGAAGTCAACAAGCAGTTGGAGCTCATGTACGTAATGGAAAAGAGTGACTGTATGGGCTTTTGAGACTTATACAAAGACATCGAAACAGGGGTTACAATATTGGACAACGAATGATTGAGGACTTTTTGGCACGGTCAGGTATTGGACGATGTGTGGATTTCCGTGATACGGCCGAAGCTATCAGCAAGGTTGGATTCAAAATGTTCCTCAATATTACTCCTACGGTGGGCAACTGGTCATCGGATAACAAGGAATTCTCGCTGGTGTTTGATGAAAACCCATTGACCGAGTTTGTTGAATTACCCGAGGATGCATTAGAAGGTGGTTTATGGTATTCCAATATCTACTGTGGTGTCTTACGTGGCGCATTGGAGATGGTGCAAATGCAAGTGGAAACCAACTTTGTCAGTGATGTCCTGCGAGGTGATGATGCGACTGAAATACGTGTCAAGTTGATCCGCTATCTTGAAGAAGAGGTTCCTGCAGGCGAGGATTAGAGATTGTACTTTCACACATATCCATCCCAACCCCACCCCATTTTTTTCTTGTTGACAATGAACACATGTATATCCTGATGGCACTTGTAGAATCGTATGATTTGTTTCCCCTTATCCCATGAAAATGTAATTCTTTTTGCTTGTCTATAAGATCAATTATTACAACATCTTGTTCGATTCATCAATTGTGAGAGCCCGTTCTTCCAATCCAGTCCAATCCACATTTCAGGTTCCAAATCATTTTATGAGCTCATGATAACAACTAATAAACGACATGTATGACCCGTTCCTGAAGCAATTTGTTGACATTGAATTGTTGCTATATGGCTTGTCTACATTTGATTATGTTTGGTATTAATGAGGGTCCTTGTACGTAATCGAAGAAAACACGTCAACGACTATCGATCCCATAAGGATGAACGCGTGCATAAACCACCGTGATCTTCATTGACGCGCTCATAACAACTCCGCATAATATCACGATTTTGCCTTGTGTTCAGTGTGTGTGTACCTTTCTCCCCCTCCTCCTCCTCCCCTTTTTTCCCAGAGCACATTTATTTATACAACTCTCCACTTGTCTTCAGACGTCAATCAAGAGCGATTCAGGCCAAGATGGAATTTACCGTGCTCGCACGCTTTGACGATTTCCTCTCGGCGTCTTTACTCGATGGCCTGTTCTTGTGGTTCAAGACGATCAAAATGAATGAGGAGAGCGCTCGTCCTAGTACACCAGCTCATGCGGTTCTCAAGATCATTCGGAAGCATATCGTCGAAGAAGAGAACATGAATAATGCTGTTCAAGAGCTATTAAAGTAAGCAAAGAGTCATAAAGACGTATGTACATTGTGGTCTAATGTGTGTGAGCTTTATTGATAATTAGGATGCGGTTTATACAAGAGTTCCTTGAAGGTGGAAAGGAGAAGGAATGGAATAACTTTATACAGCACATGAAACGGTACCTGAGCATGTAAGTGGATGCCAAAGGGATGATGGAGAGAAGGGGAGACTCATGATTCGCGCGCTCTCTCTCTCTTAGGTATCTGCCCAATGCTGGCTACGAGATTTGTGATACGCGAAGATATAGCTCTGATAGCGTGCAAGCGCGTATTGTGGCAACCAAGAAATGGGTGCCTGGAGACGAGATCAGGATGTGTACAGGCGGCATTGGCTATTTGAATCCAGAGCAGGATGTCATGTTGCGACAAACAGAACGCGATTTCAGTGTCATGTGGTCAACACGTAAAAGCAGCCATTGCCTTTTTCTGGGTCCCGCACGTTTCATGAATGTAAGCAAAATATCTATACATGTGGTCATCATTGATATGCGAGCGACTAATGTTCTATTATCCCTCAGCATGATTGCAATTCAAATACCAAGGTAAAAGAGGAGAGCTCATACAGCGCGGGATTTGTACTCACAAAGAGACGTATATTACAGTTTATGATTGTGAATGAGACGGCGATCACTTTCAAGGTGACCAAAGTTATTGAATGCGGGGAGGAGATCACCACATTTTACGGCTCCCAGTATTTTGGATCGGAAAATTGTGAATGCTTATGCCATACGTGTGAAAGGTAAAGAAAAAGAGGCAGGTAGATGTTGTGATCTTGCTGACACGTTTTTGAATAGCCGACAAGAAGGTGCATTTGCCGAGCAAACCAGCAATCAATCAACAGAGGATATGGAAGGTGGTGGAGAAGAGTGTGATGTACGACGTAGCAGTCGACGACGACGAGGTGTCAAATCATATGAAAGTAAGCATTTTACTGTATTCCAGAATAGTTGAATAGGATGCTAATTTGCGAACGTATAGAATTCTTTCGTCAAAACGACACCCCTAGAAAAAGACGAGGGAGACCACCCAAGTCATTGAAACAAGATACGACAAACAAAGCGCCACGCCAAGTCAAGGCATCCGAAGAGGAGGATCAAGGTGCAAGTAGAATTGAGGAACGTGATTCATCATTACCTGAGAGCTGGTGCCGGCAAACTCCGCATGAGCGCATTATGCTTGATCCATTCTCATTCTTATGCGACGTCAGCAGCAAACAACCTTACGCCGAATCGGCTGACAGCAATCGTAGCAAACCTAAGAGGAAGTCAACACAACGGGGTAGAAAAAAGAGAGGAGAGCAAAACGAGAATCAATGGGCACACAAAGTACCAGCGAATTGTCATGTTTGTGATGAGAGCATGGGAGAATTGAATGATTGGTTGATCCACCCAGCAACACAGTATAACGGTCAATGGCCTCCTACACGATGCTCGCGCTGTGAACGACATTACATCATCTTTCAACATGAATGGCCTGTGCGAAAGCTTAGGAAGAAAGGACGCAAAGCTGCTGAAGAGGATCCTCTCCATCTTCCATCTCCTGCCAACTCCACCGTATCATCGTCATCCACCTCGTCTCAAGATCAACCACATCATTCAGAGCATTATCAACTTCGAAAACGACATGCGAACAAGCCGCCTTCACCTATATCATCCTCCGATGATCAAGCAGCAGATCAACTCCATGTTCGAAAACGGCAGGCTGTCAAATCCTCATCGGCACCGATGCCATTAAAGAGTGAACAACAACATCCACAACCATCAACCTCCTCAATACCCTTGTTAAATCAACCACTACCACCAATATCATCACTACAACAGCAAGAACAGCCTCTTGATCAGAATCATTTCCTATCATCTCCAAGTATTCAGCCGTGTTGCTATGATTATCCAAAACAATGCGCAACAGCCCGGTTACCATTATCACCAGCGAATCGTCACCAACAGCAACCAACATGGATCAACCCTTATTCTTCAACACCCCCTTTACAACCAGGTTTCCATTTCTATCCTGGGCAATCAATACCATCAACATCATCGTCATCATTGCCATCAGAGGAGGAGCATGGACAACCTACACATCCTTCACCTAGACTATACAACACGCCCTACTCAGCTGATCAGCTTCACTACGCGCTTCACCACCAGTACCAACAACATCCCTATCATCATTCACGGTGATTATATCGATTCGACCACCACACAATCTCTCTCTCTCTCTTTCAGTATTTGCATATACATACATTCCTCTCATTAGCATGAAGAACACATCATCTAAAAGCGTCGTCAGGTAAATGTTGCTGTGGACGTGGTGTTTCTATGCATGATGCATGATTGACCATCAATGTCATTCCAGTTTCAAGTTATAGTCATTAGACACCTGTTGCATGTATATTTAAGCAGTACCTCTCTCTAAATACCACATGTTGCTTTTATTTTTCATATAAAGAATACTTGTCGTCGTACATGCCTAGCTCATCATCATCATCAATTGTTGAAACTTATCACGTGCCCCTGTAACGATTTATCCTCCCACAACCTTTTGCTTGACAACCGACCACCCAACCCCGCTTCTTCTTTCGTCTATGCTTTTAATGAATGGAGTGGGATCACTTCAGACAAGCTCTCGGTCAAGGTCAACCCGATCGCATCAAGCTCAAACTCTTGTTGGACAATGCAGCTTTTATTATTGACTTTCTTTCGCGTCTCTTGGAGGTACAACAACACCAACAACAACGACTACGCACTTGATCCAGCCATCGATCGCATCGATTCACTCACTCTCACACATGTATACCACAGCTATGCCGCCAATGCCAGACTCATGAAGAGATTGTAGCCTTGTATCCACAAGCATCGCAGGCACTTACTTTGGCATCGGTAACTATCAAATATGGGATACAACTTGCTTTGTAGCTAACGCAGTATGACTAGGATCATCCTTATCTTGCAGCACGCCCTGACATTGCACGCCTGCTAGTATCTTGTTTATTGGAATACAGCAAGTTTCAGTATGCTGAGGAGGGAAATACACTTCAACAACATGGGCCGTGAGTATTTATGGGTGTGTGCGTGTCAATGTCAAAAGTGCCAACCATTATGAAAAAGATCCATCAGCTGGTGCATTGCTCGGTTACGACGTCTTATCAACAATTCATCCACTCGAGGAGATAGCAAGGAAATGATTGAACGAAAGGTGGCCAAGATATCACAAAAACTGGACGATGGTTTATCATCAGGCAACTTGCAGGCAAGAAAAAGCTGTGGAATGGAAATGGGATGGACTTATCATCATCTGATACCTTGATGATTAGATGGCAAGGATCCATGAGCTGTTTGACATGGCCCTATTTTTGATACACGAGAAGCCGATTATTCCCCTGATCCAAAAGCTCACTGAATCAGCTATCCGGTTACATGAGAGGAATTCAAGACGTCGACATTGGGAAGCATTAACACCTTGCTCCGACAATGATGATGATCAAGATGATGATGGCCGCCTATTCCAAAATGCTGACGATGATGATACCATGTTGCTTCCTCCATCATTCCTGAATCGGTTATGCGAGCATGATGACACGTTATGGAACCTGTATTGTAATTGGTCTCCGGATCTCAAGTTTAGGCAAGTGGTGGGAAATGAGAATGGCGGAAGGATGGTTGCTTACTTTATGATTGATAGGCTTTGGAAGCATCATCCAGAGATTATCCGTGCTGAATTAATGCAATTGTTACACAACTATGCAAGCCAAACGACCTATGTGGCCAATGCCGATATCGACCTTTACATGATTGACTCGGAGGTGGTGGCGGCGTTGGCGCATGAACCTCCAGTCTCTCAGGTCGTATTTAAAATCATGGCTGAATTGCTATTGGAATATGGCGATTGGAGGATATACAGAGCATGGCGACATCTTGTTACAGCAACTGCTTATCAGGTAAGGGAGGGGAGAGAGGAATTGAGAATTGTTTATCAAGATGAACTTGACATGTTTGAAGTTTGTACCAGCTGGTCTGGAAGAAATCGACAAGAGTGATGGTGATATCAAGACAACTTTATCGAATTACATTTACGGTGGGCCAATACATGAGATACGTGTTTTACGAGGACAAGCATGGTTATGGATCCTTGTTCATCCCGAATGGGTGTTTCAATGGACTCAGGCGTTGGTGAACCAGTGTTATGACCGGGGAAGCACACATTTTTGGAATAAGGACGTGAGTACCAAATATCGGGCACGGGTGTATCAAGGGCAAGTCGTACGGGCAGACACAATAATGATTGATTCAAAATCAGGTGGAGAAAAGGATTGGAATTCTTTGTTGGCTTCTTTATCCATCAGACGACGATCGGCTCACGGATACCCTGGAAAGGTTTCGATCGTGGTTACAGCATACCCTACAAGGTGAGACAATGGATGGGTGTTGTTCTTCATTCTTCGAACTCATGCCCCCCTTTTTTTCTCCCTTTAATAAAGACGCCCACAGTGCTACACGAATGAGCGACGCGTTTTATGGTTCACTGGAAGAGATTTTTTGTGGTAATGTTATTGTGGCGCTTTGCATGACCATGTCTATACTGGTACGCTTGCCGGCGTGGTCGAATCAAGAATATGTAAACATGGCAAGTAGCACTATTACCCATGGGAGGAAGATGTGTGTGTGGTGCAACATGGTCTCATTGGTGAGCAAAACCTATTTGTAGTTGGACTCTGCCTTATCAATCAGCAGATCGGAGACTCCAAGGTAAACAAAAAGTGTGCATGTGTATGTATGTCTTGGCCCATGCCAACTCACAGGAACCATCTTAGGCCTTGCAAATCCGGTTACTTTCTTTTCCTCGACATGGTGCCTTTGTGGAAAAAGTCATTCCCATCATCAACATTACAAGTATTAGTCGACCATGTAGATACTACTATTGTACAGCAGCATACACATTCATGAATATACATAATGTACACTTTTTACATACGATCATCATGTCACATACATATCATTTCCACCGATCTACAATGCATGGGGGCATGGACATGGAACGTGGATACCAACGCCTGCGGCAATTTAGGCACAACCATGATCAACAAATATGCGTTGGAGGAGAACACGGTTTGATACTACCGCCCCCCTGATGGATAAATGGACGACGACCACGACCACGACGCCAATCATCACGAGGATGATGTTTCCCAAGGATTAAAGACCCAAGTCTTAACCACATGTTGTTGGATGATGTTCATTAGAGCTGGGAATGATGATATTTTGTGTCCCGTACCATGTTCACGGGGCCAAGTTTGGGGGAACAAAAAAGCTGTTCATTGTTGTGTTATGCAAAGTGTAACCCTTACAGGCATATCGTTTGGGCTGGCAATGTGGGACGGCATGATTATTGCATGAGCCAATGCAGCAGCAATAATAATAATTTTACTACTCCTTGTCAATTCTCGACCTTTGGATTGCTGCTAGTATCTTGTATTTACAAACGACATCAATGTTACCATGATGCATGGAAGATTCAATCACATACATGTAGCTAACCTGTTAACAAATCATTCGGGGCATATATACAACGTGAGGAGGAGGAGTTGTTATCACAACTGTAACCACTGCCGCCGCCACCGGTGCACGGCCTATGTCAACCGATGCAGCCATAAGCAAGAGTCTTTCCATTTTGGTTTTCAAGGCGTGTGTGAGGTCTAGAAACAGTTACTCTTTTTGGGGGGTGGAGCCGGAATGGGGGACGCAATTGCTTCAGGCCAAGAGCTTTGCCAAGTATATAAGACATTGTTCCCGTGCCTCTTTTTTGCACACATCTCTTTCTCTTTTTTTCAATTGTATATCCTAAAAGCCGTTTTACTTTACGGTACCTTTACTTGTTTCTCATAACCCCATCATTAAAATTGGATTGCTACGTGAGCTACACCGAAAGGAGGGCCTCGACAGGCTCATCCATCTTTTATCCATCTCACCATCAACATCGACGACCTTCACGACGCTCTACTGGTGTCAGCACTAATAATACAACATCCGATTCTCAATCGATAAAACCTACCTACGACTATATCCAAATGACAGCGACTTCAATCGAACAGCAAGAACACATCAATGACAATGACAATCAACAACAACAACGGGGAATTCGAATTCTTCTTGTGGATGATAATTTCGTCAATTTGCAAGTACTATCACGGGTACTGCGCATGCACATGGCCAGCATCATTCAGCACATTGAACTTGCCAAGAGTGGTATCCAAGCCCTGGAGCTACTTTGCCATCATGCTTATGACCTCGTGCTCTTGGATATTGATATGCCAGTGCTCAGCGGGCTTGATACAGCCCGTCAAATCCGAACATCAAGCGACATCCTCGCTGAGAACCGAGTCATCCCTATTGTGGCTGTAACCACCAACGATACTGCAGACTGGAAACGTTTGTTTGTGCAATGCGGGATGGTAAGAAGTTTCACGCTACATACATACGACGTTCTTTTTCAGTGATACTCATCATTGATCATCTTTATAGAATGGATTCATCAGCAAACCTGTAGTACCCACATCATTGAAAAAGACATTGATACAAGTACTCAATACGGGACATAGCCCTGAATCATTGGCACCCTTTGTTCCATTACCGCCATCGCCCCCTTTACCACCGACATCAGCAGCAGCACAGGCCACACCTTCTGTTTTATGAAACACAATGCTGTATTACCAACTTGCGACAATACCCTTCTTCTTCACACACCCCCAACAACCCCATTGCATCGATATTTGTAAATATGTGTTCCTGCCATTGCTATCCTGCCCTTTTTGTGTTGTATACCATTGTATAGAATAAGTTCATATCCCCCCCATCACCACCATTTTAAAAATTTGCACACTATAAAAAAAAGTGGGAACTTCCTCTTGCTGCCGCATCACCTTGCATGATCACTTGATGCAACCCCACAGCGAACTACGCGCGCGCGCAACCCACATACACACACATGCAGCGTTCAACCATGTCGTTTTTGTTGTTTATTGTGTGTAATCGAGATGTTTTCTATTGAGAGAGTTCTTGAATGTGTTGCCATTTCAACCAGATCCCCACAAACAACTACCACGATATAGAAAAGCAAAATTTTGTTTGCTTGTGTGCGAGCACAAGGGTTCACATGCTATACCGAGGTGCATGGACCTACCGTGTCATGGGTTCATGGTCGAGATAAACTTTCTCACACACACACACGCAAACGTCTGCTGCATGGTGGATACGCATAATGCTGATCACAGCCATAGCAGCATCAACGTTGGTTTTTTTGGGCGGTATGGCATATGATGTGATTGCAGCAGCAGTAGCACGGGTACACTTTTGTCATATGAAAGGCGATTGCGTAATAACTAAAAAGGATAGGGTGGCAAAGTAGGAGAAGATGGGAATACACAACCAAGTGATGTTAATCTCAAAAAGGAGCTGGTGAGTGGGTGGGTTTGCTTGTCCCGATGATGAACAAGTGATACTCAATGACGCCTGCTTGATCACGGGAATTGATTTTTCTCATCGATCAAAGAGAAGCTCTTGCTATATGTGTGGGGGCAACAAGGCGTATGATACACCAAAGATGACGTGCAATGGTGTACATGCGACGCGAATGCATGAATGGTGCAACAACAAAGACGACTTGTAGTAGTATACAATCGACTTTTTTACTCCTCTTGTCGTTACTAATTATCCCTTTACATACGCACACAAGCACACCTCCTTATTCCTTTTATCAGCAAGCCCCTTATCGGTTTGTATCCGAAAACCGACAATCAATCTTTTGGTTCCTGAACACAAGGTGTGGCTTGCATCAAGGGGGTTTCACTGGATAAGAGACAAGAAGATTTTCATTATAAGCGCCGCCAATAATCTGCAACACCCAATGTCATCATGCACAGCTCGCGCAACAAAGAAAATGTATCCACCCACACACACACAAACTCTATATTCCAAAGGTCAAAAGACAGGGATCCCCTCTCCTGTCAAAGTGAGAGTCCTCGCAATAATTCATGTACCTTACAAGCCTGCTTGTAATAATAAATCACAAAATAGGGGACAGCAGTAAGGAGAGAAGCAATATGATCTATACATTCTTTCTCTCTCTCTTTCTCTTTGACTTGCATCAATGCATGCAAATGAACAATGAGCTGAGATGCATTTCAATTGGGTAGCGATGATCAATGCTTGAATGTGTATATAAGGCCTATCCTCGGGATGGCAACAGCTGTCATCCCACATCTTTCTACAACACACACACAACCCTTTCCATTCTTTCTCAATCCTTGTGTCAGGCACACATACATACACACACATTCATACACACGTACTTGTGAGCAGGACTCTCTTCATTGTATCATCAACCCCCACCCATTACATTCATTTCTGTTTCATTATGATGCTCAAAGTGTATATTCTTGGCCTGTTGATCATGGCATCTACTATGGTGTTGGCTGTGCCACTCCAAAAGCGAGGTCTCAAGAGCTGTTACAAGCATGCCAAGCTCACACAGTAAGTAGCCGATTATGCATCACAAATCGGATCACTCACTAACATCATTCACAGGTATTGGATCCCTAAAGAAGGAGACACCGATATGACCAATGATGGTGATTCGGTCAAGCTATCAGGTCCCAAAACCAAAAAACTCAAGACCAAGAGCGGCAAGGTGATTGCCAAGGTATCCAAGGCTACGTTTAAAAAGTTCCAAATGGAAGGCACCGGCTTGCTCGAGGATGGTGACATGGTGAATTTGGACGATGGCAAAGACGAGTTTATGAAGGTCGACCGTAAAAAGGATCCTTATGGTATTGGCTCTGATGATGATATCAAGCTTGATCCTTGGGTCAGTGTCGCTGCCAATGATCTCGATGCAGGTACCACGCTCTATATCAAGCAACTTGATGGTACCAAACTTCCTGATGGCAAAGTCCACAATGGCTGTGTACGTGTTGACGATGAAGGCTGGAGCTTTGAAGACTGCCAGCTCGATTTCTTTGTGCTTCAATATTCAGCATACAAACAACTCGACAAGGCATTACCAGAAAAAGTGCATGTCGAAAAGAAGGATTGCGAAGTCAAGGATTACATTACCGGCAAGGTCCAAAAGTGGGCTGTCTTAAAGGGAAAGGCCAAAGGAGTAAGCTCTTCATCTTCAGACGACGACGACAACGATGACGATGATGACGACGACGACGATGACAAGAAAAAGAAGCATCACCACCACAAACACCACGACAAGAAGAAAAAGAAACATCATCACCATGACGACGACGACGATGATGATGATGACGATCACCATGACAAGAAAAAGAAGCACCATCACCATGACGACGATGATGATGACGATGATAGCCACGACAAGAAGAAAAAGAAGCACCATCACCATCATGATGACGACGATGACGATGATGATGATGATTAAATGACCTTACCTTCTTGTCGTATACCCTAGCTTATCATGTCTCATTGTTCATATTCATTGTATCAGAAAAAGAGTACATAGTGGTAGCAATAAAAAGCATTGCAAACCTTGTTCTGATGCAAGCGTAACACAAGCATAGGATTGTGGCACCCATGGCTCTGATAGCACGTGACAAAAGATAGGTTGCACCCTACATGCGCGGGATAGCGGCCGAATTATGTAACCGAGATGATATCCAAGCATGTAATAGCTGCAAGCATTGTGGATAACCAATCCACCAAGTTCACCAACTAAATCACGGTTACGGATAAACTTCTTTTCCTCGGTCAAATATCTCTTGGGTGGGCTCGTTTTGTTTTCGTTGTATAAAAATGAGGGGAGTGAATGCTTGTTTATTGAAAAGAATGGTCTGATTGAATCATCTATGGTGGGATCATCTATCTCCAATGGGGTGGATGGCGTTGAAAGAGAAAGGGAAATAGAATGACACATGTGTTGCCATGATCCAATGGTGTGATAGTTTTTGGTTTCAAGCCCGCCGCTGTTATAGGCCGTCAAGGATAAACAATTTGGGTGTCGCCTTTCTTCCCCGCACTACACACAAACTTGTTTGGTTTTTTGCAATCGGACCATGGTCAAATTCTACCAGCATACTTTCAATTATGAGTAAGTGCTCACTGTCTTGCCGTTCATGCTTTTACCCAGCTCTCTTACGCGTGTTGTTGTTCTTGTACAGCCACCCATGGCAAAATGTGACCTATGCATTCTGGCTACGATATCCCAATCCATTTGCTTCTCATGGTAGGTATCCACATTGTGTCCTTCAAACGTGCGTCTTGATACTTATCTCTTTTATATAGTGCTAGCGGTGGATGTATTGGATCGTTATGTGGACGAGAAGGGTGTATTACGAACAACTCGGCTTGTTTTGAAGAAAGGCAAGCTGCCCAAATGGTTTCCCAAACATGTAAGTTGTTTTTTCTTTCCTTCCTTGACAACCAACGTCTTTTCTCACACAAAGGGTCATTCATCAATGTTAGTTTCTGAAAAACTCGGAGGCGTTTGTGATTGAGGAATCAGAAGTGGATCCCAAGAATATGACGATGGTGACACGCACCAAGAACTTGAACCATGTTCGTATTATGCAAGTTGTCGAGACACAAATCTTCAAACCCAATGGTGAATGGTCAACCTCTTGTAAATCAGAAGCACGCATTGTATCTCGTTTTGGATGGGGACTCGCAAGCAAAATCGAATTATTTGGACAGAGCAGTTTTGCTGCCAATGCATCGAAAGCTCGCAAGGGTATGCGCCACATTCTTCAGATGATTCGAGAAAAACAAGCGGGTGGTCGATTGCCTTTTTATTATCCACAACATCAGTAACCATTGCAACACACACACTCACACATCATCCACACCTTTGTCGTCGCCATGATCATCCCGCTCACTCAACATTTGTCATTCAACCACCACCACTACTACTACATCAACCACACCACAATCCCATTCGAAATGTATATAGTCAAAAACACCTTGTGCACAGTTTAAAAAAAGATCCCACCCTTCTCCCTGTTTGATTCCTTTCTCTATCGATTTTTCTAGCAGATCACTCATCACACCACTTTATCCCTGTTCTGCTCTCTTCCTTCTACTCTTATTATCCCTTGTTGTATCAACAATGTGTCTATTTTGCTTTATTCGACAATTTTATTTTCGTGCTGATCGTCTGTCAACTGGTTGAAGGGTAACACGTTGTTATGTTGGAGATTTGGGAACATGTGACAACCACATTCGTTCATTTAGTGTACGAAAGGATAGCATGTACAATGATCGCTGGATCTTGAGATTTCATCCTCGTCCTATGTGTCTCCTTCCTCCTCGGATTGTGTGTCTTTTACTCGCCTTTGATGTACTGGCTGTTAAAGTGTAAGCAAGCCCTTCTGTAGGATCGATGATATTATGTTGCATCGTACATTGTTGTGATGGCGTTCTTCTCGATCCATGCTTTGTTTTGTCACATCTCCCAAGGAAGCCGCTATACTACCACCCCATGAGAGTCGTAGTAGCTACAACCATTCAATTTTACCTTAACAAATAAAAGAGCCAAATACCACAATAACAACGATAACAATGAAAGCAGGATCACAATGAAACAACGATAGCTTGAGCTTTGACGCTGTAAGCGACCAGAGGGTGATAGGATGGAAGAATGGGATGCGTTGGGAAAGGGGGGGCAATGTCCTTGTTTGTATCAGTATGGTGGGCGTGCTAAACGACGTCGTGCGTTGTGAGTAATCGTTTTAGAAAAGTTGGAAGTCATTGGTAGTGCACACGCATAAATTTTCCCTGTCACCATAAATCATCCCCCATGGGGTTGACATTACGGCACGCGATCATTTATGAAGCATAAAACCACGTCAAACAATGATTGCGTATCAGCCAATAGTATGTTTGAAAGCGCATTGCGTATATATATTGTGTCTAGTGTAGGATATGAAAATGATGATGAAAAAGCAAATGATATGAATGGAAAACCAGGAACATATTAAACAACATGAAGTCTACTCTCTAGAAATGTCACGACCAAGGATGGTCTTTTTCAACCAATCGGTAATGACAAGTGTACGATTACGGGAGGAGAAAAGGTTGGAGATGTATGCAGAGCGCCAGAAAGCATAGGTGGCTACAATAAATGGGAAACGGCCATGTTTAGGATCACATCCACCCCAAAAATCAAATCCCACAAAACTTACCAACACCGCCAGAAGCGACATTACCAGGGCCAAAAGGCAAATCAGCAATGGCCTTATCAGAGCCAATGTAACTACACCCACCAAACCATATGTATTTAGCTAATGCACATCACATCCTTCTCTTCAGCTTACCATAAAGATCCTTGATGAGTGTATTCGAAAGGCTTGATATCCTTGGCCTTGGCAAGCTTACGTTCCTTCTTTGCACGTTCCTCAGGAGTAGCAGCTTCCTTGATTTCTTGTTCCAACACTTCTTGATTTGCGAGCATGGAGAACACACGTGCAAGGTATTTGCCCTGTTGAGCAGCCACTTGAGCAGTAGGGGCATAGTGAGTTGCACTAGCATCACCCAAAGCAAAAATGTCTTCAGGACCCTTCATGCGTAACCAATCATCCACGGCCAAACCACGACGAATGTTTTGCACTTCGGGATACTTGGCCATCAAATTCCGTACAAGGGGACGAGCTGTGTTGCCAGTAGCCCACACCAACAAGCCGTAAGGGATCGTATCAAGGCTACCATCAGGGCGCTTGACAACAATGTCCTTTTCATGTACTTCCTTGACCATGGTCTTGGTGTGCAATGAGATGTTTTGCTCCTTGAATGTGGACTCTGTGTAATCAATCAATTGCTTGGAGAAAGCTGGCAATACATTGGGAAGTGCCTCGACGAGAGTAATCTTAATCTTGCCGGCAAGTTCTATATGTAGATTACATGGGTTAGTAACGTGGCAACCTATGTTTCATCATCACAACACGCTACTACTTACCAGGATACCATGAAGACAAATCATCCACCAAAAAGTCGTGCAATTCGGCAGCATATTCAACACCGGTAGGACCACCACCGACAACAACCATGTGTAATAAACGATCCACTTCTTCAGGAGATTGACCAGGGAAGGCGGCGGTTTCAATACAATCCATCAATTTGGAACGAATCTTTTGAGCATCCCACACTTCCTTCAAGAAACAACCATATTCCTCCACGCCCTTAATGCCAAAGGTAGCATTTTGGGCACCAATGCCAACGACAAGGTAGTCGTAAGGAATCTCACTTTCGGCCGATGCACCCTTGACCTCTGAGCTATCTATGGTTACACAATAGCATCGAGTCAGTATTACAGACACACACATGCATGCATGGAAGAACCTTGTTCTATTTACCCTTGATAGTAAGCATCTTTCGCTCGGGATCCACATTGGTACATTCAGCTTCATAGACCTTGACTTCTCTTGCCTTGTGACGAGTAATGAAACGTACGGGTTCAACCAGGGATCGCACATCGATGGTGCCAACAGTGCAACTGGGTAACAGCGGGGTGAACAAAAAGTAGTTGCGGGGAGACACAACCACGACGTTGTAATGGGTCGTGTCGATAGCCTTGAGGAACGAGGTTGAAGCCCATCCACTGCCCAAGACCACAATCGTCTTTTTCGAAGGATCCAATTCTTGTTGTGGTTCAGGATGACGTTGTTCATACATGGCTAATCACATCGTCAATCTTATGATCCACCCACCACCCTTATCTCGTATCACATATATACGTACCATAAATACCATAAGCAACGCTACCAACCAAACCATACTTTACAATAGCCTTCGTCATTGCCCATTTCGAAAACGACTTTTTGGGTGCTGCCGATGTACTGTTGAGACGAATCTGAGTAGCCATCATGGGACGCGCATGACGAACGCCGAAACGTGATCCTGAAGGAAGATTTCCGAATGAGACATTGTGTTCTTTTTTTTTCTCCCCTTCCGTATCCATGTTATTTACCTGCTCGGATCAAACGAGGAGCCGCTTGCATAGTAATAAAGAGGGAAGAGTGGTAGTAGTAATGGGATAAAGGGAAGGGAAGAAAGGGAGGATGGCGGACAATGGTGGGCTCTGTATATGTTTTTTTTCACTCGGAGCAATCCTTCATCTGATTTCAAATGTCAGTGCCTCCCTTCGCTCCCAGTGTTTCCCGACCTTACCAACTATTTTCCCAAGATTGGGCACGGAGACAGCATTAATAAGAATGAGCGAATCCGAGATTAGCTTTCTCTTTTGACACCCCACCCACCCACCACACTTCCTCCTCATCTCTACTCTATCATAGAGCGGGGTCATTATTATACTTTACTCTACTTCCCCGGAAAGGGAAACTACCCGAGATCATCGCCATACATAGTTCTAGATGTCGATGTTGTTGTAGATAGAAACATTTTGATTTGCCATCTACCACCATCACCGGGCATTTTACTTTTTAGAGATCTAGGTTGTATACATGTATATATATAAGGTACATAAACCCTTGCAATTGGCCGGGTATGTAAATGGATGATGCCTTGTATTCTCAAAAAGCTCCCGGCGGGATGCACACCGTATATAGTCAAATGTTGTACCTGAGGATAAGCGGGATGGATACATAGTGCAACTATGGATGCTGTCGCGTCAATGCTAACAGATGAAAAATTCATTTCCCTCATTCATGGTGCTCCGTAGCATCCAGCCCCCTTATCGAAAAAGAATAACACCGCCATTCAAAGACATGCCAACAGCATCACTAATCAATCAGCCACCTTTATTCAAAAAGGTGTCTATGTTCCTCTTGTAAAGAAGAAAAGGAAAATAGATCATGCGGGAACAAGGAACGTCAAAATCGTACATCCCGTACGATAAGCACGTGGATATCACAGCAGCAAAACAATCAACCTTGTTTATCTCGATAGGATGCACGTCAGCCCTTTATTTGTCATAACAAGAGACAGATGCCAAAACAAGCTGTCAACCACAGCATTGGATTTGAGCGCGTGACATGTAACTTGTAAGAGAGAGAGAGAAAGGGGGTGGGGGATAAACTTGGATCCCGTTCATGTCGCCTATTGTTGCTGAGTGATTGACCATGCGAGAGTTTACCCGAGCGCATCGCTATTAGTCCTGCCAATCGCTCCGATTCCGTCACAAAATAAAAGTCGATCCATATCAAAGCGTGTTACATGATGTAAATGATGATCTTTTATTATGAAGGTAATAGATGTAGCCACCACAAGAAATAGATCTTGATACTGACACAAAGAAAGATAAGCTATTAAGCAATCATAAATGCCCCTTATCGGTTGGGTTGTGTCTGACACCTACGACTGCAGTATTTGGTAATGCTGTGAATATGAGCTGTGTCATCCCAAATTACCAACAGCAGCAGCGGGGTAAAAAAGATAGCTCTTTTGCAGGATCGATCTGGAGCTGGTATATATCTTTCTCTCTCTCCTTTCCTCCTCCTCTCAAGTCATCTTTATCTCTTTTTACCTATGCCATTCAAAACTTTCCCTCCCGTTGTATCTTTTGACCAAAAGGTCCCAAAAGCGGAAACTACGCTTGCACCTGGTAGCGATGACGTTGACTACGCAAAGAACATTGCCGAAGCCGTCAATGTCCAAGAAATCGACACCAACTTGTACATGAGCAAGGAACTATGGTTACCACCTGGTGCTCGAGGCGTTTTCGGTGGACAGGTAAACCTCGTTTATGCCAATTCAAGGGTTGCATTTGACTGATCCGATCCATGCGTAGATTGTTGCTCAAGCTTTGCGTGCTGCTTATAATACTGTTCCCGAGGAGTTCCATGTTCATGTAAGCGTATACATACACTCTCTCTCTACCGAGAATGGCTATTGATATCTATTAGTCATTGCACAACTACTTTATCCTTCCCGGCAATGTTGAATACCCAGTGATCTATCAAGTACAGCGTTTGCGAGATGGTCGATCCTTTGCAACTCGATTCTTGACAGCTACACAACGTGGCAAGGCTATCTTTGTTGCCAGCTTCAGCTTTGCCAAACCTGGTACAGCCATCACTCTTGAACATCAAGCTGAGATGCCCAGTGTCCCTCCACCCGAGACGTTGCCTTCGTAAGTAGTAGGATGGATCATGATGGATGGAAAGGGTGTGAGAATGTGAGTTGTAGTAATCATCATCCTCATTACCTACAGTGAATATGAACGCATGCTCAAGACATTGGAAAACAACGAGTTGCCACCCAAATATCGTGATTACTTGGAGACACGTTTGGAGGAAACGATGCCCATGGATTATCGCAACGTATACCAAGTCTCTGAAAAAGAGGCACTCTCGGGTCGTCTTCCAGCCAAGCAAACACAACATCGTTGGTTCAAGACACGTGGCACACTTGACAATGACCCTCGCTTGCACCATTGTGTCGTTGCCTATGCTTCCGATAGCGCCTTCATTGGTACCGCTGCCATGGCGAATGGCCTTGCATCACGTGCCATTGGTATGATGGCAAGTCTCGATCATTCCATGTGGTTCCACGCTCCCGTTCGTGCCGATGAGTGGTAAGTAGTACTACAGTATCCATGGCAACGTGAAGAACAAGTGATTGATGTGATCCTGTTGGATAGGTTGTTGTATGAAATGCATAGCCCTCGTACAAGTGATGGTCGTGGTGTCGTGTTTGGTCGTCTCTTCCGACAAGATGGTACATTGGTAGCTACTACAGCTCAAGAAGGCATTGTTCGGTTATCTGAGCGGGAACAGCAACGTCGTTTGAAGCAGCAACAGGATGCTAAGGATCTCAATAAGGATAATAGCAAGTTGTAGAGTTTTTTTTCTCCTCCTACCACATGCCGCTTTTTCATCATTATCTCATTTCCTTATTATGCATATGTATACAACCATTATTCCTTCATCGTCATGATTGATTTAGATACTACTCGATTAGATTTTTTTGTATAAACACCATGAACCAATACACGAAATGGTCCAAAACAATGAGGTATTACATACAACATACTGGGAAGGGGGGCATACAAGAAATGGAAAGGGGCCTAGCATTATAGTACATAAGGAATGGATAAAAACTGGTGGTATACAGAATTAGACGGTCAAAGGCGCACCATCGTTATTGGGTAAAGAAATCACTTTAAAGTCGTCAATCTTGACAAATACACCACGTTGTGGATCGGTACGGAAATAACGCACACCTTCAACTTGGCCATCGTTTGTGCCCACTAATAGAGTAGATAAGTACATACCATAAAAGTTGACTAAGAAAAGAAACAACACACTTACATCGACTCTCGAGTTCTACACCAACCCAGATACCCTTGGCAAAATTGACATTGCCAACAAACTTGATCATACCCAGCGTTGGTAATGGACGACGCAACAATTCGACCTTGGCACCAATTACCGGTGTCACCATGGTGATCAATTCGTCATCATCGCTGATATCACTGCTTCCACCACCAAAGCCCCACCTTGATTTATGCGGCGAACGAGCACGACGACTCCCATTACGACGATGTTTGCCATGGCTGTGTTCATTAGGTGCAGCAGAAGGAGCCAAGAATGGTTTTTGCATAGGCGCTTTGGCACGCAGAGGGGTAGTGGGCAATTCAAATTTGAGCCTTGAAGGACGAGGTGAGGTGGGTGATCCAGGTGTATCATTTGAAGTAGCACTTTTGGATGCTGAGTTGTTATCAGATGATGATGCCTTGGTGTTTTGATGGTGGATGATAGGCAAGTCGAGTGGAAGCAATGCATCTGCCAAGCAAGTAGGCAATGATTGAGAACGTGAATGATGTGAATGGGAGGAGGGTGATGATGATGATGATGATGATCCTCCTCCTTCTTGACGTTGACGACGTGCTTCACTTTCAAGCGACAAGAGACGAATCAAGGGCTGTGACGATAAACCTTTTTCAGACAACTTGTTGATGCTTTCAGCACTGAGAGTATCCGAAATGACGGGACGTGAAGGAACCATATCATTGGAAAGTGAACGTGTGCGAGTCAGCTGCTTGAGATCATCATGTGACGATTTGAGTGTGCTGTTGGAATGTTGTCTTCGTAACCCACTCAGCGATAAGCGGCGTGAACGGTTGCTGTTGCTGCTGCTTGAGCGATTTGTGCCGTCATCCAATGGTTTGGATTTGACTTTACCCGGTTTTGACTTGAAGCTAAACATGGCAGTAAAATCGGACTCGATTGGTTTAGTCAAGGCGCGATAAGGAACCCCAATATCTATTCTTGTGGTCAGCTACTGTATCCCTATTTCTTGGCGCAATCGCCCATTTTAGCTTAGCTTAGCTTACAACTTACCTTCTGACAGATGTCGCATTACTTCCTTTTCCACACGGCTAAATCCTTTTTGGGCTTTGACTTGGACCCATCGACGAGCCAAATATTCAGCGCATCGTTTCCTGGCATCTACCAAGACCCCATCCACTGCAAGGTTTTGGACCATTTCTTGACGACCAATCAAATCACGCACAATGCCTTGATAAAGGATACCAGCATTGGTATCGCGTATGCTCTCAGTCAATACACGGTTGAGAAGGAATTCCAAAAAGTCCACAGAAAAGCCATGACCAATGCCATCCACACATGAAAGTAAAATGGGGTACTCGACACAATAAAAGTCAAAGTTGGAGGCAACCATCTCAACCGTATGATGGACAATGGGATTGAGGATATCCAAGACGGGCGATGACCATGTTGGAAAAGGATTGGAGCCACGTAGCTTGGATAAACATAAATGCAACGAATGGAGCACATGAATTGCATTGTGCTTGGTGACATTTTCCAAGGTGTGTTTTCGCAACTCATCCACTAACGTGCTTAATCCCGAATCATGATGGGTGGTGGTATTGGTGAACAATGTCAAGAGGGCTTGCTCAGCGAGTGATTCATCTGTCAATGCCAATGCACCCACCAAAATGGCAAAAGGCTGTTGTGACCATAATGGGGCCAAAGCATGGATTGGGTCGGAATAAAGAGCAATCAAGGTGGATCGTAATGTTGGCATGGTAGCAGCATTCTTGTCAGCAAACCATAACATCGATGGTAACAATGCAGCACAATCAGCGCAAACACACTTGAACCCGTGACACAACAAATCCATTTCATACAAGGCAGCCTCGCACAATGTGTCGCCGTGGCCCAAATAATCGCCTGCTGGGAACATTTGTTGCAAGATACGTAAAGCGTACTTTTTTTGTGCCAATCGTTGTCGTCCTGGTGGAAGTACATTGGGAAGATCTGGCACTTTGAGCGAATCCGTATAAAAGAATCTCAATGTTGCCTCTGCAATAGCCGGTGAAAACAAGTCGCCTGGTAAATGCACCGTTGAGCTGGATGATTCACGAAATTGAGTACAAAACATGGCATAAAAATAAGGTGATTGAGCTGCCAACATGAAACGATGTGCAGGGAACGATGTCCTTTGTTGTTGTTGATCATTCGATGGTGGTGTGGGTGATGAAGGTGATGGATCACTGTGAGTAAATAAAATTGACGGGATTTCTTTTCCTGTTGAAGAAAAGCACGTGTTGCGTCTTGTGGGCGATGTTGGTGTTGGTGGTGGTGGAGAAGGAACACTCGTTGTTGTTGTGGGTGTAAAGAGAGTAACATGGACATCACTTGCCAATTGATCTACACGCATCCTTTCGAGGTCGCAAACCAATTGATCAAAGTCGCTCCTTGTTGTATCGTCGCCAGTGATTGTTGAAAGTAGTTCACATCCAAGTTGCTTCTCCAATTGTTCAATCTCGGTCCGTACCGCCATTGTCGCAGTAGATCGTATAGAATCCATCTCATCAGTAATCATGGATGATACACTCGTCTTGGTACTCGCTGCTGAAAACGTCGATCCACTCGATACCATCGATCCAATCATTGGTGATTCAGAAGAACGTTCAGCATGAAAATTGGCAGTGTACCAATATCGCAACAACGTCTGGCACATGCTGTAAGGAATCAAGGCAGCAATGTCGATCGTGGTCGTCTTATCATTGAGTGACATGCGTTGCTGGAAGCTCATTGGCACTCGTGCAAGTAGAATGGCTGATGCATAAAGCTCTTCATTAGTCACCTCCCCATGAAGGTGTCCCCTGTGTTCCTTGAAACTCACCTCTATGAGCCCATAGTTTTCCCTCTGGATAATCGAAATAAACATCTGCTACATATTCTGGCGCATTGTCGAGAAGCGTATCAAGTGACTTTTGAAGAGTCTTTCGAGGGGGTTTAAACATTAAATGGGGGGAGGAGGGAGAAAGGAGGAAGAGGTTGTGATTGTGTGTGGGAAAGGAGAAGCAAAGAAAAGAGGTGTGTGTACTTGTGATTGCCTTGTCTACTTTATAATATTCGTGTCAAAAGTTGATGACACACAAGAGATGTCGGCATATATATCTACTCTCACTTACACGAGAATCACACACTGAACCAGTCGCAGTAAAGGTATACAGAGATTTCTGATAGAAAAAGAAACACGAGAAGCTCTTCGTCCGCTTGCGGAATATAAAGGATGATTGAGCGGTAGTGGCGGCGGCGGAGGAGGAAGAGGAGAAGGAGATGACAGCAATATATAGGAGATGTGTATTTTATACAACAAGATCATGCATGCATTACATTCATCTCTCTCACTCTCCATACCACAATACACACATACGCACATCACACATTGCATCTGCACCTTGCATCACGCATAGGGAACCAATGGGCAATACATAGCACTCTTGGTTGTTGCTTCACCCTGGAGAGCGGGGACAACAACAGGGTCGTTATTATTTGCAGCATACTGGGTCCAAGTCGTACAATGACGAATGATAAACCCACCAACGGGGCGGTCAGACCTTGTTTTGAACTATTTAAATCAGGACAATTGGAATGCCTATATACATAGGGTCACACTGGGCTTATTTAGGGATGATCATCATCATCGCCACATATACCACACCCTTCTTTTTCATTATAGTATTACTCTTTGGAGAACATTTAAAGGGGGCGTAAAGGGGGGGGGGCAAAAAGTATTCACACACACACAACATCATTGTATCTTACAAGCCATCCTACTACGTACCCCGCCATGTTTGGTCATGTAAAAGTGGCGTCAATATGCAACACAAACGGGCTTGTTGCTACCTACTGTTACACCGATGCTTTGCCAAGAAGTTGCTCAAGTTTCGTTACCATGGAAAATAGCGCATTGACGTAGTATGCTTGCGTATGTGTTATGCAGGTTGAATAAAGACCCTTGCTGCTTGGATGTTACAGAATTCTACTTTAGCTTCAAAAGTGAGCCATTTTTAATTTTCCTTTTATCCAGTCTCCCGGTGTGAAAATCTCTCCCATCCGTTGCCTAGATATGTATCGTTCCTGATCACGCTCATTCATACTGGTTTTGGGCCTTGCATCTTTGTGTGATGTTTTTGGAAATGAATGAAACATGCCCTTTCCCGATTGATATACGTAACACTACTGGTCGATCACCACCAACCGGCTGTTTCATGCGACACCGTAAACCATGATCATAGCTGTACCAGGCATATGGGCATTTAATTAGCATCCTTTTCTTTTGACTAAATGCATCTTATCATCCCCGCCAGCCACTCAGCATCCATATTGTATATACCCATATCACTCTATGTAATGCATGTAATGTATGCATGTGATGCCGTTCATGGCACACTAAGATCGGGTTATCATTTAAGCCTTCGGAAAAGCTTATCCGATCACGTTTATATGTGGTCAACATTGCCCAGATGATGTGGTCTTCCATAAAAGTCAATTTCCATCACATCAGGGTTTGACATTCAACCAAGCTGCATGCAATGTCCATTTCTCCAATTGAAGGCATATTAGACAAAAGTCGATGAAATAATATTAGAAAGAAAAAAGAGAGATAACTGGTACAACGAGAGAGAAAACACAACAACAACAATAGAATAGATGGATGGGGTGTATTACTTTTTCCACTTGCCAAAGACCTTGACGATGCCAGACTTGACGACACCAGCTGCCTTGTCATTCTCCTTTTTGGAAAGGCCAATGGTGACATAGACCTTGATACTGGGACGTGGGCAATTGCGTTCTTGCTCATACACATACTTTGCGCGAGTAAGCAAAACACCTTGAGCAGCACATTCATCAACGACATCTTGTAACAAACGCTCCTCATCTTCACGGGAGAATTCATGGCCATCTCTGCTACGCGATTTGAGGAAAGTGGGGTTGATGCGAATATGGAAAAAGGGTGCTGGCGAGTGCAAATCAGGGCTGCTCATCTCAATCAAGTTCTCGAGTGACTTGTGCGTCAAAGTTTGACGGAAGGCACGTGCACGATCGGTAAGGTCACGCAACATTTGTGGATTCTCTTGGATATATTTGAGACCTTCAGAAGCTGAGACGGCAAGCATTGCAGGAATGGATGCCGAGAAACAGTAGGCAAGACCCGAAAGACGTTGATGATCCACCACTTGTTCATTGCCAGCACAAAAACCACCCGAAGCACAAAGAGCATTCGACATGGATCCAACAATCATATCCACTTCCTTGGCCTAGCAACAGCAGCAACAACAACAATGGGATGAGTTACCTTCATCATACACATGTACCTTAATACAAACTTACATCGATATTGTAAAGATCCGTCAAACCAGCACCACGGCTACCAAGCACACCAAATGATTGCGATTCATCCAAAATCAATCGATACTTGAATTTACGCTTGAGTTCAATCTATAAGTAGGGTTAATATACATATCCATGCCATGCGACGCAAAGTGTCACGAGTACATACCAACTTGGGAAGAGGAGCAATGTCACCATGATTGGCAAAGAGACCTTCGGTCACGATAAAGCGGCGAGTCAATTTACGCTTGTGCTATTATATACAAAGCATGATGTGAGTAAGGGCCTTCCTAATTGACATTGCAAAAAAAGCATTACTCACCACCAAATCATCGACACGGATATCATCGAGAACACGTTCCAAGTCTTGCATGTCATTGTGCTTAAAGTATCGGACATTCGAACGAGAGATTTGGGCACCCTTTTGCACTGAGAATGAAACACCATCATCACTAAGGAAAAAACAATCCATGTATGAGTGTGTGTGTATTAGCCTATGACCAAATTTTCCAATCACTTACACAACGAGTAAATCACCACGCTTGGAGAATGCAGGAATGACCGAAGAGACAGTAGAGAAACCTTGAGCATAAATGATGGCTTGTTCTGTACCCAAGAATTTGGCAAGATCACGTTCCAAATCCATATGGACATCGATAGTACCATAAAAGCCTGGGGGACCACACGAACCAACACCATAGACCTTCAAAGTATCAATGGCTTTTTGACGGATACGTTCGGATGATTGCAATTCCAAATAGTTGGTCGAAGCGAGATTCATCAATGGTTTAGCATGACCAGCCACCTTGGGTTTAGCAGATTGACCACCAATAATCAAAGGTGCTTTCTCCAAGTTGAGCTTATCGAGCGAGCTGAGTGGGGGTACAAGTGGTTCTGGTTTCCATTCTTCAACTAAATCGTCAATTTCCTATGACAAGGTCAACGTCAATATCATCGTCATCATCATTCTACTTGCTTTTCTTTTGCTTTACCTTTTCAGTCAACTTGACGGCATTATCCTGAGGCTTATACTTTTTTGAAAGCATATACTTCAATGCAAAGAAAACCAAAAAGAGTTCCAAAATGATACGGAAAGGATCGTCTTGGTAGGCATTCTTGACGTAGGTGAGGATGAGATGAGAGCCCGGAATAGCAACGATCAGCTCATAGACGGAATTGACGGTCGAATTAAGGAAGATGGCATTGTCGTCCGCCAATGGTGGAGGTGGAGCAGTAGCTGCATCCATGGTGTGTGTGTTGTGTTGTGTTGTGCGGAAGGAAAAGGACAAGAGAATCAGCCCAGCAGCAGCGGTTGCCCAGACCTTTGGTCAAATTGCAGCGGCGGACATTTTGACATGGCAACCGGAGATCATGACAGCATTTGACTTTCCCATTTTGTGGTCAATGGACCTTATTGAGATGACCAATCGATATACGCTTGCAATCACCATAGCAACAATAAACATCCATATATCTATATTACTCGCATTGCTTATAAAAGTATGATGCAAATTTGTGTTTTAGAAGCATGGGCTTGAATGATTGTATGTATCCAAGTGGGATGTTGAGCCATCCTCGTTCGCTTGTATCGATAATGCTTTTTGTGTTAACGTTTCAGGTTGCCATGGTATGCCCATCGTTGCTCTTCACTTTCCATATTATCCTTTGCCATCATATCCTTCATTATAGCAAACGTCATGCTAGTGCAGTCAAAAATCACCATGCTGCATGATTTGGGATTGCTTTTAAAATAAACAGCAGTTATAGGTTTGCCTTTCGCTTGATGGATATATCATTGCAAATGTTGGTTTTATTTTGAGTATAGCAATAAAGAGTATACGTGTACACAAGAGGATGCAATTTTCATTGTACATGAAGGTAAATGAGTAAAATCAGGATATGATGCAGCCGCCGCTGTCCTCCACCTTGCATTTCGCCTGGGTGTCGCCTAATATGGAATCAAATTAATTCTTGCTACATAATGCGTCGATAAGATGCTTACTCGTTTCATTGTTGGTTGTTTCGTTTGCTTGCGATGATTCCCCTGGATGATCTTTTACTGGTGTTAGTCATTCAAAGCGTACATGAACGGACGAGAAAAAGAAAGCGCAATACCTGCTGCAGCTTGATTAGGAGGAGAATACTCTTGATGCTCTTGATGAGTACGGTTGTTAGATCATCCATTGTCATTTGCAAACAATCAATACATACCTTCTTCAATTAATGAGGTGGGTGTATCTACTTTGTCGGATGACTCAGCCTTGATGTCGACATGGTCATCTGGTAGTGGATCCTCTCTTGGTCTACCAAGTTCTCGTTTGATAGGCGGATGCTCATTTGCTGCTGATGTTTCCACATTCTCAGGTAGTGGATGCTTTCTTGGTCTACCACGACCTCGTTTGATAGGCGGCTGCTCATTGTCCAAATCATCTGGTCGTGGATGCTTTCTTGGTCTACCACGACCCCTTTTGATAGGTGTTGTTGATGCTGATTCTTGATCCTCTGGTATTGGGTGCTTTCTTGGTCTGCCACGACCCCTTTTGATGGGTGTTGTTGTTGATGCTGAATCTCCATCCTCAGGTAGTGGGTTCTTTCTTGGTCTGCCACGTCCTCTCTTAATGGGTGGTGTTGTTGATGCTGATTCTCCATCCTCAGGTAGTGGGTTCTTCCTTGGTCTTCCAGGACCCCTTTTGATAGGTGGTGTTGCTGAATCATTATCGTCAGGTCGTGGATGCTTTCTTGGTCTACCACGTCCTCGCTTAATGGGTGCTGTTGTTGATGCTGATTCTTCATTTTCAGGTAGTGGATTCTTTCTTGGTCTTCCAGGACCCCTTTTGATAGGTGGTGTTGCTGAATCATTGTCTTCAGGTCGTGGATACTTCCTAGGACGTCCTGGACCACGTTTTGGCTTTGCTATTGGCGATGACACTTTCTTTCTTGGGCGACCACGACCACGCTTAGGTTCAAGATTGGATGCAACTGAGTGGGTTGTCAAAGATTCCTCTTGTGCTGCATGAATCTCAGCTGTCTTGGATTCTTTACGTGGTCGTCCTCGGCGTCGTTTCGACTGTTCAGGAACATCCGGTGCTGTTTCATCATCTTTGGGCATTGGATTCTTGCGAGGACGTCCTCGACCACGCTTCAATGGCACTGTGGTAATGATATTGTGTTATTCCACAGGGCGATACACTATTTCTTCTTGTAGGTACCTTCACTTTCAAGCGGTTCATTGGGCATCTCATTCTCCAATGGCGGTTGCTGATCAGGGGGATGGGAATGTGGTAGGTCTTGGTGCGTCTAATGTACCCAAACGTCAACTCTTATTCGCGTAGGTGGCAAGCTAACCATAAGCACATACCGTCATAAGATGTCAAAGTAAGCAAATTAGGAAGGGAGAAAATGAAGCTGGGATGATCAAGAAGAAGGGATATTTATTTCATACGGAGATATTCTTTGTACGTGTTGGGAGGTATCTTTTTCTTGTCATGGAGGGCTGCTATCAAACCATCTCGAGTATGCTTACGATGAGGATAGACAATGAAAGCTGGTAGGAAGGTCATTTTGAACCACCGAGGCTTGAAGATAGCGTTCTCCCAGAGGTCTTTGGGTATACATTGATCACGTTCAAATAAATCCATCGCATGCTCAATAATGTCTTCCACGCTGCTGCTTCTGCTGCTGCTGCTTGTTGCCATCTCTTGTGTTTGACTATCCAGGAGCGGATGTTGTAATGATAATGGGTATTGGCGTAACGTATGATCCACCTTGATACGCGTGTTAATAAGTATCATGAATGCTCCCATCATTGACGTTGTTGTCGACATACTACATACCCCAAGTTCCATAAGTCGTGTCTTTACCATCGAAACATATTGCCGTGGAGGACCTTGTTGATTGGCATTGTTCATTGCTTTACCTTGGATCTGTATCACAAATGCATTATTCTTCTAGACCTTTCATAAACATAATGACACCCTCATTTACCTGTAAGATGGCTGGCATTTCAGTGGGTATCATCTCTTCCAATAGCGTTATGAATGAATCGAAAGCTCCTTTGTTGTTTTCAAAGCACGTGGTTTTGGGATCAAGGAATTTATGCTAAACCTTCAAGATTAGTATACTTTAAAAAGACCTAGGACTTCCTCTCATGTTACCTGAAACCATCCTTGATAACTCATTCCCAGTAGCTCACTTAGATAGGATAGACAAATTTGAACCAGCATCAGCAGCATCTGGAATTCTTGTCGAGGCAATCCACGGGATAGGATGTTGCGGAGAGAAGTATCAAGGCTCCCCAATAGTTCAGCTGCACGAGCAAGGTGAGAGGCTTGTTGCAATTGCTGGCATGCTCCAATGTAAATCAATAATAGTGGTAATGTGGGCTATTTGGGAAATGTTGTCAATGCATCATGATCTCGATTCGATGCGAGGAGAAGGAAAATTTTACTACCTTTTGTGTCAACAGCAGAAGGGATAATCGAGGCCATTCCAAAGAACCGCATTCAGCATACCAGGACGCAAGAAGGTGTGATAATGAATCGTCTTTCCATCGCATCGCACCATGCCACAACCGCTTCTTCATTACTCCCCAGTCACTGATATCGGGTGTCTCCTCCACGTGTTGCATGAATTGTATAACGATATCACGTCGCTTGTTCATCGGCAATCTTGGGATCTTTTTTGGGTCTTGTAGCACTTGCAAAGATGTGATCAACATGGATGGCGATTGCACAGGCCTATGAGGAGATCAATATACCATCATAGAAGAAGTTAGAAGCCCTTTGTACCTGCATGAGCAATAATCGTTTCGATCTTTTGCGCATAGTCGATTTAACCAGATCAAGCCTATTGAATCACCCATTGACATCATCGCTTCCAGATAATCTACAAAGGTACATTGAGCATGTGGGTTTGTACAATGAAAACCACCACCTACCTGCAAGAACATCGATCTGCTGTGCCTTCAACAGCATACAACATTGGGAGCAGACCCACTCGCTGTCGGCTTGTTGAAGTAAACACGATAGTGATAGAATACTTGTCAATCGAGACGCAAGGCGATAGAAGGCAACAAGAGGTGTTGGATCGATGGACTGATCGAGGTGCTTTAGCCAATGCGAAACAAACACCGAGGATGAGAATGTGAGTTGTCGTTTCAACATGCACAAGGCGAAGATCAGATCGTCTTGGATGGTGCCATTTCGGTTGTTGACACTTTGAGCAAAGTCTTTTGCAAGCTGCTTAGTCGAGTAGTGTCGAAAAGAAGTTGACGCGGAAGAGGAACGACCTCGAATAGTTTTTGATATGGTGCCCTGTTTGATAACTTTAGTTCGGAATGGCTGAATAAAGGACATCTTTTATAAAGACAAACAAGCTCAATGTTGCATGAGCTAATTTATTTCAAGCGGATGATGTACGCGACATTATCGAATTGAGAGAGAGAGAGAGAGAGTGAGGGAATAAGAGTATATTCACACAATACGGATGTCATGAAGAAAGGTATATAGCATACACAGTTGGTATTTTAGGCAGCAGGCTCAACCGTAGCAGGCTCAACGCTCGTGGTGCTTGTGGGAGCGGTGGTTGTCGTGGTAGCGGGTTCAGCTGGAGCAGCAGTGCCATTGCGATTCATCTGGGTTACCAATTTTTCACTCTATCAATGATGTTAGGATAACAATCCTTATTGTTCTCCATTGTCACAACACTACTACTTGCCCGAATTCGCTTAGCTTCATAATGAACAGCGGCAATTTGAGCCAAGGTCTGGTGAGCGAGCACATTGACTTTTTGTCCAGTGGGTGTTTGTAAAGCAGCTTCGGCCTTGGATTGAGCGACTTGGGCTACATTGGTAACCTTTTCTTGGATCTTGTACTTTTCATTGTACTCCATGGCCTTATCCCAAATGCGATACTTGTCATCAAATGACTTGACTATAGGAGCGTTGTGTGTGTGAATGAATATGGTTGTATGACGTTCCTACATCCAATGCCCACTTACCATTGTTCTGCAAGGTGGAGAGATATGAATTGAAACGAGATGTCAAGCTATACTTGTTGTCGTATTCCAAGCCTTTGGCCACAATGTGATCCTGAAGCAAATAACCATTGGCCAAGATCTCGGCTGCAATCCGAGATTTAGCCTTGGTCTCCTGACTCGTGGCTGTTTCAGTCTCGCCCGTCGTTTCATCATTGCTGCTAGCAGTTTCAAAGTAGGGTGTAGCTGCAATGTGTGAATCATCGATCAATGCTATCATAACGCATCCATATGAGTCATCGTCGAGCATATGCCATTGTTATCCACCCCCCCCATTTACCATTGCTAAGAAGTACGGCAGTCTTTGCAGCTGATTCTCGTTCAAAGTTGATCAGGGCGATTTGATGGGTGCCATCATCATCTCTATTGTCAAAACATGCTTAATCCCCTTGCTGCATTATCAACGCCCCAAATCGGGATTTTTCCCCCAACAACCCCATCCGCGTGATACGTGTGTTTTTTTCCTCGGCCTTGCCCTTGCTTGTTTCGAGATCCATTTGCTTCACACAAACCCACACACACACACACACACATGTTCATGCAGGATAATAGAAATGACAAAGGCATACTTACGTCTTCAACTCAAAGTCCTTGATTTTGCCACAGAACAAAAAGAATTCCTTGACTACGTAGCAATAGCGAATGAAATTGAGTCTTATGCAAATACCCACAAACAATGGCCTCTCGTAGTACCTGTCTTTTCCGACGATTGCAATGAAATGTTCTTGACAATGACAAAGTTGGGAGAAGGGGTCTCGGGAATCTACAACACAAGCGACGACGATCGTTGGTCAAAGGTAAACGCGTCAAGCTCTAAGACGACTTACAGTTATTTCGTTCCAAGTGACCATATTAGCAAGTGAATGGAAGATATCTGAGAGGAAAAAGAAAGTGTAAGATTTTGTGTCTCGTCTCTCTTTTTGGGTGTGGCAGCTGGCTGGCTTCCGGTGATGATGGTGGTGATGGTGGTGGTGGCGGCATCCCTATTTAACTTGGCTGCCAGATTACCTGATTTGTTCATGTGAGCACGCGCATATAGGAAACTTGTCATTCAAGAAGAGATTGTCGACACACATTACAATAAAGACATGTGAAAATTCAAAGATGAAACTGTATCAGGTTCTATTTCAAAGAGGGATAAATTGTCATAGCATCATGGATCGTCCATTTGTTGTGTACCTCCCTTTACATATGACATTTGCTATCAGACCACCTTTTTGTATTGTATGCTGAAACTACATGCCATTCCTTGCATGATAAACGACATCCTTGTCAACGTGTAATCGAATCAGTGCTATAACATGTAGTGTGATGCATGCATCCTACACGCACATACACCACACAACAAATCCGAGACAAAGAACATCTGTAACAAAAGGTACTGCGCATGTGGCCCAATCACTTGATTCTCCAAAAGATGTGTACATGCACATGCACGTGAGAAAGTAGTAACATTCATTTCTTTGTCTGTGCTAGCATGTGCTATTATTATTATGTTGGATTATCGACAATGAATGACAAATTCTCATATTTCGTCTGCTCCATGGTACGTTATTGTTAGCGGCACGTGCATGTCCAACTCTAAATCTCAGGTATGACAAGCACAACATACCTTATCCCACCCTTATGCATACATCCTTGCACACAACTTTATTTCATATGCAAGCCTTCTACAAGTAGTATCTCATCTCTGGAGTAGTTCTATAACCCATGACCTTTCATTTTGACAGCTTGTATGATGCTTTACCTTCCTGGCAGAGCCAACGTAAGTTTTAGCAAGCACAAGCGTTCGAATGTTTGAAGAAAGGCTATGTACGGCCCAAACCCAGTGGTGGCTATATCCCGAAGATGATGGATTCATTCTTCTTCCTAATACTGGAGCGCCACAACTTCATGCCTACGTTGATTTGAAATGAAGGAAATGGATGTTGGTGTACACACTTGGTGAATGCTACAATGTCTTGAGAGTTATGAACATGATGGATCGGAAAAAAGTTCAACATGCATGCAATGCATCATCAGTTGGCGTTATCTGATCCAAGCCTAAAATCAGTTACCACCACAACGCCCACACTAATATCGGTGTACAACCCCGCACACGCATATTCTTCCTTGACGTCAAATAAATGTTACTTCATTGAAGACACAAAAAGAGATAGTGCAAGATACTTTGTAGAACAAACTGATAAAAGAATGATAATTAAATACAGCTACTAGCTGCGTAATTAAAAGGATAAGCTACGTAAACAGAACAACAAGAGATGGGGATAAGACAAGTAGCGGTAAGAGGGGAAGAGATGACAAGTATGAGTATGGGATGAATAAAGAGGACTATGTAAATGGGAATTTTGATACGTTTTTACTGGGCCTTTTGCTTCTTGAGACGCTCCTCCTTTTGACGCTTACGATAAGCACGGTACTTTTGATCGGTGCCAAAGAGGTAATCCCACCAGCGGAAGGAAGATGCGTAGTTGCCAACGAACATCTGGTGATGATAATCGTGATGTTCAGCACCAGCCCAGAAAGGCATCCAGTTGTGAAGGGACCAAGGGAAATCATAACCCGAATGAGCATCAATAGCTTGGAAAAGACGAAGGACAATCCACACAAGCATAGTAGCCAAATGAAGATCCCACTCGGGGCCGAGCTTAAGAACAAGAGAAGAGACAGCATGGTAGATAAGAGGACCACCCACGGTACCGAAGCCCAAGATCATAGTCTCGATAGGATGAGCGTATTCAGCAGCGATACCAAAGGGGGCAGCGTATTCGTGATGAACCTTGTGCACCTTTTTGTAGAATGGTGGCCAATGCATGAAGCGATGCATGTGATAATGATAAAAGTCCTCGAAAATGAAAAAGATAGCAATCTCAACAGCCATTTGTTGCCTATAGAAATTTTCATGAGAATGAATCCACCATGACACACACAAGAACAAGAAGCTTACCAAGCAGGGAAAGGTGCTTCCACCTTCATGCCAAGAATAGTAGCCATAGGATGGAAAAAGAAGATGAGAGGACCTTCAAAGATGAAATGGGCCTTGAGAACCTTCCATGTGCAGTTCCAATAGTCGTCCTGAGTATTTTCCTTATTCTATATTACAAAAACGTCAACATCCCTTTATCCTCACATACTCATAGCAACAAGGTTTACTTACAGGTTGAAGCTTGTAGCGTTGAAAGTAGGGAATAAAGTCGCAAATGAGGAATGGGATGAATCGACCAAAGTAAACAATCTCGTGCATGAGGAAAGCAAAGACGCCAGTAACAATGAGTGGATTACGGCCTTCGTACATGGACTCCCAGAGAGTTTCGATATAGTTGAGTTGCTGCATGCCGCTCTCAGGTGCGACTGCTACCGTGGTCGCGTTCATTGTGCAAGTCTCGGGAAGAAGATGAGGAAGAAAAAAAGTGAACGAAGAAAAGGGGCCGACTGAACCGATATAAGTGCGCGCCGCTTTCCGCTTGTGACAGGGAACAACGAACCACACTCAGCGCACGGTACTGGACACAGCACCTTGAACGTTCTTGGTAGATCTCCGACACCCCATCAACCATTTCATAATAATATACATGATGCTGCTGCTCACCCCCCTTGTTCCTGGCAATAAAAATATCATGCTTTTCCCTTTAGCTTCATTCATCGGTCAAAGCATCCGTTGTACCCTATCATCTTTCCATTGATCTGAGATGGTGGCATGTGAATCAATCTTTGTTTTCTTGGAAACAACTTGTTCCACACATCGGGCTGAGAAGAAAAAGATGGCGTGAGGGAGGCAGATCATGCGTTTCAAAATAGGCAACCCACTATCAACCTTTTCTGTAACCATATCAATCATGCAATAATTGATCCTTTCTCGGACCCAGAAACAGCACTCTTTTTCATTGACATCATTCACATTGCTATAGTCAGTGGTTTGGATATGCCTTCTCCTCCTTATCATGGAAAATGACATGTCGTCTTCTTAATAAGCAAACTACATACTATTAGCTACCCGGGCTCCTCGTTTCTCTCGTCAACTTTTGAATGGCTCAACGCCACCTGATATGGGGTAGTGGTCTTACGTGTTTATGCAACCACATTACAATCCCATAGTATTCATCTTTACAGGAACCTGCAACCTTTACCAAATCCATATTTGTCCTATCACTGCTGTGGAGCAGCATACAATGTTCAGAGCAACAAAGCATACCCTATCAAATTGCTAGCTATTACATAGCCTCTTCCCCCCGTTCCCAACAAGTGTTTCCCACTTCGCTACATGTCAATGATGCTCCTACTACAGCCCATCATATCCATCCTTTAACTTTCTTGATCCGAAACGAACAACGTTGGAACAATAAGCATGTCAATTAATGAACGATACGTGTACGGGATTTCCCTTGTATTCATAATCTCTCCTACATTTGCATCCTCTTATCCAAAGTTGTCATACTGAACCATGGGGCCTTTATTAACACAAAGTTGTTCACCATACCCGAGAGTATCTTGTGTGAAAGTTTTCAAGTGCGAAGTGGGCAACCTCGAGGCCATGGGCCGCACACCCTACTCAATGTCCCCGTTCACCCTCCTCCACCTTGTACCCTCCCATTCAAAATTTTTACCACGAAGTGTATAATTTTAAATGAATGGAAGTGATCAGCATGTCCCAGCGAACCTTCTGACAAAGTTTCAATTTCAAGATAGAGAATCCCAAGGTAATGCATGATACCTATTTCGATAAATCATGTAATTCGGCGCAGACGTCGCCTTGCATAGTCAACCCCACATTGCACCTTCCCATTCAATGTTTTATAATGAAGTGTTGGTTCTTTTTTAATACAAAGTTGATCAGCATGACTCATAGCACATTGTGTGAAAGCTTCACGATCGAGGTGGGCAACCCCCTAATCAAGATTTAGCTTACAGTGTTCCTGGATTTGTAGGGCAGTGTTTGACAAGTCAGCCTACTTCAATTTTCCAGCTCTTCCACTCCCACCTTGTCTCTTCCTCCCATTCCCAATTGCTGGCCCATTCAATTACAATCCCACCTGCGAACGATTGTCCTGCTTCAACCCATCATGCCAATCCTACAATTGCCTTGATCCGATTGTCTTTTGCTGAAAGGCAAGGCCATGGCGTGTACACAGCCTTCTTGTCGCTCTTCTACAACACACGCTCTTGCACTCCTCTGTGCCACAACCAATCGTAACAGCGGTTGCCGTTAGCAAGTTCTTTCTCCGTTGTCTCAAACAGTGTCCTTTACTTGCAGCAACTTGCCTTGCAGCCTTGTTTACGTGAACAGCAGATAGCCATCATATAGAAGCAGCTTTATTTACGCGTAGCAACTTGCTTCAATACATACGATTTCTTATGGATATGGATCTGAATGATGCCATGCTTTGGTGCATGTGATGGAAGGAAGTGGATACATTGTCTGGTTTGGCTCCCTTGGCCCATTAAGAACGTGATGTCTAGTTTGGATGACACCATATCAGCCGTCAACTACGCCACAATACAAGCAACCTTCAGCTGGATGAGCTATGATGGATAATGACCAAGGAAAGGGATTGATCAACAGCCCGATGGAAAAGAAAGCATGTCAGCCGCAATATTGGGTTTACAATGGTTATGGATGGAAGGATGCGCTCAAGTGCAGTGATGGGGGATCTTGGAATGATGCTTTGGTTACTTGGCGCGTCATCAGAAGGAACGATGGATCATGTCACGTGAATACCGCTGAGGATGGTGATGGATGGGATGGAATTGAGGAGAGGCTTGTAACTTTGACGAAAGGAGGTGTTTCACAGCTATGGATGATATTGGAATACTCGAGCCAAAGCATACAGCACCTATTTTGCAATCATGGATGAAGGGCGATCATGACGACAGCAATCAAGAATAGGATGACACGATTATCCCTGATGACCCTATATGTTTCGCCCATATGTACCCTATTCAATTTGACTATATTGTTCCCTTATGTATCATGTATCTACTTGATAAACATATACAGTACCGTGTCTACGTGTTCTTTAACTTTTTATTGAATGAAAATTGGATTCAGCACAATACTTTGTGTATCGTACTATTAGCTTAGATGTGCAAGGGGTGGATCACTTGGTTGTTTACTGCATTGAAAGGGGGACAGCAAATTTGAAGGGTGGAAAGCGAGATAAGGTTGATACGCGGATATCATATATTTGGTAGAGGTTACACAGTAGGTTACACAAGTTGGTTCAGGAGTGGAGATGCATACTAATCGATCGATGAAATGCGCACAGACCAAATAGCTTAATTACGAGGGCTGTTCTCAATTGAAGTCTTGAGCAGTGATCATTCTTATGGAGCCAAGAGTATAGGATATTGTTGAGGGTACGTATAAACAGCAATAGCTGTAGCAAGCGGGGTGGTATGGAGTGCAAGAATTGGAGCGAACAGGAGGAACACAGAGGCCACTCTTCTTCACTTCCACTTCACAAAAAAGGTAAGCTTGTCTCCATTTACAAACTACAACGCGTTAATTGCTTGCATTCCTTACAATGTACAGCGTTCATTGGGGTGAACATGTGGTCAATGGCAACGCTTTCCAGTTCCAGACATTCAACAGCAAGTACGTGCGCGATCTGCCCATGACTCATGCTTCCATTGCAATACAACATGTACGTTCAATCGCTGCATTACTTTACCATTCAAGCTGGACATTGAGATACTAAAGTTCACGTGTAGTTTACTATTCTCGCGTTTATACGAGATCCAAAGGGGGCGTCGTGTGTCGTGTGTATGCTTTCCATGGTTGTCGTCAGGGAGGGTCGCAACCTATTGTTACTATGGGTATGTCGACATGAAAAGCGAATGTTATTGTTACCTTACACTTCACTTACTGTAGCTTGGACACGTTGGATTATGGTACCTGTGGCAGCAACAGGATACGGATCTCAAAGCAAGAATGCTGTATGGTTGGCTCAATGGTATGCGTGGTATTGGATCTACAAAGCAAAACATGTTAATTAACGAGACTTACAGTGAAACAGCAGCAAGACAATATGGATGACATGGAGATACGGTTTTATTTGGGGCATTGATGCTATTGAGGAATACCACAAGGTAAAGTGTCCATTATGGAGTTTGTCCCTTCAAGTGTGCTTACGAAAGAAATATTAGGTCAGGCTCTGGTTGGGCGATTATTTTGATCAATCAGCACGTCGAGGATGTCATTGTATAGTACTGTGCTCTCCTGGGGAATTTTGGCCCGGAAACAGTGTGACTCAAGATGCGATGGCAAGGCCAATTTGAAAAGGCATCCGCTGTGC